ACCAAGATGCACACTCGGGCACATGCACACACAGGAACACACTGATGCTTGCACACTCACACATAAACACACAGACACTTGCACACTCACACGAACACAGACACATGCACACACATGAACACAGACATGCACACAAACACAGATGTGAATGTTAACGTGCACACACACAGACGTGCATATTCACATGCACACTCCTCACATGCATCAACACGCACACTTGGGCACATGCACACACATGCACACTCACACATGAACACAGACACATGCATACACACAGGAACACAGAGACACGGCTTGGCACAGTGGCTCACGCCTGTGATTCAAGCACTTTGGAGGCCAAGGTGGGCGGATCACCTGAGGTCAGGAGTTCAAGACCAGCCTAACCAACATGGTGAAACCCCGTCTTTTAAAAAAAAAATTTTTTTAAAAAAGGAAGACAGAGACACATGCACACTCACACAGGAACACAGACATGGACACTCACACACAGAGACGTGCATACTCCTCACATGTGCCAATGCACACACTCAGGCACATGCACATTCACATGAACACAGACATGCACACACACACAGACATGCACACTCACACGAACACACAGATGTGCATATTCACGTGCACACACACATGAACACACATATGCACACACACTCGCACACTCACACACAGACACTTGCACGTCCACGCATGAACACAGACACTTGCATGCACATACAAACACAGGTGCACACGAACACAGACACATGCGCACACATACTTGCACACTCACATGAACACAGACATGCCTGTTCACATGCACACTCACATGTGCCAACAAGCACACTTGGATGCATGCACACGCATGCATTCTCACACATTCAAACGCGGGGTCACACAACTCATAAATACACAAACACACACTCCCACACACAACCCCAGCTAACCGGAGCCCCTGCTTCCCAGGCATGGAGGTGTGAGGAGAGGTGCCGTGGGCCCTGCTGCCTCCGCTTTGCCGTCGGCTGCCCTCAGGGCACCAACCTGGCAGCAGAGTGGTTTGTCAGGCCCCAAAACTCTAGTGAAGACCTGGGTCACCCTGGCGGCACAAGAACTGCCTGGGGGCTCTGAAAATCCAGGAGTAGAAATGGGAGCTCCATGTGGCCAGCATCAGGATCTGGTGGGGTGGCTTCAGGACCAGGTCTGAAGTCACACAGACAGCACGTTCTGCTGTCTAGCAAGGCCCCGGGAGGGTGGGCACCGAGCAAGGGGACCTGTGTGCAGCGGGGTCTCCTGCCTGAGCCTGACCCAAGCTGGCCTGCATAGAGGCTTCTAGGCTCAGAATCCACCCACACAGGCCCTGCCACCTGCTTCCTCCAAAAATGACTGCAGGGCCTGGGTGGTCCTCTCCAGTCTCCCCAGGCAGGTTCCCTCTCATTCCCGACACGTCCCAGCCCCTCCACCCCAGCCCGTGTCAGGACTGCCACTGGAGCCTGGAGCTGAGCTGGGAGAGGCAGGGCTGAACAGCTCCTGGAAGAAGGAGCCAGTATATGGGCGAAAGAAGAGCAGCTGCACCCCCAGCGCACTCTGTGGCCGCCCGAGGAGCCTCCATCCCTTGGTACATGGGCGGGAGGGAGGGAGGGGTCTCCCGCAGCCCAGGCACTGGGATCCTGCAGAACTGCCCCTCGGGGTGTGGACGCATCTGGGCGGGGAGTGGACGCATCTGGGCAGGGTATGGACAGCATCTGGGTGGGCTGTAGATGGCATCTGGGTGAGGTGTGAATGGCATCTGGGTGGGCGCATCTGGGCGGGGTGTGGACGGCATCTGGGCGGGGTGTGGACGCATCTGGGCGGGGTGTGGACGGCATTGGGGGGAAGCATCTGGGCAGGGTGTGGATGGCATCTGGGTGGGGTGTGGACACATTTGGGTGGGGTGTGGACAGCATCTGGGCAGGGTGTGGACGGCATCTGGGCGGGGTGTGGACGGCATCTGGGTGGGGTGTGGACGGCATCTGGGCGGGGTGTGGACGGCATCTGAGCGGGGTGTGGACGGTATGGGGGGGGGTGTGGACACATTTGGGTGGGGTGTGGACAGCATCTGGGCGGGGTGTGGACGGCATCTGGGCGGGGTGTGGACGGCATCTGGGTGGGGTGTGGACACATTTGGGTGGGGTGTGGACAGCATCTGGGTGGGGTATGGATGGCATCTGGGTGAGGTGTAGACGGCATCTGGGCGGGGTGTGGACAGCATCTGGGTTGGGTGTGGATGCATCTGGGTGGGGTGTGGATGACATCTGGGCGGGGTGTGGACAGCATGTGGGTGGGGTGTGGACGGCATCTGGGCGGGGTGTGGACGGCATCTGAGCGGGGTGTGGACGGTATGGGGGGGGTGTGGACACATTTGGGTGGGGTGTGGACAGCATCTGGGCGGGGTGTGGACGGCATCTGGGCGGGGTGTGGACGGCATCTGGGTGGGGTGTGGACACATTTGGGTGGGGTGTGGACAGCATCTGGGTGGGGTATGGATGGCATCTGGGTGAGGTGTAGACGGCATCTGGGCGGGGTGTGGACAGCATCTGGGTTGGGTGTGGATGCATCTGGGTGGGGTGTGGATGACATCTGGGCGGGGTGTGGACAGCATGTGGGTGGGGTGTGGACGGCATCTGAGTGGACGCATCTGGGCGGGGTATTGACGGCATCTGGGCAGGGTGTGGATGGCATCTGGGTGGGGTGTGGACGCATCTGGGCCTGTCTGCCACAGATGACTCCCTGCAGACCCTGCCGCCCACTCTCCTGGAGCTGGAGGAGAACAAGTAGACCACCCCCAGCCTCCCTGACTCCCGACCATCTTAGGTTCCAACATCTGCCTGAAGAAAGACCGGGGTTAGCACTCAGAAGCTGCTGGGAGGGAAGGGGGCTTGCCTGCTGTGCCTGGGTCTGACCCCACATCCCACAGGACAGTCTCCCCTGGCCTCCACTCTGCAAGGAAGTGACAGGAACCTGACAAGAGTCCAGCGGGAACCTTGGTCCTGCAGGACTGTGTGGCCAGAGGGGTAGCCCGCACTGTCCGCCTAGTTCTGTAGCCCTTCTGGGATCTCCACTCCGGTCCCCTGGGCAGGACTGACTCCTCACTCTCAGAGCTTTTGTAGCTGGCTTTGGATTTTAGACATTGTGAACTGGCTGGGCACCATGGCTCATGCCTATAATCCCAACAGTCTGAGAAGCCATGGGGGGAGGGTCACTTGAGCCCAGGAGTTCAAGACCAGCCTGGGCAACACAGTGAGTGCTGGGTGTGTTGGTGTGCACCTGTGGTTCCAGCTGCTTGGGAGGCTGAGGTGGGAGGATCAACCTGAGCCAGGGAAGCTGAGGCTGCAGTGAGCTGTGACTGCCACTGCATTCCAGCCTGGGTGATGGAGCAAGACCCTGTCTCCAAAAAAATAAAAGTAGGGCCGAGCATAGCTGCTTACTCCTCTAATCCCAGAACTTTGGGAGGCCAAGGCGGGCAGGTCACCTGAAGTCAGGAGTTCACAACCAGCCTGGCCAACATGGTGAAACCCCGTCTCTACTAAAAATACAAAAATTAGCCTGGTGTGGTGGTGGCACTCGCCTGTAATCCCAGCTACTCGGGAGGTTGAGGCAGGAGAATTGCTTGAACTCAGGAGTTGAAGGTTGCAGTGAGCCGAGAGCACACCACTGCACTCCAGTCTGGGGGAAAGAGTGAGCTTCTGTCTCCAAAAAATAAATAAAATAAAAGGTACTAACTGCACACTTGTGTTCATAGATCCATCAGTGGGTGAACAGATACACAAAACATGGCTCATCCACAAAACAGAGTATTTTATTCAGCCTTAAAACGGAGAAAAATGCTGACACTTGTTACAAAATGGATAAAAGCCCAGCACACTGCTGCACGAAATCAGCCAGGCGCAGACCAGCCCAGCATGCCCCCACTTGCACTGGTTCCCAGCGCAGCCCCACTTAAAGTCGAGACACCAAGTGCAATGGGGCCGTCGGGGCTAGGGGAGAGCCACAGGAGCCAGTGTTTAGTGAGCAGGAGCTTCGGTTTGGTGAGATGAGAGCATTCTGAAGACGGACGGTGGCGACAGCTGCACACCATGGAAGAGTGCACTTAAAAACGGCTACAGTGGCACATTGTGTGTCATGTAGATTGAACAAAAGGTGAGGAGAGAGAAACTCAATCTCAACGCACAGACCCTCCTCCTCTGAATCTGGCCGCAGGCCCCTTTCCTGGGCTTGGCTTTGCAGTCTCCAGACAGCAACTGCCAGGCTTCCGGAAGCCCCTCCTCCCCCGAGACTCCCTAGCGCTTCCAGCAGGGCCATCCAGACCCTCTGTGGGGGAGACACTCTAGCTGTACCCATGGGACCACAGGGTTAGGGCTGACCAAAACTGGGCAGACTATAGGGGAACATGGTGCTCAAGTGGAAAATCACCCTGTGTCTTTGCACAGCACAGCTAGGCTGTGTGACTCCACGGGGCCTCGTCTTGGGAAATCGCTGTGGACACGCAGGACCCACCGGCAAAGGAACGCCGAAACCAGCCTGGCTCTGCTGGCTCATTCACTCAACACCCCCAGCCCAGGAATGTGTCTGTTCCTGCGATTCTCCTTTGACCTGGTTCCAGCGTGTCAGTAGCTTCCTCATGAATGAGCTACAAAAAGTCGTTAACACGTGTTCACTCTTCAAAAGCAAAGGTGTCGGCCTGGTGTGGTGGCTCACGCCTGTAATCCCAGCACTTTGGGAGGCTGAGGAGGGCAGATCACAAGGTCAAGAGACAGAGACCATCCTGGCCAACATGATGAAACCCCATCTCTACTAAAAAATACAAAGATTAGCGGGACGTGGTTGTGCGCGCCTGTAGTCCCAGCTACTTGGGAGGCTGAGGCAGGAGAATTGCTTGAACCCAGGAGGTGGAGGTTGCACTGAGCCGAGATCGTGCCACTGTACTCCAGCCTGGTGACAGAGCGAGACTGTCTCAAAAAAAAAAAGGTGTTAATAAAGTAACAGCCTTCTTTTTGAATAGTTTAATAGTTATTACTTAAATAAGGCTCCGCGTGCTTTTCCACATTTTTGGGTTTTTTTTTTTCTCCACATGGACATCTTGCAGGATGTATCATTAACTCATGAAACCACCAGTTCTTCAGGGAATGAAAAGGGAGGTAGAAAGAACACCAGAAAGGTGGGTCTGTGTGTTCTGGGGTGCATGCCCCCCCCCCCCCAGGAAGGTGCTGACCGTCCCTGGAGAGCAGAATCACCAGGCCTGGGAAAGCTATGTGTGTTGGAGCACCTGGAGGTCTCTGTCAGGCTGCTGAGATTCTAAGGCTGTCTAGAGACTGGCTACCGGGGAGGCTGGGCAGAGTCTGGAGACATTTCTGGGTGTTATTTGATTAAGAGGAGGGAGAGGGAGGGTAGGTGCTGCTGGCATGGGGTGGGTAGAGGTTAGGGATGCCTTTAAGCCTCCTGTAGTGCACAGGATGGCCCCCACCATGGAGGACAGCCCACCAGAGACACAGCAAAGCGGGCTGGGCTTGTGGAGACTGCAGCCTGGCACCAGCCCCACATTAGCAGGAAGGCCCAGCAGGGGGCTTGCCGGGACCACGCAGGACAGATGGCAGCGGGAATGAGGCTGTGCCTATTAATGCTAATCCCACTCACACCAACGGCCACACCAGCCTGTAAGGAGGGCAGGGCCGAGCCCACTGGCAGGTGGGGGAACTGAGGCCCAGAGAGCAGCGAGCCTGGCCTGGACCCAGGCCCATTCCCCAACCCCGCCAGCGGGTGTGAACTCCTCAAGGAGCCTCAGGCTCCACAGTGGTTTGAGTTCCTCTCTGCTCATGCGTCTGAGGTGGAGTGACCATGTCCCTCAAATTGAGTCCCCTCTTTCCTGGGCTGCTGGCGTCTGGGTCCTGGGAGAGGCTGCAGGGTTGGGAGCTAGAGGTCCTCGCGGGTGGGGCTCAGGTCCACCCTCTGGGCCTGTCCAAACAGCAGGAAGGTGCACAGCCCCAGGTTGCTGATGATGGCCACCAGGTTGAACAGGCAAGTCCACGAGCCCGTGGTCTCGATCAGGTAGCCGCCCAGACACACGCCCACAACACCTGACCAAGAGAGGACCAGGCGGGCTGATTGCTTCCAGGTAGCCCAGGCCCCACACACCAGCCCAGTTCCCAGGGCAGTGCCGGGGAAGGGCTGGGGGTTCTAGCACCCAATAGAAGCCCTATGGTCCCCAGGGCTGAATTCGGGTGTCCCAGCTGCGGATCAGGCTCAGAATTGGGGTATCTCGGAGACACTCAAGGCCATCCAGGAAACGGCCTCCTAACGAGTCCCCCTTGTCCTGCTGAAGGGAAACTGAGAGCCACAGGCCAACCCAGGTGTGGCTGAGCTGGAGAAGGTGCCCCCATCATCTAAGGCACTCAACGGGGCCAGGCAGCATCCCGGGTACCCCGGACTACCAGGATTGGACCATATCTGTGCGTCAGGGCAGACAGTGACCCATAGCCACCTGCTGTCAGCAAAGTCCAGTGGAACCTGGAAGGTGGCCACATTCTCCTCTCCCTGGGCCCACTCTGGGGTCTGTGACCTCCCCTGACACCGGGGAGGCACACCCCCACTCCCCCATCCTGCAGCACCTCAGTGGGCTTGAACCCCACAGACAGGGGAGCTCCTGGGTGCAGAGGCATGCCCCTCACCTGCCAAGGCCCCAGCTGTGTTGGCCACACCTGTGAATAGGCCAGAGGGAGAGAGAACACAGACGTCAGTGACAGCCCTCCGGGAGCGTCCATAACCCACCCACCCAGAGGCCCAGGGAGGGGCAGAGCTGGGGTGGGAAGGTCCTCACCAAACAGAAAGCCAGCGCAGGACGGGGCCAAGTCCTGGATGTTCACGGAAATGCCACTGTGGAGAGGAAAGAGGCTGTGAGTGGCCCCGGCCACCACTGAGCTGGTAGCTGGCGCTCCCTCACCCAGAGCCCGGAGCTGTCATGGGGGAGGAGGGAAGCAAGGTCTGGTGGAGTCACCGGAGGGGCTGGGAGACGCTGGGGCCTGCTCCCTGGCCAGAGCTGCGGCCCTGCGCACCTCCCCAACCCAAGCCCCAGCCACCCATCTTCACAGAGAGCCCAGTGCAGGAAGCCGCTCCTGACAGTCAAGTGCTGTAGGGAAAGTGCGTTCCCAGGGCGCACAAATCCCTTGCGCACACAGGCTGCTCACTGATGTGAACCACGCTTCCTAAACAGCTCCCACCGTGGCCTCAGGGCAGTTGCTGCCCAGCAGCTTGAGAAGGTGAGGTTCGAGCAAGAGGCCTGGCGAGAGGTAGACAGAGCTCCCTCTTCACGCGAGTGGGCAGCACGGTGGCTCTGGTGGGTGCTGCGGTCAGCCCTCACCTGTGGTTGAAGGTCTGGAGGCAGATGGAAGCTGATGCAAAGACCACGGACTTGGAGAAGCTCGAGGTGTGGCCCAGGCACAGAGCAAAGACACTGGAGAGACCAAGGCCCATGCCCTACAGGGAAGTGCCACCATGACGGGCGGGCACCCAGCCGCCTGCAGCTGCGCCCTCTCCCGCCCCGCCCCGACCCACCCACAGTTGGGACCGCTCCTGACTCGTGTGCCCGACAGACCTGTGGGCGCACTGTACAAGGGTCAGGTCGGCTGGGACCCGAAACCTCTCTCGGACCGGGACTCCTGAAGAAGATCTGGGAGGAGGCTCCCCGTGAATCAACCCCACTCCAAGGGAGAGGCCCTATTCGTCGTGGGCAAGCTCAGGCCGGGCCCAGAGGGGATGCTGACCCCACCTTGCCCTCCAGAAGCTGTCTCCACAGCCTGCTCTGGCCCTGGTGCTGGGCAGGTGGGGAGGCCTCACATTTGCTTGGTCCCAGACATAGGGTGACTTGGGGACATAACCTGCAGTCCTGGGAGACCCTCAACAAAGCAGGGACATACAGAGAGGACTGGAATGCTTCTCCTACCTGCATGAGCTTCCGCACTGTGATGGCTCTGTAACCTACAGGGGAGGCCAAGGAAGGGGCTCCTGTTAGCCCGTTTGTGCTGACACCCCAGACAGCACCCAGAGGGGACCCCATCCCTATTGGCTGCAGAGGGGCAGCAAGGGAGGAGGCCTGGGGCGGCCCAGAACAGAGGCTTGGGCTCAAGACAGCTATCGTGTGCCGAGGGTGAAAGTGTGCGCACACATGTGTGTGTGGCGCATCCACGAGGCTGTACGTGTGCTGTGGGTGAAAGTGTGTGCACCCATTCACGAGGCTGTACGTGTGCCCCTGGGAGGTTCCCAAGGCATGGGTTTGGGCAGAAAGCACAGAACAACAGCCACACGGCAGTTTCGCAGGTGGAAACGGGCATGAAACCCACTTCCTTTGTTTCTCCAGATTTTATAGTTTTTCCACAACGTGTGTGTATTCTTTTTGCAATTAGAAAAAACATTCTAAGGATGTGCATGCGTATGCGGAGCGAGCATGTGGCCGCACGTATGCCTCCACCTGTGCATGTCTGTGAGGACGCAGTGCTGGGGAAGAAACACGCAGTCCACTTGGGCTCGGCCCAGCTTGGCCTGGAGCACAGAGAGCAAAGACAGAAGCTCTTCCAAAGGCTCCAGGACGCCTGCAACCTCCGACCCCACCAGGTGCCTTCCCGGAGGTTCGCGGGCTGCATCTGGCCCCAGGCGAGCTCCAAAGCCGCTGTGAGACCAGACCCTCTCACCACACTCCAACCCCACCCTTTAAGGAGGAGGCTGACCCTGGAAGGAAGTGCCCGGCTGGGCAGTGTCCCTCTGCCCCAGCTCTCCGTGTGCTGAGGCTGCACCCTGGCCCCTCTAAAGTGCGGTGAACCACGGTGTGGCCGCGGCCCCGTCCCCTCCCTGGCGCTCACCCTGATTGATGAGATGATCAGAGAGACACCCGCTGAATACACTGGCAGGAATCGCCACCAACCAAGGCACCACGTTGAAGATCCAGCCCTGCAGGGAGGGGCGTGACCTCAGAGGGGCCAGGGCCGGCAGGGAGGAGCGTGGCCTCAGAGGGGCCAGAGCCGGCAGGGAGGGGCGTGGCCTCAGGGGGGGCCTGGGCCGGCAGGGAGGGGCGTGGCCTCAGAGGGGCCTGGGCCGGCAGGGAGGGGCGTTGTCTCAGAAGAACCTGGGCCGGCACCCGGCCATCTGGAAGAGGATACTCAGGCTGGACAGCCCCCATGCCCACCACTGCCCAGGAAAGCTCTCTGGCAGGGCCGGCCCCACCCCTGGGCTTGTGCAGCTCTGGAGTCGACCACCGCCTGGGAGGGCAGTAGGACCGCCTTGGAGGAGGAGCCGTGCTGACAGCAGGTGACCCCTCTGTCCACATCCCGGCTCCTGCGCAGGCCTCTGCGGGCCCTGAAGTCAGGCTCTGCGGGCCAGCAGGTCACTGTTGCGAGCTGGAAGGGCTGTAGCCGCAGCAGCAGCAGGAAGGCATGGAGCACCCACATTATTTTCAGATTCAAACACGGACACCTGCCCCGAGCCCGGACAGGGTGCTCTCCAGAGGAAGAGCCTGGTGGTGCCAGGACTGTCAGAGTCCAGGAGGAGCCGAGGGTCACCCCCATCTGCAGGCCAAGGACCCGTGGCACCTGGGGCAGTTCAAGCCTCATGTCTTCTGGGCACTCCACCCTGTGGGAGCCGCCAGCTCGGCTTACCTTGGCGTCTGGGAAGGTCTCCTTGAAGAAGGTGGGCAGCCAGGAAAGGAGCACAAAGAAGGAGCAGGCTGCTGACAGCTGGGAGAAGACGGCCGCCCTGCGGGGCCAGGCAGCAAACGGTGACTCTGGCACCAAGCAAGCTGGCCGAGCCTGTGGGACCTACCCCTCTCCCCTGGTGGCCAGAGCCCCACCTCTGAGCCCTGGGCCTCAGGGCCTGTCGGATCCAGCCAGGCTCACACCCCATGGTCACCAGCCCTGCCACTGCTCTGAGGGGCTCACCAGACAGCAGGCTTCTGGAAGAGCCGCCTCCAGGGAACTCTGTTGTGCCTGGACACCAGCAGGCCTGGGGCCAGGACACCCGAGGCTGGGACAAGGTCTGGGGGAGCAACGGTTTCAAGGTGATGGCTAGCAGGGCGGGAGGCGCTGTCCGTTCCCAAAGGACTGGGGATTTGGGGGCGGTTCCAGAGGGGTCAGCAGGCCTCGCCCACACCCCAGGCTACACACAGGCACCAGCCTCCCGTGTCTTTCCCTACCAGGCACCAAACGGGCAGTGTCACTTTTGAGAACCGTGTTCTGAACACCCTCCCCATGTTCAGGAGCTTTGGGGAGCCCCTCTGGGCCACCCACACTCGGCTGCTCCTGCACCCCCTGTGACCTGAGCCCAGCAGGTCTTCCTGGGTGTCTGCCTGAGCCCTAAATGGAAACTTCCAGACTGAATTTGGTGGCAGAGCTGCTGAGAGCTCAGCACCCGAGCGCCTTTCCTCGGGCTCGAGTCTGGTGGGTTCTTTGGGAGGTCAAAGCTGCCGTCTCCAGGCTCCTGCTCCAGGTTGCTCAGCCGCCACAGGAAGAGGCACTGGACAGCCAGGCCGCCCAGGACGAGCCCGCCCGGCCTGCGTTACCTTTTTCACTCAGCAGGTACCTGTACACGTACCACACCCAAAGTAAGGTGAGGCTGCCAGAGAAATAGAAGACGCTCTGCCAGCTGTACCATTCCAGGAGCAGGGAGCCCACCGCCCCGGTCAGCAGGGTCCTGCAAAGACAGGGGAGCGTGACCAGGCCCCCTAGGGCAAGGATGGGCCTCTCAGAAACCCCACCGTGGTGTAGGCTGAGTCCCTGGAAAAGGGTGTTTTTGTTGCCTTTAGAGAGCAGCTCCAAAGACCCCATCCTGGCCTATTTTGTGAAGGATTTCGGGTTTTCAGGGGAGACTCGGGACACAGGCTGGGGTAGATTTGGAATCAGCCATGTGTGTCCCAGTCAGGGGTGGCAGCTGCAGAACTCAAGTAGTTCCTCCCATCCTGCTTCTAGGCCCAGGATTCATCACGCGGATCCTTTTAAACTAAACATGGCAACAGGGAGGAGACAGCGATGAAAATATTCTACAGTGAAGTTGTACAGTTCTTGTGATTCGAACATGATTGAGGATAAATTTCAAAAACATTTCTAGATGTAAGAATTCCACAACGGCCAAATCCTACAACCCCATCCACTGTCCCCAAGATCTCATTGTCCCAAAGATGCCCTCACAGGCTCCCTACTGGGTGCAACCTGGTTGGCCCCAGCCCCCATCTGCTGCTCCATTGGCACCAGGGAAATAGTTACCATCACGGCAAAAAGAGGAAGAGAGGGAGAGACCCAGAGTGGGGCCTCGAATCCAGATGGGGCCTCCTTCCTCCTGCTGAGCCTCTGCGGGTGGGCACAGCTCCTGGCAGCCGGGCTCAGGCTTGGGAGCCTGGGCAAGCTGGGGGCAATACTCTTCCTGCCCCTCCCAGCCCATACTCTACCCCCTCTCTGCTCCCCACCTGAGTGCAGATAAAGCGCAGGACACCCCGTGAACCTGGGTTTTGGGTCAGTGAGGACTCATTCTTTCTTTTTAAAAGACGGGGTTTCATCATGTTGGTTAGGCTGGTCTTGAACTCCCGACCTCAGGTGATCCACCCGCCTTGGCCTCCAAAGTGCTTGGATCACAGGCGTGAGCCACCTTGCCCGGCCGACTCATTCTTTAGTAGAAGTATCTCCCCTCTGGTTTATCTGAAATTCACACTCCTCTGGGCAGTCTGTTTTTATTTGATGACTCTGTCACCCTAGGCCTGCCTGGGGCTGCCCCCAGCCCCAGTCGGTTCAGGAACCGACTCCGCCCCTCTGAACCTCAGTAACTTGAGGGTCTGAGCCCGGCCACTGAGAAGGCCCTGTCAGCTCATGCACCTGTCTACCCTGCTACAACCATTGGGAAGGCCTTCCACCCCAAGCCCAGCCTCAACCAGGCCGCCTGCATCACTAGAGGGTCTGGAGCTGCCCCAGGAGCAGCGCTGGGAAGGAAGACTGAGGGACACAGGGTTGCCGCGTTGTGGTTGAGGACAAGTCGCCCTCCAGCCAGCTGAGAGGCCCACCCTGGCCTGGACGATAGGGGCTCGAAGACTCTCCTGTCAGGGCAGGGGGAGCAACGGAGGGTGGGGAGAGCTTCTGGCTTTGTTAGCACAGATGGAAGCAAACGAGGTGATGCGGCCACTCCCCCAACCCACGTCCCCAAGTCCCAGCCTCATCACCTGCAGCCACCCCAGAAAGGCAGAAATATGCACCACGTGAGCACAGTGCCAGGGGCGTGCACCTGCAGAGCACGGCCTCGGGCTGCAGAGTCCAGAAGCACGCCCATCGACCTCACTTCACCCCTGATGGCCCCGTAGGCCCACCTGACCCATCTCCTACCTGGACCAGGGGTTGCCCAGCAAGGGGCTCACCTGATGGCCTCTCTTGGGCCAGTCTGAGGCCAGGACTTACCCAAACTGGGAACCAGCGCCCACGGTGCTGTAGGTGAAGGCTCGCTCGCTCTCCCGCACCTTCCGAGACAGCAGGCTGGTCAGGGCGGGGAAGTAAACTCCTGCAACGAGTGGAGGGAGGGTCCCTCGGGTCCCTCCGGGGAGGCTCGGCCCGCCCATCTGCTCAGGCTTGGGCTGCAATTCCAGAGGACGTCCTCCTGTCTCTCTCACTCCCCTCACCCACCGAGGGACCAGCAGGGTGGGCTTTTGGTGCCACTGAGGAAACAGACTCCTTTTGGGCGAGGCATGCTCAGGGTTCTGCCATCCACATCGCTGTGGGAAACATCCCTGCTTCCAAGCCAGCCCTCCCACCCATGCACGTGCACAGGTGTGCACTCACCACTGGCCTCCAGCTCCCCGCTGTGCTCTACAGAGTCCTCGCACCAACACACACACACACATGGCATGTGCACAAGTGTCTGCACACACGTGTCCTCTGGCACACCACTTCTTGGCAGTGCTGCACGGTGTTCACACCAATGCAGACAGATACAGGCATATGCACGAGGATACATGCATGCACGCACAGAAACCCACCAAATGTATACGCAGATACATACTGCCCCCACGCGGGAACATACTTTCCCACACAGACACACACTCCCCACACACAGACACACACCTCCCTGATGCAGATAGACACACACTCCCCAGACACACACTCCCCCACACAGATAGACACACACTCCCCACACAGACATACACTCCCCACACACAGACATGCACTCCCCCAGGAAATCTGTTCCTGTCTTTTCCTGTTTTATAAACTGAGCTCCCTCCCAGGATTTCTTTCGGACCAAGTGTTCTCCAGCCGCTTTAAAAGTCTGGAGCCTGCGTGCAGTGACTCCTGCCTATAATCCCAGCACTTTGGGAGGTTGAGGCAGGTGGATCACAAGGTTAGGAGATCAAGACCATCCTGGCCAACACAGTGAAACCCCGTCTCTTCTAAAAATACAAATAATTAGCCGAGTGTGGTGGTGTGTGCCTGTAGTTCTAGCTACTCCAGAGGCTGAGGCAGGAGAATCATTTAAACCCACTAGGTGGAGGTTGCAGCGAGTAGAGATCACGCCATTGCACTCCAGACTAGGCAACACAGCAAGACTCAGTCTCTCTTTTTTTTTTTTTGAGACTCAGTCTCAAAAAACAAAAAGTTGGAAACTGCCTTACAACTCCATGCAGCCCCACATCCACAGGGCTCTGGAGCCCAGCCTGGAGGGGCTCTGTGAGGGAAGGCACCACGGAGCCACGTGACAACCATGGCCCCTGTCTACAGGTCACTGAAAACAGCCAGCCACACACAGGAAGTGCCGGCCTGGACAGCGCCTGTGACTTTTTGTCACAGAGTGTCAGCGCATAGGCTCACAGCTCAGAGGCAGGTCCATTTCCTGGCTCCCTCAGGGGAGTTTGGGAGCCGCCTGCTAGAGCTCCGTAGGGCTCCCTCCAGAAGTCCAATGCCCCCGCAGTGAGAGCCACAGGTCTTGGGAGCCCTGGCATCTCCGCTCTGCCCAAGGACAGCATACACAAACATGTGTTAGCCGCAGGTGGTGCCCACGGTTACCACGCAGCCACCATGTGGCCCCCAGGCCCCCAGAGTAGACTCATGGGCACAGGATGACACCTGACATTGAGACGTGCCAGATTTTGAAGGTTTCTAGAAAACAGAATGTGCCTCAGGTGCCAAGTCATCGTCGTACAACAAGCTGGCCCCGCAGAGGAAGCCCAGCCGGAGCTGGCATGAGCCCACAGGGTCTGGCTACCCTGCTGGGTCCCTAGAACTACCCACGAGGACAACCACCTGCCCAGAGCCAGGGGCCTTCTCAGTGACACCTGGAAGGCATTGGTCAGCGGGTCTGAGGCAGTGCTGCTGTTTTCTACACAGCTTCAGCCCCAGGACCTTCCTCCCTCAGCCTGAAGTCCCTCCAGTAAACAAAGATGAGTCCCCACCCCCACAGGCCTGTCCAACCCTCCGGGCTGTTGCTGATTCATTCACTCCTCTCCTCCTCCTCCAGCTTTTGCGGTGGGGCCCAGGGCAGTGCCTGGGGAGGCAGTGATGCTCGAGGGGCTAGCTCTGGGATGGGGCCCCCCAGTAAGCACAGAATCCTAAGTTCTCACACTCAGAGCACCCTCTTCTAATGGTGGGCCATGCACGGGCTGGGTGGGCACTGGTGGTGGGGCCTTGGCTCTCATGTAACACCTGTGACCATGACAGTGGCCCCTCTGTCCTGGGCAGAGCCCCTTCCTCTGCTGTGGAAAGAGTACCAGGCAGCACCCTCCAGGCCATGACCTCAGGGAGTGAGAGTGTGGAGAGGGAGGGAGGAGGAGGCTTGGGAGTGAACTACCCAAAGTCTCTGGACTTGGAGGAGACAGGGGGTGGGGGGACAGAGGTTCTAAGGGAGCAATGGCCAGGGCCCCAAACCTCATGCCTGCTCAGGAAGGTAGGAGGAGTCCTAAGGAGGGGGTCTGGATGGCCCAGGACACTGGGGGAGGAGCAGCCCAGCCAGGGAATTGTTGATGGTGAGGTGGCCAGGCAGGTTGGGGTGGGGTGGGCAGGCCCGGCAGGCTGGAGGCCTAGCTGTTTCTCCAGCAGACCCCAGCCAAGTAGGGACCACCCCAGAAAGCATCCTGGGACCCCATCCACCTTGTTTTCCTGACAAGGAGCTCCAAGGCCCTAGTATGGGAGGCATCGTCAGCATATGTGTGGCCAAAATGCACAAAACCCAAAGTTCCACAGCAGGGTCCTCAAAGCGGGAATCCACCACTGAACTAAGGTGTTTGCTGACAGAGCTTGAGGGCAGGAGGAAATTTATTACTCAGTGATCCTGTGTGTCACTGCAGAGTGTGCACCCACAGAAGACACGTGGATGGTCACACAGGCACCAGCACAGATGCACACATGCATATGGTCACCCGCACACATGCACACATCATATGGGCACCCGCACACATGCACACATGCATACGGGTGCACACACATGAACAGGAGCACATACACATGTACACATGCATATGGGCATGAACACACGTGCACACATGCATGGGGCACACACATGCACACAAGCATACAGGTGCACACATGCACATGAGCACATACACACATACACATGCATATGGGCATGCACACATATGCACACATGCGTACGGGCACCCACACACATGCACACATATGGGCACCCACACGCATGCACACATGCATGCGGGCGCACACAAATGCACACGAGCATACAGGTGTACACACATGTACACGAGCACACACATGTACACACATTTGGGCATGCACACACATGCACACGTGCATACAGGCACACACATGCATACGGGCATACAGATGCACACGGGCATATGGGAATGCACACATATGTATGCATGCAAACGGGCATCCACATGCATGCATACTGCCTGCATGCACACGTGCACAGTCACACACATGCACCCACACAGGTGTACACATGCATGGGGGCATGCCTATACACACACATTTGCACACCACCTGCAGGCACACGTGCACCTACACAGACATCCATGCACAGTTCCTTGTCTGCCCCACCTGGTGCTGGAGCGTGAGGGGCCACCTGAGCTCCCCTTACCTTGGAGCAAGCCCATGAGGATGCGTGAGAAGGTCATAAAGGCCAGGTGGGCACTGCCCAGGTGGGCAAGCAGTGGGGTGACAGCCGTGATGGAGCCCCAGGCAGAGGCTGACAGCAAAATGACCTTCTCACCCCCAATCCTGAGGGGGAGACAGAGGAAGGTGAGGATGTGGCTGTGCAGAACCGAGGGGCACCACCCTCAGGGGAGCCCTCGAATGGGTGCTCGGGGCTGGGCCTGGCCTGTCTGCCTCTACAGGGCCTGCTCACAACCCCAGAGCTGCATCCTGAGGAGGCCAGGTACTCTCTGGAAGCTGCCCGCCTCATCTGCCTCCAGGACCCTGGGGCCTTGCTGAGCCTGGCCTCTCCCCTCCCATCTTCCTCCAGGTGGGTCTTCTGCCCAAATTTATCCACCAAGCTCCTTCCCCGGGAGCTGCTTCTGCCGTGTACAGCAGCACAGCCAGCCCACTCGCCCCCAGAAGCCCCAGTGGGGTAGCCCCCACCAGCGTGGAGATGGGGACGAGGGGCAGTTACCGGTCCCCGAGGTGGCCACCCACAACCTGCGTCAGGCAGTAGCCCCAGAAGAAGCTGCTGAGCACAATGCCAGCCTCCTTCTTGTTCCAGCCGAAGTCCTGGCTCATGGAGACCGTGCAGATGGGCATGCTGGCGCGGGCGCAGTACAGCAGGCAGGTGCCCAGCAGCAGCGTCCCCGTCCACGCCTGGCACTCAGGCCTGCAGGAGAGGAGATGGTCAGGCCCTGGGGAGGCCCCACAGGTGGCCCTGCTGCTTCGAGCCCGTCACTCAGAGACCTCCCCCAGAGCTGGGGGATGTGGGCCTGTGAATGGGGACAGCTCTGATGGAGGGCAGCTTGGCAAGCATTCAAACACCTAATCGAACCTGTCTGCTGACCCTCAGGAGAACACAGGCAGCCAGAAACGAGGCGCAGTGGTGGCTGGGAGGAGCCAAGGGGCCAGCACGGGCAGCTCACAGCGTGTCCCTACTAAAGGTGCCTGGGCCTGGCCCTGCTTGTTACCCACGACTGGTGACCAGGCCCTCAGGCCCCCAAAGCCGAGGACCAGCAGCATGAGGTGCCACATTCTCAAGCCTCCCTCGGCCCAGGAGGCACTAGAGGGAATGACAGCTGAGAGCCCACTGCGGTGGCGGGGTGTACTGGGCAAGGGGCCCCTAGGACGGCAGGGCTGAGACAGCACAGGAGGTCCCAGCTGAGGATCTTGGGGCAGGCGGAGCCCAGTGGCCAGGAGAGGACACAGTGCCAGGAGGATGGCCAGGCCCTTGGAGGGGGCTGGGCAGGGGTGGGGCTTTCCCAGCCAAGGCCTTCCCAGCCAGGGCCTCTGAATCCCTCCTCCCGCCTCAGGTTCTGGTGAGGGGCTCATGGGGGCACCGGGTCCCCTGGAGGGCTCTGGGGCCCATTCGAGCTTGTAACCGTCGTGTTGGTCAAGTGGACCCGGGGCAGCAGGTGGGTGTGGGGGGGCACGTCAGGTCTTTGTTTTGAACTTGCATCTTCTCAATACAGCATGAAGTTGGTTCAAAATAAAGTCCCTCCTTTTGGCACGGTGGTTACAGGAAGACCTCCTGGCAGCGTGCATGGTCGTCAAAGCTGAGTAAGAATCCCAGCCCCTCACCTTTGGCACCTGGGGGTGACCTGGGGTCGGTCTCTCTGCCTCCTCCTGGCCAGGGGAGTCCTGGGTTGGCCAGGGGCATAGGGTGCAGCACGAGGGGAGGGGAGGGAAGGGGACAGAGGAAGGCAGGGAGTGGGAATGGGAAGGGTCCCCAGTCCCACCTCAGGCCTTAGGGCTGGCTCCACTTTTGGGCCCCCTGCACCCGGCCCGACAGATAGACGCGGCTGGCACAGGATGGCAGCCCTGGGGCCCTGGTGCACTGGGAGCTTTGAGAAGCAGGGGCAGAGGGAGAAGGGGCACAGATGGAGGTCACGATGCAGATGCAGCCCTTCCCTGGCCCTGAGCCGTTGTGTCCTCTGGGAGAAGCCCTCTGCACTGACCTGTCAGTCAGCCTTGGACTCTGAGGTGCAGCTCTGGGCAGTAGCCCTCCGACTCAAGGCGCAGAGGCCTGCAGTACCACGGACACCTCCAGAACGGCCCCTCTGACCTGGAAGCCTTGAGGTCCCAGGTCCTCCAGGTAACCACTGTGCCCAACAGAGGGATTTTATTTTGAACCAACTTCAAGCTTACAGAGAAGCTGCAAGTTCAAAACAAAGACCTGATGTGCCCCCCCAGACCCCACCTGTTGCCCTGTGTCCACTCGACCCGTGAGGGTCAGGAGCTCAGCTAGGCCCCAGAGCCAGCTGGGAAGGTGACTAGGTAATAACTAGTCTAGGCGCCGCAAGCATCCTACCCAGGGCATCTGCGAGAGGGCGGGAGACTCCAGAGACATCCCCCGGGCCGTCCACTGAGCCACATAGCCCTTCCCACCCTCCTCCCCCGCAAGCACTGCAGATGGTCACTGTGGAGCAAAGGCAGACACTGGCCTTGCTCGCAGAAAGTGACCCATAGAAAAAGTGACAAAAAGAGAAGACCGCTCCTCCCCCGGCACCAGGGCCTTGGCTGGGTGTGGAAAGGATTCAGGAGGGTTGATGCGGCCAGGAGCTGCTCTTGGCAGGGGACAGGGTGGGCACAGGACCAGGCAGGGCTCCAGGGCATGAAAGTCCAGTGGGGCTTGCTGAGTGCAGGGCCTCCCCCGCCACCTCCTAAGCATGACCTCACCACGCTAAAGCACCCTCGAGGGTGAGCTGGGGGCCGCTGGGATGTGCAGACGTGTGAGGAGAGGCACACAGGCTGCAGAGGCGTGGGGGTCAGCAGGGCACCATGGGGCTGGACGTGGAAGGTCTGCTAGATACCCAGGCTTCTCACGGTGACCTGGGATGGATGGAGGCACTGACTGGAGCCCCAGATCGGGAGGTGGCTGGGGGAGCTGGGTTTGGAACTTGTTGAGTCAGACACTGAAGAGAGACCTTGGGCAGAGTGGGCACCAGATCAGCTGATGCTCACGGAGGAGGCAAGGGCATGGGAGGCGGGAGTGCCCTTACGCCGGCCTCGAGCTGGGGGAGGGGAATTGGAGGAACTCCCACTGGCCACTTCCAATTTTTGTGAAGCAGGAGGTGAGGATGTCCACCTGAGAGTTGGGGCTGTTAGGAGGGTAACGAGGACAAACAGCCACTGTGGGGTGGGGGTGGGGCTGGTCCTGATGACATGCTGAGTGCAGGTGTGGGCACAGCAACCTGGTGGAGTCAACCTGGTGGGCTGGGTCTGCGCATGGGCAGTAGGGAGGGGAAGCTGATCCAAGGGTCCTGCTGGAGCTCTAGCCTGGGGCCTCAGTCCTGGCCAGCAAACCAGAGGTTGGAGGTATTAGTGCTGGAAGCCTTAATGAAAGGCAAGGCTGAGGAGTGGCAGGCCAAGGAGAGGAGAATGTCAAGGGTGAAGGCCAGGGTGCCGCTGTGGACTTCAAAGTCACCCAAGAGAATGGCAGGAGTTAGCCAAGGAGGCTGAAGCCAGGAGCCAAGAGCCAGCATCGCCAGAGATGGGAGGCATCCAGGAGGAGGAGGCCTCATGGGCCCCGAAGAGAACAGGGTAGAGGGTGAGCAGGAGATGGTGGCAGACAAGTTGGATACTGAAGTGTCTCACCCCACGCTTCCCGAAAGATCCCGCCTGCCCATTCGGGGAGCCAGCTGCAGCCCAGGGCTGTGCTCCTAAGAACCTTCCAGAGACAAGTGAGTGTGTGGACGAGGGTGTGTCGTGGACAGAGGGGCAGGGACCTGGCCCTCCTGGTGTTCTCCACGAGCCTGTGCCTGGATGCTTCCTAGGGGAGATAAGACCACCAAGTCTGGCGCTGACCATGCCTGAGGTCAGAGAGTCAGGCCGGCCAGCCCACATTCCCAAGCCTGGAGAGGGAGGCCCAGACTGCTCAGAGACAAGAACAGGCTGCCCAGAAGCCCAGAGCTTTGTCCTGACACCTCCCGCTCTGCCAGAGGCTGTCCTGCTCCAGGCCCCTCCCCATAGCAGGGTCAGCCATTAACCCTGGAGTTTGGAGAAAGCGCCGCCTGTCCTGGGCCTTGGCAGAGACTGTGCTCACCAGCGTCATTTGCGGCCAGCTTCCACACTAGGGACAACTGGCTTGTCTCGTACCTGGCTGTGGCCTGGGTCTGAGGACCAGGTCTGCTCCCTGGGTTACCACAGAGGGACACAGCCCTCACTGCCAGCCGGCCTAGCCCAGAATAGCCCTGGCCTCCACGCCCTGCCCAGGCGTGGTGGATGCCCACAGGCCTGTTATTTGCCGGGCCGCAGGCTCTCTGTAAACAGTTTTCATTGACTGAATACACAAGGCTTGCAGGAGGGACATGTGGGCCCCACCCTCAACTTTCTGCTAAAAGTCACACAGTCCAAAGGTACCTTTAAAAAGGAGATTTAGGGCTAGGTGTGGTGGTTTATTCCTGTAATCCCAGCACTCAGGGAGGCCAAGGTGAGCAGCTCACTTGAGCCCAAGAGTTCAAGACCAGCCTGGGAAACATAAAGAGATCCCCTATCTCTACAAAAAAAATAATAATTTAAAAATTAGCCAGGGCCCAGCATGGTGGCTCATGCCTGTAATCCCAGCACTCGAGGAGGCCAAGGTGGGCAGATCACTTGAGGTCAGGTGTTAGAGACCAGCCTGGCCCACATGGTGAAACCCCGTCTCTACTAAAAATCCAAAAAATAGCCAGGCCTGGTGGCAGGCAACTGCAATCCCAGCTACTTGGGAGGCTGAGGCAGGAGAATCACTTGAACCTCGGAGGCGGAGGTTGCAGTGAGCTGAGATCAAACCACTAAACTCCAGCCTGGGTGACAGAGCGAGACTCCATTCCCCCCTCAAAAAAAGAAAACTAGCCAGGTGTGGTGGTATGCACCTGTGGTCCCAGCTGGGAGGCCGAGGGAGGGTCATTTGAGTGATCGAGGAGGTGGAGGTTGCAGTGAGCCAAGACTGCACCATTGCACTGCCTGGGCGACAGAGAGTCTGTCTTGATAAAAAAGGGGAGGTGGGACACCTGTGTCCAGCCGGCCCCTGCCCTGCAGGAAGCTCAGTGGCACTGATTCTCACCAATCAAGGCCAGCACAGTGCTGAGAACGCAGAGGCACTTCCTGGCCTCCTGGGGAGGAGAAAGTCAAGAACAGCCCTTCCAGGCAAGCAGTCCACCCCAAGCCAAGCAGGCAGCCCCAGGCCAGAGGGGAGGTCCCGCAGGCTGTGTGGGGTGAAGGGTTGTCTTCCTCATCCCTGGGCTGTGGAGGCAAGAGGCCCCACAGCCCCTTCTCTGAGCCGGGCAGGTGGTGCTGGCCAGGTGGGCACAGGAGTACCCTCCACAGCCTCTGGGGAGTCAAGGAAGTCAGGCTGGAGAGGAAGACCCACACAGCCAGGGCTGCCTGAGGGCTGACTAGGACCCCAGGCCAAGAATCCTCCAACCTGGTGGGGGTGCCGAGAACCAGCCTGAACACCTTCCTCCCACCAGTCCGCACTCCCGAAGCCCAGCAGGCTGCTTCTTGTGAACTTAACTCTCTAGAGCTCCGGCTGCCCCTGTGCAGAAGCCACATCCACGGCTGAGCAAACAGGTGGCCACATGCCGGTGCCGGGCCAGAAGGGGATACTCGAATGTGGGTGCTGCCCCTCCAGCTCCGTCCCTGCCCGCCCGGGCGCAGCCTCCCCAAGGTGGCTGCAGGAGGGAGGGCTCTTGCCCCAGCAGACCTTGGCGCTACCCAATAAGGCCCTGCCAAGGAAGTGGCAGGAGTTGTGGTAAGGGCTACTTTTCAAACAGCGAGCCTGGGAGGGAAGGAGGGAAGGCGGAGCCTCCTCAAACCCAGCCGCCAGTACCGAGGCCCTGAAGCCCTGGGGAGCTGGCCCCGCCCAGCAGGCCTGGGTGGGGGAGGAGGAAGAGAGCAGAGAGAGCAAGGGGCAGGCTGAGCTGAGGGCAGCCCTCCCCTCTAATTGGAGCCTGACAGGAAGCCTCTCCGGCTGGGATCTGGGCTGCCAGCTTTTCCCACACAGCCAGCATTCCCTTCATGTGGGCGCTGATATCCGATGGTGGCACTGCCCCTTTGGGCCTTCCTGCCACTCTTCAGCACTTCCAGGGTCCTCAGCCCTCACACAGCTGAGAACTGGTGGGGCCAGAAGGTGCCATTACCTTGTCATGGTCAGGGCAGGTACCCTGGGGACTCAGAGCGGGCAGGACACTGACTCTGGAACCCACAGGGCCTAACTCTAGGCCTCAGCCCACAGACCCAGAGCAAGGGGGTTCAGCAGTGTGGGGGCTGGTCTCAGGAGCTCCCTGACAGAGACTCTCCCCAGCTAGCTGATGGCCTGCAGTCACCATCCCGCCAGGCGTCGGAGGCATCACCTGCTCGGGGAGCCTCCTGCAGGCAGCAGTGCTGGTGGCCTGGCCCCACTTCTCCCCACCACTGAATGCTCTGAAGGCTGAGGCCAGCCGGGAGCCTGTCCCCAGCACACAGCTGGCATGCAATTGCCGGACACCCATCCAGCTGCAGGCTCCAGCCTGTGCCCTCATACCGGGCCTCCTGACTCCCAGGGTCTGCCTGCTGGGCTCATGCATACACAGGGTGGTCCCACCTGGCGGGGCTATGCCTCCTCAGTGTCCAGGACAATGCTCCTGGCCTGCGGGATATAGCCCTGCCTGGAAGAGCCTCAGGACCACCAGCTGGGATAGGGCACTTGCCAAATCCAGTCCTGGAATCTGATGGCAGGGAGGAAGGACAGGGCACTCACTTCCTTCCACCTCCCATAGGGGCACAGGAGGCCTGGCAGCCAGAGGAGCCCTTCCCAGCTCAGCGCTCCCTACCCACCATGGTCCCACCGGCCAGCGTCTCGGCTCCCTCCCCATAGCACCACCGACCGCTCCCCCCACCCCCCTCCCCTGCCACACCTGGACCATTGGGTGTCCCCGGCCGAGTCCCTGTGGGCCTCCTCTTGGGGTGGCTGCATAGGGCTTGGGGCGCTCAGACAGCGTGGGCACAGCGGTGTCCCGGGGCTGCTTCCCAGCCTGGCAGACCCACCCAGCAGCACCGCCCAAGTCCACGTGTCAGTCCCAGAGGCGCTTCCGTCTGGTGCTCCCCGGACTTGTCGCCCCCAGACGGCCACCAGGGCGGGCGGTGGGGCGGGGCATACCACTCGGGTGCCCGCCCCACCCTGCTGACGTCCCTCCCTGCTGCCCCACAGGAAGGGGGCCTAAGGCTGCCCTGGCTGATCCAACGCACTCTAGCTCAGCCCCAGCTGAGGTTATCGTGGGGGTAGTGGGGGATTCCCAACGCAGTCCGGTCTGACTGGGGCTTCAGAGAAGGATCTGGGTGAGGAATCTCTGGAGGTCCCGGAGGTGCCCCCCATCCCTTGGACACAACAGGGAGCCATGGGGACCTCTGTCTATAAAATGGGGGGTGATGGCAGTGCCCACCTCACAGGGTGGGTGCAGATCAAACAGAAGTGGGGATAAAGTCTTAACTAAGTGCAAAGACAGAATTCCAGGGTCACCGATTTTTAAAATGGATCTTTCAGGGCAGGGATGGGTCCACTCCTGAGCCCTTGGACCAAGCATGGGAGAGGTGGGCAACTCTGGTGCTGGCCAGCATCTTCGCAGCCGATGCTTCCAGGATGAAGCCAGCAGGGGAAGGCCTTGACCATGCAGCCCTACCCGGCTCTGCTGCATCCCCCCACCACGCCTTTCCCCAGGAGGCGGCAGGGTCTGCACCTCGAGCCCTCACCCTCACCTCCACCAAGGCACACCTCAGTTCATTCTCCAGGCCGCAGCCGCCAACCCAAGGGTTGAGAGCCACAGGCAGGGTCCTGAACTCAGATCAGAACCACATTTATCCCTGCCCCTCCCCCTCAGCCCTCAGGTCTCCAGCAGCCCAAACCACTGCCTGGCAGGGCCTGCTCCCAGAGCCTAGAGGTGAACAGATCTTAAAGACACCAGCACCTGAAAAGGCAAGGCCATGCTTTCACCATCGCTGATGTAGGGTAGGGTGAAAAGATGGTGGCAGAGGTTTATCACCCCAGACAGCCGTTGCTCACAGCCAGGAAAAGTGCTGCTAAATGTATTGCTGTCAATTGCATCCTCTTTCTGGTGGTTGGCTTCCACTCACTCTTTGATGGTGATTCCCTATCAAGGAAATCATGCTGCAGCGGACATCTGTCATCTGGTTACCTAAAGTTCCCTTCCTCCTGGAGCTGATGTTCGGGGGCACGTAGACAAAAATCGAAGAAATGAAAGTGGTAGGGAAGGGGTGTTACTTCAAATAAGTTGAGCTGGCCAGGCATGGTGGCTCACACCTGTAATCCCGACCCTTTGGGAGGTCGAGTTTGAGACCAGCCTGATCAACATGGAGAAACCCCATCTCTACTAAAAATACAAAACTAGCTGGGCGTGGTGCCTAACACCCGTAATCCCAGCTACTCTGGAGGTTGAGGCAGAATTGCTTGAACCCAGGAGGCAGTGGTTGCGGTGAGCCAAGATGGTGCCATTGCACTCCAGCCTGGACAAGAGCAAGATTCCGTCTCAAAAAAAAGAAAAATAGATTGGGCTGAGGAGGCACCTCTGGACACCTGAGTGAAGTCTGGATGAACTGAGGAACAGGCCATGCAGGAAATGGTGGGTGGGCGACAAGTCCATCTCACAGGGATGTTATAAAGCTGGGTGCTGGTAGTGGCCAGATGGAGGCTCTCCAGCCTTCTGGTTGATTCTGTGAGCTGCCCCACACCCAAGAATCTTTGAGGCTTAAGGTGAAAAATTATGTAGGACAGTAGACAGTGAACACCTGGGTTTTCAAGGACAGAGGTGGCCTTGCTGACAGGGCAGTGACAGCCAGCACCCATCAGCCTTCTGCTTCTGCAGGGCTGCGCTACCCCCGCTTGCTGGGCCTGCCCCCCGTCACGTCTGCTTGTTTATTTCCAGTGCTGCTCTGAGGGGATGACGCTGGAGACGTTTTAAAGCAAATCCATGCCTCGCTGCATGTGTGGCATCCCTGCTGTCAGCCTCCACCTCCACACACCCCTGCAGAGACCCCAGCACAGCTTCTTGTAAACCAAGACAAGCCAGACAGGAGCCTGGGGCTTTGCACCCCACTTAGCCCTGCACCCTTCTAGCCCAACTACAATTCTCAAGACAAGGAGGCCAAAAAAAAAGAGAGACTGACAGATGACACCTTCCTCTGCCACGAATGACCGGTAGCAATAAGAGGGAAGGCCAGAGCAGGGAACACCACATGCAGGAGGCCTGCAAAGGTGGGGCACCTTTCGTGCTGGGCTAATCCTGTCAACGGCAGACTGGAAAAAGACAAAGAACCGTGTGAGACAGCGCTCGAAATCCGAAAGATGAACTCAGCAATGATGACAAACGGACTCGCACAGCGTGGGTGCTACATGGAATCCTCCTTCCAGGTTCTGGAGCAGTTCATATTTTTCAGTGTTGGTGAACTCGCTGAATCTTACAAGAACTAGTGTTCAACATTTCTAAACCTAGAGGACCCAGTGAGGACTGGATGGGCACACAAGTCTGTAGATGAGCAGGGACGAACCCTGGGCCAAGGTGACCGCCAGCACCTCTTCCGTTCCTCCATGACCCTCCACGGCAGAGAATCCTTGGTGACGGGTCTGTTTGCTTCACTTTCAAAGCCAGTTGGGAAAATTATCACAGCTATCATTCAAACACCGTGATCCATAAGAGAGAAAAAACCGTGTTTGTGTGAGGAAAGCCTGCGGATGTGTCTCCAGGAAGCAGAGGTCACAGCCAGGTGGAGAGCTTGCCTGACAGGTGGCAGCTCAAGGTAGCAGCCTCTGCACCACTTCTCCCCAGTTCCTAAGCTCATAAATTCCTTCTCAAATATACCAAGATCCAAGTACGGGAGGCACTGCAGCACCTGGCGTGAGTCACAGCCGGGCGGAAGAGCCTGCAGCGTGACCTGCCTTCAAGAACATGAGAAAACACACATGGAGGAAACCCACTCACCTTCAGCTGCGCTCCTTTTGTTAGTCCTTTTGGTTACAGCTGTGTGCAAGAGGGTCTACAGGCTTTACCTGATAAATGGTCTTCTGTGCTATGGACAATTTGGACCCATAAACCTGGCCTTCCAACTAGGCAACACTGAAATGTTGCAGGCAAATCAGAATGTCACATTCCCTTTATACATTACCCACACACATTCCAGCTGACCAGCGGATACTGGGGTATGAAATGAGAGAAACAGCCCCTACCGCACAGACACAGGGACATGATTATTACCAATTAACCACAGGCTGCGCCTCAGCTCCTGCGCACCAGGTGCCCAGTGCTGGGGCTCTGTAGCACAAGCCTGTTTATCTCCAGAGCCATTTTGTGGCTTCTGGAAAAGGCCACAAAAGCAGCTCAGAACACTGTACCCCTAAGGAGCCCATCTCAAAAGAGATTCTTGCCATAGCTAGTTACACCAAAGGCCTATTCAAACCCCATGTTCTGCTTTTACAGAAGTGAAAAATCACAGGCAAGGATGGCATTCCAAAATAAGGCAGAATATCCAAGACAGACAGGTCATGTATGCAAGGATGGTGTGAGCCTCCAGACTGTAGTGTGGGAGCTCACACCCAAGCACCCCTGGTGATACCCACCTCCACCAAAAACTACTGTGGTACCTCCTGCCCAGTGATGCTAATGGAGTGGCAAAGGCATGTGGACATCAAGAACACTGGCATGTGCCACTGCCCCATAGGGAGGGGCAGCAGGCAGGGGGAGGTCTTCTCTGTTCTCTGATACCCAACAAACATGCACATGCTCGACACCTGGCTCCATAACGCCTGCTGCTCAGCTTCTGTGAATTTCAACTTAGGCCCTTGAAACTGTGCGACTGAGTCCTGCCAAGAACCCTACAACGGCCTTCGGCTCATGAAGGCACTCATGGCCCTGAAAGCCTGAGCTACCCAGGACCAGACATCTGTGGTTATCTCCTGCCTCGGGCTCAAAAGCAATGGTGGGCGTCAGGTCAACTGGGGGATACTGGGTGTGCGGGTACATTCCCTCTATTTTTAATATGTTTGGAAATTTTCATTAAGTAAAACAAAACAAAACAAAAGAATTACTTAGGCTATTCAAATCAGTTTAAACTCATGCAGTGGGTGGCTAAAAGTTCTACTTCCTTCACACCAAGGAAACTAGTTTATGAAACATTAAGTGCCCAGTCAGGAGAGCAGCTCTAGGGTTCAAATTAAACATACACAAGCACTAGAAGGGGCAGCAGTGTCAGAGGGGGAGCAGAGCAAACTACAGTTCCATGAGGCGAGCTTTCTTCTGTCTTTCCATTCCAAGATACCAACTTTTAATACAAATGTGTTAGTATTTGTTATTAAAATACCCTTAGGAAAAAAAGAGAGCTTCCAGATGACAGTTCTGAGAAAAATGTGAAAACTTTTACTGTTATATTAAGAACAGGCAGTAGAAGCAACCTCTTCTGCACTTTTCAAAAGATACCGGGGGGCACATATGCCACGCTGGAATCAAGATCACGGAGTCAAACATGTATAAAGGTCCCACAGCAGGTCATGGTTCATACAGGACTTCAACTGACCTAATGCTGACAATACAATTTGCAAAAAGTATGAAAAAAGCAATACATATTTCTGAAACAAAAACGTACCTGTTGTAAAAAATAACATGCATAGTATTAGAACAGAACAGTCAATGGACCAGCCGTTACTGAAGACAGACGGCAGCAGGCAGCGGGGCCGGCTGTGGGTCTGCTGTGCACCCACACCCTTGAGGCCCTATTGTGAAGAACGCGCTGCTCTCCGCCGGCAGGGAAGCACACAGACCACTTGGCCACCATGCTTTCCGCCAGGTCTGTTCATGCTGAGACTTAGCAGTGACAGCCCAGAAGGGGATAGAGTTCCACGCTCCGAAGACATCACTGTCTTCAACACACGTCTAACATTCTTTCTGGAACCCCCAGCTCCTCCACTCTTCAAAGCTGACGACGTACAGAAATGGAAATAAGAATATGAAGACATCACACTGCCTTACAAAAACTGTCCTGAACGTTCCTTCAGACTGGGTCTTGACAGCTCCGCCTCCCGAGGCTTCCGGGGACTCCAGACACACATGAGCACCCGTCTTCAGTCATTAGCCACGGAGACTTTGGTCCCAACCAATGTCAGCCTTTTCTAGAAACTGGAGACCCTGATTAAAATGGCAAGATGTGTTGGTTCCATTTGCCTTGCAATAACCCTATGCTTCACAAAGATTCCGGACTAGGGGTATTCCCCATCCAACTTCATGCATCAGGAACCAGAATATTCTCACACCCAACTTTACGCATCAGAGAATCAGAATATTCTCACATTTTATTTCAAGGCACTCTCCACCAGAAGTGTAAAAAGAATAAACTACTCTGTAAAATGAAACTACATTCTTATAAACACAACAGTGATATACAAAATGAGACAAAGTAGAATTATACTGAATGCTCATTATCCCAAAGTGGCTTAATTTCATTTGCTTGCTGCAAAGACAAAGACTGTAAAAGGAGCAGGGAGAAAGTGTGCAAAGCACTTCCTTGGTAGACCTCCAGTCCACTAACAGACCGTGAGAAAAGCAAGGGTAGCCCCTACACAACGGGAAGGAACGCGTAACCTCGGAGACTTCGGTGTCTCCCCAACACTTGCTCGCGCTGGATGCTAGCACTGGCTTATCAGCCACCCACCGGCTGAACTGGAAATCAACAGCAGCACTTGGTGTGACAGCCAAGGCATGTGAGGACCCACTCGTGTTCCCCCAGTTTGTGGAGAGACTTCCCACTGCTATGCATCTCACCTCCCCTCGTTTTAAGAATAAGTCAAATTGACTATATTTTATACGATAAATGATCTTATATACACTAATAATAAAGGTAATTAGGAAGATGCTGAATTATCTGGTGCTGTTAAAGAAAATGAGCAGACATATCTCTCACCTAACAGTTTTCTTCTAGCTTCTGCTATATTTCACTTATCAGTTACTCTCTTTCCCCCCAACTTACCTTCATCCTCAAACCTCAGAGGAAAGAATACCAAGGAAGGGTCAGGTGTGGGAGAGCGGGAGTTGGAAGGCAGCATTTCCAGGGGGTAGGGAAGCACCACTTCCCTAGCACCGCACCTGACAAGGTTCCAGGGTCAGCCAGGCGATAAGTCTGGAGGCTACCATGCTTCCATAAGGACTGCAGCAGTTTTATCTTTGCATCTCTTACTAATTACATAAGCCATCTAAGTCAAAGTAAACACTGCTAAAAGCTCCTACCCACTGGAGAGAGAAGTAGAGTGCTTGAAAATGCAACCTCATCAGGCTCCAACGGAGAAAGCAGCGTCATTCAGAGGCGAGAACAGTGCTGTGGACGCCTCGCTATCAACACTCAAGGGATCCAGGAGCACGGTGAGGACGGCCCCTCGGAGGCAGATCACCTGACCGGCTCCGGTACTGCCGAGCTGGTCACCGCACCCAGAGACTGTGCTTGTCAAGATGCCTGGCTACTTGAGAATAAGGCGAGATCCCAGATTCAAGTGCTGGCAGAATTTCGCCCATCAGATGCACCTGCAGTCTCCACTGCCGCCAAAGGACGCCTTCGGATGGGTCAGCAGTTCCATGAACATCCACAAAACCAACGCTTGGCACCACTCAGTGGGGTCAACAGTGACCGGCGGCCCACTGCGATAAGTCCAGACACGTCCGCACCAAGAGCTACACAGGCAAGTGACATCAACTATCCCGACTGGCAGGCAAGACACACAGCCCTGTACCACTTCCCTCCTGCCCCCCAGAGCAGGGAGTGCAGGACACCCGCAGGGCCACCAACAGCGGAAGATGAGATGCTGCTGAGATGCTGAGGGGCAGATCACTGAGGCTCAACACGCTTCCTTGTGCCAACAGTTGTGCACCAGCAGCTGAGGCCCTGTGTCCCCTGTGGTCAAGGGCTGCCTCGCTCTAAGGGAGGCCGCTCACTCAGCACAGGGCCAAGAGGCGTTTCCAGCTGCAGGTACCAAAAAAAGCCACTGCCGCCATCACAGGGGGAAGAGCCCCAAAGACAAATGTCGTTTGAGATGATTAACACTTTTTAGAGGCCATTTTGGTCATTCTTGAAATCAAAGAGAAACCTTTATTTTCAACAAAACTGCCCAGAAGAGATGGTTCGCTGATCCACTATGAACCGGCCTCTCACCACGCACAGCACCAAAATATATATTTAAAAAATTAAAAAACACATAGCCCCTCACACACATCTCCCAAAAGCCACACAACCCAGACAAAAGGGAAAACCAAACTGAATGCCCTCACACACAAGCCGTCTTTGAATTAGGATTTACAAATTTATATATTCTTTCCTATGGGGAAAAAAACAAAAAACCACAGGAGTAAGGAAGAACTTGTAGGTGCAGGCCTGACAAGATTTGGGGGAAGTAAGATGTAATGTCTGCCTAAGCTAACAGAAAGCAGAATCACGATTCGTGCTTTTCCTGTATTTGGAGGGGGACGCGGCCTAACAGCACAGCCCTCGGGGCAGACCAAATCCTTCAGCAGCCAGAGGCCCCAGGAACGCCAAAAGAGCCGACCGCAGACTGCCAGATTCCTCAGCGGGTACCGGGCTACAGCGTCTGCATCAGGCTGCCAAAGGGACGGCGTATCTTTCCTCGCAAGTTTCCACTGCCTACAAGGCCATTTTTCCCTATAAAAAAAGATGCCAGGTCAAAAAAAAGTACAAGGGAGAAAAAGAGTTCTGTACTGCAGTAAGAAAGCCGCAGTCGAAGGCTGATCCCAGGCAAGCCCCATGACACAGAGCTGCTGTTGGGTCCACCACACAAGTGCAGGTGCTACTTGGGCTCCTCGATCACACCCTTGCTGAGGTCTGTCATTTTGGGATATTTTACTTTCTTCTGGTCCAGCTCATTCTGAGCCCAAAGTAGTAGTTTCAGTAATTTTGCCAGTTTGGGTGTTGACTCGCGATTTTCATAGTCGAGGACAGCTTGGTTCACTTCACTCCACACCTAGAACACGAAGACATCCGATAAAACCACCACATGCGCAGAGCGTTGGCACTCATTAAAAACGTGGTTTAAACAAACACTAAGCCCTAAATGTGAGACACTCTCGAGATATTAAACACACAGTCCCTGCCTGGGGAAGCTCACAGTCTGGTCAGCAAATGTCACATCCAGCCTTGATGGCAGTTAAGTGCCAAGAGCAAGGCTTGAACCAAGTGCTGAGGGGACCGTGAGAGAGGCAAGACCAGCACAGCAGGCCACACCAGCAGCCTCCTCACACGCCTCAAGAAAACATCTCCAGTGGACTCCAGGACAGGCTGTCCTTCCAAGACAGTGCAAGGAGAACGGAGTCATGGGAGAGGACCTGGTGGGAGACAGTACAGGGAGGACAGGGTCCCGGGAGAGGACCTGGGGGGAGACAGTGCAGGGAAGACAGAGTCCCGGGAGAGGACCTGGGGGGAGACAGTGCAGGGAGGACAGAGTCCTGGGACAGGACCTGAGGGGGGACAGTGCAGGGAGGACAGAGTCCCGGGAGAGGACCTCGGGTGAGACAGTGCAGGAAAGACAGTCTGGGAGAGGACCTGGGGGGAGACAGTGCAGGGAGGACAGAGTCCTGGGAGAGGATATGTGGGAAAAGGGGCCTGGGTCTGGAAAGTCAAGGAGCTGTCATGGTCTGCCAGACAAAAAAATAGCAGCGAGGAGAGAAGAGTTTAAGAAAACGGGATTTTAAATGAAAAAATACTTGGGACATAAGCAGGAAGATGGTTTAGATAAGTATGAGAAATCAGCAAAGGGTGAGAATACTCTCCAAGGGTCATGAAGTCTAGCTTAACAAGATAAAAGATTAAAAGCCACAGAGGGGCCGGGTGTGGCGGCTCATGCCTATAATCCCAGCACATTGGGAGGCTAAGGCAGGCAGATCACCTAAGGTAAGGAGTTTGAGACTAGGGTGGCCAATATGGGAAGCATGGTCTCTACTAAAAATACAAAAATTAGCCAGGCTTGGTGGCACACTCCGGTAGTCCCAGCTACTCGAGGCTGAGGCAGGAGCATCACATGAACACAGGAGGCGGGGGTTGCAGTGAGCCAAGCTCTCATCACTGCACTTCAGCCTGGGCGACAGAGCAAGACTCTGTCTCAAAAAAAAAAAAAAAAAAAAGCCAGGGAGGAACCACTCAGTGTCCAGACCCAGAAGCCACCTGTCTCTCAGTCCACAGCACAAACCCACCCATGTGGTGTCTTTGCGAATTCCCCCTTGGAGCACGTCAGCAATGGAAGGAGGCTTCCCTCTCACGGGCCCCACCTTCTGCCTCTGCATGGTGTGGAGGAGGTCTCCAAAGGGCGACTCCTCGGGACTGTCAAAGGCCAGTAGAGCCAGGGTGCGCTCCATCTCCGTGAGGCACTCCCGGCTCTCCTCGCCCTGCTCTGCTAGCTGAGTCTGTGCAAACTCCAGCGCTGCCTCCGTCTCCCGCTGGCGGATCAGCTCGATCAAATGCTGTTGCTGAAGGCAGAGACAGACAAGACTGACCCACCACACACCCAGCCCAGGGACTCAAGGGCCACACCAGGTTCCCATCAAAAGTACATCGCAGAGGGAAGACTTTTCTTGCATCTCTTGAGTTATCAAATTTGCATTTTTAAAACAAAAAACAGCTTCTGAACTACATAAAACAGCAAATTCAAACCCTTCCCCCAACATGCATTAAAATAATATTATCTTGGCTGGGCGTGGTGGCTCACACCTGTTATCCCAACACTTTGGGAGGCCAAGGCGGCCAGATCATGAGGTCACGAGATCAAGACCATCCTGGCTAACGTGGTGAAACCCCATCTCTACTAAAAATACCAGGTGTGGTGGCACGCACCTGTAGTCCTAGCTACTTGGGAGGCTGAAGCAGGAGAATCGCTTGAACCCAGGAGGTGGAGGCTGCAGTGAGCTGAGATCATGCCACTGCATTCCAACCTGGGCGACAGAGCAAGACTCCATCTCAAAATAAATAAAGAAAAATAATAATATTATTAAAGCAAATTAGCCTAGTTATTTCTCAATCACTGCAAATAACTTTAACTTCTCAAGTATCTGCAAACCAGACTCCTCCCTCCTGAAACATACCTGCAAATGGAAGTAAAGATACCGGTTTGTGTCCAAGAGCTCTGGGTGGAGGCTGTTGATCAAGGCGATGGCCTCCTGAATCTGACCTTTCAGTATCATCTCCCGGATCTTGATTCGTTCGTCAAGTGTTTCCAGATCCACGCTAGGTTCGATCCCAGATTCCATTCGAAACTTCTCCGCTGCTTCTTTAAAGCCCTCTGAAAATAAAAACCATCTTCACTGCTAAGAAAGTCAGCAAGGAATTAAGGCAAAGACTTTGTATCTCCAGAAACTCCAACTGCCTCAATTAATCACCTCTGATGTGAACCTCACTTTCTCAGGGACTCAGTATTAATATCTTTGTAATTTACAAGTTATGCTCTCAAAATACATATAGAAAACAAAAAGAGTATGCCTCATTCCTTGTTATCCCATCCAAAAACTCTAAGCAGTTAGCCAAAGAGGTATAGCCAAACAGGGCCACTGGCCCAGTGCGTTGGTGTGCGCTCCTTTGAGAAGACAAATAATAGGTCCAGACACCAGCAGCTGCAGATCTGGTGCCAGGTTAGGCAAGACACACCGGCTCCACCTCCACAGCACAGCGGCCCTCCACGGACAGCTCTACCTGAGTGGCCTGGTGACTCACACCTCTTAAGAGTGTTTACAGTTCTTCAAAGCCAGCATGTGTGCCCTTTCCCCTGTCCCCGACACAATTATAGGCCTAAATTTCCTCATCACCTTCCAAAAATATTTTTTTGAGATGGGGGTCCCACTTAGTCACCCAGGTGGGAGTGCAGTGGCACAATTTTGGCTCACTGCAACCTCCGCCTCCCGGGCTTAAGTGATCCTCCCACCTCAGCCTCCCAAGTAGCTGGGACTACAGCACAAGCCACCACACCCAGCTAATTAAAACATTTTTTTTCTAAAGACAAGGTCTCACTATGTTGCCCAGTCTGGTCTTGAATTCCTGGGCTCAAGCAATCCTCCCACCTCTGCCTCTCAAAGTGCTAGGATTACAGGCATGAGCCACCACACTTCACCCAAAAAATTTTAACAGAGATTAACCTTGCAGTGGGAACTGGGGACTAAAAGGAGGGAGATTTACTTTTCATGTTATGCTTTTATTGATTGATTGATTGAGATGGAGCCTCACTTTGTCACCAGGCTGGAGTGTAGAGGCACCATCTCAGCTCACTGCAACCTCTGCCTCCTGGGTTCAAGTGATTCTCCTGCCTTAGCCTTCCAAGTAGCTGGGGCTATAGGCGCATGCCACCATGCCTGGCTAATTTTTGTATTTTTAGTAGAGACGGGGTTTCAGCACGTTGGCCAGGATGGTCTCGATCTCTTGACTTTCTAACCTGCCTGCCTCGGCCTCCCAAAGTGCTGGGATTACAGGAGTGAGCCATGACACCCGGCCATGTTATGCCTTTTAAAAATTTCCGGATTTTTTTGCGACATACAGCACTGCCCTCCCTCCAGCTGACATCAAGAACAGCCTGAGTGTTATTTCCCTCTGCACACTTCTGCCCTTCCCCATTCTCATCCTCTGAGTTGGGCACACCCTCTAGAAACAGGCCAGCATACTTTACCAGACTGGCCAGAAGAGATCAACTGCTCGGGCTTTAGGGATACTTCACAACAGTCTCAATCTTCTTGATTATCTAACAGTAAAACTGTTAAAGGCTGAGAAATGGGTTTGTGTTAGGTCTTGGAGACCCAAAATAATCTGATCTCCAGAAAAGGCTATCTTTTACATGATAATTTACAAACTTACCAAGTTAGCACTGTGTTTCTATAATGTCTGAACACAAATAACTACACCATCAAACCTCAGGGTTACCTCGCTCCTTACGTGTTCAGAAAGGGAGAGCCACATTAACGCAGCGGTGTCCTCGCTGTAAGCCATTACCTGTGACCAGGTAGTTCATGATGAGGCGGTTCATGTCTGCTCTCTGGACATGTAAGTTATTGAGCTTTTCCATCCACTCATCTTTCGTGATTTCATCGGGTTTTTCTGCATAACTCATTCTGATTTATTTCTAAAAGAAAAAAATCATAGCTGAGGGAGGGGTTTAGATTCTCCTCTAAGTGCAAAGGGCAGTGCTGGAGAGCCGTGAGCAAGAGAATCCCACACTATGAGCATGGACTGAAAGAGAAGGCTGCCGCAGGACACCCACCAGACTGAGAATGCCAATTTTTAGCAAAGACATAAGTTCACCTGAACTCTTCTACTCTGGTGTCAGGAGAATGGACTGTACTACAAAAATAATCTGGCATCCATTGTAATGCTGAACATGTGTGCTCCTTACAACCCAGCAATTCTTCTTTTAGTACATTTATATTCTAGAAAAACTCACCAGAACGCAGCAAACACAGAAAACCCTGTTCCCGGCAGCACTGTTCAAATTGGCAGAAGTGTGGAAGCCACCCACCTGCACAGAACCACACTGCATGTTAAAACCCTTGGGCAGATGTGTTTTGAATTTGGAATACTTCAATGTACAGTGATATTTGGTGCCATTCACCATGGAACAGCCTCCGTGGGGTTTGGGGGAGTTCCCCACCATTAGAATCTACTTCTTTAGTGAAATGTGTGAGTATCCACACGAAGCAGCAGGGCTATTAAACTTTCTGCTGAGGTTTGGGCCAAACGAAACCATAAACTTTGGTGTCAGAGATGTTTAGACTTTAGCATTGCTGAGAAAGTTCTGTGGTCATGTACTCACACAAGAGAATTTCATAAAGCAGATAATGTCACACAAAGTCACAAAGATGACTGTCATACAACAATGCTGAATGAAAAAAGCAAGTTGCAGGAGAGGCCAAATGTGGCGTATTTTATAAGGAACAAGATAAAATACATGATGCATGCTTTAGCAACAAATATGTGGCCAAACTATTTTGTTTCTTAAAATAGGGGCATGAAAGCTGACACTCAGGAGGGGTTACCTGTGGGAGGGGCAGATGTCTAAAGCCCAAGAGGCAGCTGTTCCAGCTTTGGGAGAATGGCTGGGTACCTGAGATGGGCAGTGGTCACACCACTGTCCACTCTGTCTTCATCTTTTGTCACTGATATATGTGTTACAGATGCTACTTTATACAAAGGACTGCTAAAGTGCTTCAGTAAATTAAATAACTAAAAGATGATTTTGGTCTCCTGGCTGAAAAAAGGATGAATGCAGGGTGGTGAGAACGGACCAGCAAGTCCATTAAGGAGACACTCAAGTGAGAGAGGACATGGAGAAGAGACGGAGAGACAGGTAAGATCAGGACGCTTTGGTCATGGAATCAGTGGCTGCTGCTGGACAGAAGATGACGGGACAAAAGAAAGGGAAGAACTGAAGATGGTCACAGGTTTCAAGCATGAGAGGCCTTGGAAGATGGGGCCACAAATAAGGAGGAAGGACTGGGAGAAGAACAGGTTTGAGAAGCAGGGCAAGTTTGAGGTGACTATTAGACAGATATGCAGCTGGAGAAATCAAGCAGGTGTCTGGATTCCAGATCCTGAGCTCAGTGCTGGAAACATTAATTAGGAAAATAGGGCGGGGGACGGGGATATTTAAAGCTAAGAATTCAGCAAAGACCACCCAGGGAGAGCGTACCTAGGGAATGAGAATCGTCATTACTTAGAGGATGCCAGCCTTGAAGGTCAAGCAGAGGAAATGGCACCAGCAGAAGAAAAGTTGCTGTGGAGAAGCAGGTAAGGTGGAGTGACCAGGATCTGCCGTCACGCACCAACACCCACCTCCTGCACTTAGTCAACTGCAAAACTCACTGAGACCAAATTTTTATCCATGACAATCAAAGGTAACTTAAGGACCATTTAAAGTCAGGATATTGCTTTGTTGCCCAGGCTGGAGGGCAGTGGCGCGATCTTGGCTCACTGTAGCCTCGACCTCCTGGGCTCACGATCCTCTCACCTCAGCCTCCTCAGTAGCTGGGGCTACAGGTGCGCACCACCACGCCTGGCTAATTATTTTGTTTTTGGCAGAGACCGGGGTCTCGATGTTGCCCAGGCTGGTCTCGAACTCGCGGGCTCAAGTGACCCGCCCACTTCGACCTCCGCCACCGCGCCCGGCCCCGGCCCTAGGTCCCACATTATGAGCTCCCTAGGAAAGGCACCTTTTCCCTTGGCCCATTCGGGGATCGGGACTCAGTGCGCTTCCACTCCCGGGCAGTTACGTGCGTCCATGAAAAGCAACAACTTTGGAGAACTGGCCCGTCCGGTTTGCGGGAAGAACTCGGTAGTCTCAAACTCCGCATAAAAAGATTCAGCAGGAGGAGACACCCTGGGTGCCGAAGACTCCTGCTTTCCACGCCACGCTTTACATCCTCACCCGCTCGGCTTCTGCTTTCAACCGGCAGATTTTGTTTAAAAACCACGTTACAGACGCCGCTCCACAGAGACAGCGACCGCCCCTGAACGCCAGCGCCTGGGGCCGCGCGCCTGGAGGCTGATCCCTGACTGCCCTCAACTCTGCACCAGCTCGCGCCAGCGCACCGAAGGCCGCTAGAGCGGAGGCCGCGCGCACCCCGGCCGCGTCCCGCCTGCCCCGGCTCCGGGAGACGCTCGGCCCGGACGCCCGGGCCCGCCGCCGCCATCTTACCGTGCGAATCCTGTCTCCCGCGCTGCGCGGTCTGGGCAGCGGCGGCGGCGGCTCCGCAACCGCTCCTGGGCCGGGGAGGAGCGGCGGCAGCCGGGGCGCCTGAGTAGAAGGAGGCGGAGGCGGGGGCCGCGGCGGAGGCGGGGGCGGGGGCGGGGAGCGGAGGGAAGGGGCACCGGCGGCCGCCCCTCAGCACCTCTCGCGACAGCACGAGAGCGCGAGAGCGCGAGCAGACGACCAATGGAGCGCCCCCACGAAGGGGCGGGACCGACAGCCTCCCGGAAGAGCGGGAGCTCAGCTTCCGTCCTTGCGCACAACTCTCTTCGCGGCAACCTCGCGCTACGGGTTGGCGCGAGAGTCAAAAGGCGTCGGCCGCCTTTGGGTAAGATGGCTGCTGCGGAGGCGTTGGAGTGTGGAAACCTGGAGCAAGGATGGCGACGTCTGCACTGAGTCAAAGGCGAAGGTCTCAGCTCTTTTCCTGTCGTTTGCGTGAGGCCGGACGGGGTGGGGCGGAGGAAGGGCGTCGGGTATCCGCGGTCGCCCCAGAGACGTGGAGGAAGTCCCCTCCCGACCGGCGGCCTGCCAGGACTGGTGTCCCTGAGGCCCCGGGAGAGGCCGCGGACCCGAGGCCTGGCCGGGCGGGAGCCGTGGTCTCTGCTCGCGGAAGTGATTCCTTGGCTTTATCCGAGATGTTACTGAGCGCGTCCTCACTCGAGGCCAGGTGGGGAATCCGGAGGTCGCTGCCCTCCCTGAGGTCGCGCTGTAGGGGCCGGACGCGGCCCGGGCGCGCGGGACAAAGGAGACCCCGCTGGCTTGCGGGGCGGAGTCCCAGCGGCGGCGCGGGCAGGGCCGGGGGGCTCAGTGAGGCCGCACTTGGGTGTGTGAGCGTTTTCTTGCTTGTTGCCGTCCGCTCGGGAGGAACGCACGCTCCGGCATTGCGGGGTCCCCTGTTTCCGCGGCTGGGAAGTAACTTAGAGTATTTGATGGAGCCGGAGGAAGAAAGAGTCCTTGAGGGGCGGCCGCCGGTTTCATCTGAGGCGTCCAGGGAACGCCTCTGAAGCGCGGTCGGGGTGACGGGTTTCGCGCGGTTGCTGGCGGGTGACCTGAGTAACGCGTAAGGCACGCCGGTCGGGCTGCTCGGCCTCAGTCAGTCCCGTTCGGCAAAGAGGCTGGAAAAAGACGACCGGTTTTGGACATTTTCCGTTAATCGAAAGAGCTCAATCGAAAGAGCTCAATCGACAGGTCTAAGGTCTTGACAGAATTTTGCTTGATAACGCAGAGGCAGTACATGTCGGTAATTACGTCATTTGCAACTGCTTAACCCTACGGAAACAGTTCTTGATCTTTATTTTATTTATTTATAGACAAGAGTCTCACTTTGTCGCCCAGGCTGGAGTGCAGTGGCGCGATCTCGGCTCACTGCAACTTCCACCTCTTGAGTTCGATTCTCCTGCCTCACCCTCCCGAGTGACCGGGACTACAGGCGCACGCCAGCACGCCCGGCTTTTTTTTTTTTTTTTTTTTTAGTTGAGGTGGGGTTTCACCATGTTGGCCAGGATGGTCTCAAACTCCTGACCTCAAATGATTACCCACCTTGGCCTCCCAAAGTGCTGCGATTACAGGCGTGAGCCACCGCGCCCGGTCTATTTTTATTTACGTTTTTTAGAGACGGGCGTATTGGCTTCTTGCCCAGGCTGGTCTCGAACTCCTGGGCTCAAGCTATCCTCCCACCTTAGCCTCTGGAAATGCTGGATTTACAGGCATGAGCCAACCATGCATAGCTTGAACGTCAGCGAAAAAGTGTGCCGGGGGGGGGGTGCACGAGCAAAAAGTTGAGTGCTAACGCTTTCAGGAGGCATTCCGTAACGCTCCAGTCCGAAGAGGCTTTCTCGGTGCCTGCCTGTGGGTCACAGGTTAATGCCCCTCCTCCCCTCCTACTTGTGTCCCCTCCTTCATCCTCTCTAGAAACTGGCTCCTTTGTGCTATTTCCCAGCCTCTTCCACTGTAACGTGGAAGCCATCGTTTTTGATTTTAGGATTGCCAGGACGTCTTCCTAACTCGTGCGAATGTGGGAAGTCACATAGCAGTCTCCACCTGTCACATAGCAGACATGGTGATCTCCGAAAACCATCACTCACTGACTCTGTCCTCCTCTAAGCATCCCTTGGGGACCCCCCCCCACAATTGCCCACGTAAAGTAAGCACAGCCTCTAAGTCTGCACTCCTGATCTTACTTTTTTTTTTGAGACCGAGTTTTGCTCCCACCATCCCAGACTATGGGAGGTTCTCTTGTGTCGCCAAGCTCTGTTATTACTGTGCTCTCACAATCTGGGCCCTGCATGTAAAACACTTCCCTAGGCTAATTCCTGCTTACCTGCTCAATAGAGATGCGGCTTTCTTGGGGAAATATTTCCTACACAAAGCTGGATTGAGTGCCTTTCCTTTATGCTTGCACAGAATCCTAAACTAGCCCTTCGTAGCTCTTAGCACATGGTCTATGTCGTTGCTGCCTGGTAGGATGTCATGATTCACCATTAAAGGGTAAGCTTCATGCGAGCCGATGATGGCTGAAGTCTAGTTTGTAATAAAAGTTCCATAAATATTTATTTGTTGAGTAGATGAAGGAGTAAATGAGTGAATGATTATGAGGACCTTAACTGGAAGCAGTACCTTCAGTCAGAAGGGAAATAAGCAGTCCTTGGTGACTGACAGTTTGTGGGAGTGAAGAGGGCAGCCCAGAGTGATGCTGGTGAGTAGCCCAGCTGGTGAGGTCGTATCGCCAACTGAGATTGATCATGAGGAAGGAGGTGCAGCAGCTAGGAGGGAAAGTTGATGAGCTCTGCGTGGGCCTCGTTGAGTTGTCGAATTGAAGGTGCCTGTGGGATAGATCTAAGCTCAGGGGAAGAGCAGGGCTGGAGTTGGGAGATGGGTGTAATGTAATCAGAGGAAGTCCAGGGAGGCAAGGAGCAGATCAAGTCTGGAACGCAAAGCTGCAGCCTGTATTCTGAGGAGGAGGTTGCCTGTGAAGGGTAACAGGAAGTGGCCAGAGGGGTCTGACAAGAACCAGGGGCTTAAAAGGTGCTCCCTGTGGCCACAGGGTGTAGAGTTTCAAGAAGCTGCGTTAGCAGTGTCCAGGCTGTAGGGAAGTCCAGGGTGAAGCTGCCAAAACTGCCCATTTGATAGCTTTTGGTGACAGAGCAAGAAGTTGACGATGTGGTGGGAATGGGAGACACCCGATTGTGGTGAGTAGGGGTGAGGTGAAGATAGTTGAGTGTGTCGAAGCGTTCAGAAGCCGTTAGGGCCATGCGGCATATGTACTGTGACGTGAGCAGGGGGCTAGATGCCACCAGACGCAGGTGAGGAGACTGAGGAGCAGGGAGGAGGTCAAGGATTTCTCAGCTTCTGGCTCATGCATTTATGGGGTGGGACTATCCTCTGGATAGGGAGTACCAGGGAAGAGCCTGGATGTAGTAGGGAGGTCAGAAGTCATAAGCTCATTTTTGCATGTTAGGTAGGTTTTAAAGTGCATTTGAGGCATCCACGTGGAGATGCCAGGGGAACAGGTGAATGATGGTGCAGGCAGAGATAAAGGTAACTACAGCCAGGTATGCATGAAGTCCCCGTGGAGAGTGTGTGGGTGAAGGTAGAGGAGGATAGCCTGGGCCAGAGCCCTGAAGACACCAGCATGTGGGGTCACTAAGGGTGCCGGAAAACAGGAAAGAGGTTGGTGGGTCCTGGGACCAGAGAGGGTGCAGGGCCACACCGGTTGACATCTGGGACCGTGACCAAGATTTCAGCCTGGTGGATTCATCAGCTGCCTGAGCTTTCCTATGACAGAGGTGAGCTGTGGACAAGACAAACCACAGGCTTGACATTTAGAGTCAGCTGAGGGGCAGCCAGGTGTTCAGAGCTTCCAGTGCTTTGCAAGCAGAGGCGGTGGGTTTGAACTTGAATTGTTTCATTTTGAGAGAGATGAACCAGAAGAGGAGTGCTAAAAGTATATTAGTCTTGGTGTTTTTGAAGATGGAGTCTCTCTCTGTTGCCCAGGCTTGAGTGCTATGGCGCAATCTCAGCTCACTGCAGCCTCCCGACTCCTGGGTTCAAGTGATTCTTCTGTCTCAGCCTCCTGAGTAGCTGGGGTTACAGGCATGTACCACCACACCAGCCTAATTTTGTATATTTAGTGGAGATGAGATTTCTTTATGTTGGTCAGGCAGGTCTCACACTCCCAACCTCAGGTGATCCGCCAGCCTTAGCCTCCCAGGGTGTCGGGATTCAGGCATGAGCCACCACGACCGGCAGGTATATTAGTCTTAAAGAAACATTAATGAATTTTTAAAAATGGGAAAGCAGTTCATGCAGGCTGGAGTGCAATGGTGTGATCACGGCCCACTGCGACCTACACCTCCCAACTAATCCTCCTGTCTTAGCCTCGTGAGTAGCTGGGACTACAGGTAGAAGCCACCACACCCAGCTAATTTTGATAATTTTATTTTTAGAGAAGAGGTCTCACTATGTTGCCCAGGCTGTTCTCAAACTTCTGGGCGCAAGCAATCCTCCTGCCTGGGCCTCCCAAAGTGCTGGAATTACAAATGTGAGCCACTGTGTGGAGTGTTTCTTTACTCAAATTGTATAATGTTTTAAAAAAAAAACCAGGTTATCAGCTGTGTTTCACAAAACCACATTATTTCCATGGATGTTTTGTTTTACTCTCAAAACCCAAAAGCATAAAATCAAACCCCTACATACTGGAGACTTGAGGCTTTCAAAGATACTGAGCAAATCAAACCACCTTATTTTTCAGGATAATTGGTAAGCCCATCAGTTGATGCTCAGAATGATTAGCACAAGTAGGTAGGGAACACCCAGACCTCAACTTTCATTTTGCACAGTATTTTAAACAATTTTCTTAGAGATATTGGAAAGGGGTAAGGAAGAATTTTACTATTTAGTCTGGTGCACATAATCTTTTTTTTGAGACAGAGTTTTGCTCTTATTGCCCAGGCTGGAGTGCAATGGTGCAATCTTGGCTCATTATAAACTCCTCCCAGGTTCAAGCGATTCTCCTGCCTCAGCCTCCCGAGTATCTGGGATTACAGGCATGCACCACCAAGCTCAGCTAATTTTGTATTTTTAGTAGAGATGGCGTTTTTCCATGTTGGTCAGGCTGGTCTCGAACTCCTGACCCCAGGTGATCTGCCCACCTTGGCCTCCCACAGTGCTGGGATGGTGGGCATGAGCTCTGCGCCTAGCCTGCTGCACATGTTCTGACACCATGTGTCTGTGGTGAACCCAGACCCTGTAAAGCATCTTTACTGTTGTTTGATATAAGTGCCCTCCCCCTCCCACTTTTTGTCTGATTTTATTTCCCTTTCTAAATTATACTACTAAATCAAAGTACTGAATATGTTGTAAGTTAGTTTGGGTGAGAGCAAGAATAATCTTTTCCTGATTTTTTTTTTTAACTCCTGCTGAGGTTGAAACATAAACTGTGTTCAGTATACTGTTACCTGAAACAAATGTGGTGGGAGGTAAGGTGGTACAGTCCTGCCATTGCAGACCAGCAGGAAAGTCCAGACAGAGGATTTTGAGTAGCAATGTACATGGTCAAAACATCGTTAATGTACTATTTCATTTGAGTTTGATTTTGCACTTGGAACCTCATTGTTCAGGGTTTGATGGACAGTTATTAGTTTGGGATCTGACTTTTCTTTTTTATAAAAATTATATATATATATAAATCTACACACATACATGTGGATAGTTTTGCCTGTCTAAGTTTTTTGTGTGCATGCAGCTGTTGTGAGCACCTGTCTGATTAGAAGGTAGAATTAGAAATAGAGTTCCTGTGTTTCCCAGGCTGGCCTTCCAACTCCTGGGCTCAAGCGATCCTCTCTCCTGGGCCTCCCAAAGTGTTGGGATTACAGGCGTGAGCCACCGAGTCTGGCCCTACATTTACTCTTTAAATACTTTTGTATTTGAATGAAAGAGGCAGGGTGGTTCACACCTGTGATCCCAGCACTTTGGGGAAACTGAGACAGGAGGATTTGTGAGACCAGGAGTTTGAGACCAGCCTGGTCAACAAAGTGAGACCACACCACTCTTTTAAAGAAGGGAAAAACCTGACATCTCCATGGGTATTTTTTGGAACCTGCAAATGCTCAGCCTTTGCTGTTATTGTTGGTGTATTTCCTTCAAATACACTCTCAATTTTACCATTTTATTCTTGTGAACTAGGCAAAAACAGGAATTAATTATACGGTTATTCCTATCTGGACAATGAAAACAATCCTGGAAGTGTTTTCATTGAAGAAAAAAGTCTTCAAGTGTAGCCTGCACAATTGTAGCCCCATCCGTCCCCCTAAGGTCCCACACTCCGGAGGCATTGAGGTTAGGCAGAAGGCACAAGAATGGGGCCGGGGCACTGCACCTGGAATGCGGTATGAACTGATCGTTGTCTGACCTCATGATGTCCCTGCTCCTTCCACCTGATGCTCTCCAGTGGGTGTAGGAATTCAGTCAGCTGTGGGTTCGTTTCTACTTTTTCACCGGTCTATATTCCGTGGTGTGAATTGCCTGTAAGGGTAAATGTCCTGTTTGGGTGCAACTGCCTTACTCTTAAAGTACCTTTCTGACAGAATCTGTGAACGTGGTTGTTTTTTCCTTTTGACTTTCTTGTTTGCTATGTTCCTTTGCTATGTTGAGATAAAACCAGTCAGAAAAGAAATAGATTTTTTGCCTTATACTTATTAAAATATTAATTTATTAAAAAGTTGGCTCTATTTACTTTTCATTGACCTCAAAGAGAAAACTTAACACCTCAGAAACATGAAACGTTCTCAGAGGAAGGAATAATGAGCAGGGTTCTGTATTAATGTGTTCACTCTTGTTTAACAGCAGAGGATATAGAAATCCTGCAGCCAAGGCCAGGCACAGTGGCTGTGTAATCCCAGCACTTTGGGAGGCAGAGGTGGGTGGATCCCTGCAGTTCAAGACCAGCCTGGGCAACATAGTGAAACCCTGTGTCTCTACAAAAAAAAAAAAAAATACACAAATTATTTCGTGGTGGTGTGCGCCTGTAGTTCCAGCTACTCGGGAGGCTAAGGCAGGAGGATTGCTTGAGTCTGGGAGGCAGAGATTGCAGACAGCCAAGATGACACTACTGCACTCCAGCCTGGGTGACAGTGTGAGACCTTGTCTCAGGGAAAACACGCCACCACCACAAACTGCAGCTGCTTCTTTATAAAGATATATGGGAAATGATAGAACTGAGAATAACACATCTAGATTCAGTTCCCTTCCATAAGAAGTTCCTTTTGGCTTGTTTGCGGATATTGTTGTAAGTTCAGTGCTGCTGTCTTGAGTAACTTACAGAGGCTAATGTGACCAAAGAAAGATCCATCCCTTGTTTTTCTAATTAAAAGTTAGTCTTAGCACAGGTTTCTAGTACATTCAATTGATAAGACAGTGTCCATAATGCTAATCACAAAAATTCAGAGTGTATAATGAGTTGGTCCAGCATTAAGTGGGGCGATTCCCTCCTCCCATCTCCTTTCCCTCCCTTTTTTCCTATTTCACATTTATTCTTTTGCCTAAAAGACAGAAAATTGGTGTGATTCTCATGTGATGCGTAGAACATGTAGCTCCATCACCTCCCACAGCTCTCTAGAGGTCTGGGGTTGGAGCAAAGAGTTTAACCTCTGATTCTGTTTTTCCTTTAATTATTTTGTTTCCCAGCCCTTTTGCATCCTGCCAGTTCCCCTTACCCACTGTCCTCCATCCTCTCCTGCTGTGCTGGTTGTCTCAAAACAGCTTTCAGCGGAATTCATTGAGTGGGTGAATTCTGTGAAGTTGCCTTTTCTGGCAGTTCTGTTACTCAGTGATGCACAAACGTAGCATTTGCCCTCTGGTAGATAAAGATTTGGGGTGAGTGTGCGCATATATATATATAATTTTTTTTTTAGACAGTCTTGCTCTGTTGCTCAGGCTGGAGTGCAGTAGTGGGTTTAAGCGATTCCCCTGTCGTAGCCTCCCGAGTAGCTGAGATTATAGGTGCACGCCACCACGCCCGGCTAATTTTTGCATTATTAGAGATGGGGTTTCACCATGTTGGCTAGGCTGGTCTTGAACTCAGGACATCAGGTGATCCACCCGCCTCAGCCTCCCGGAGTGCTGGGATTACAGGCATGAACCATGTGCCTGGAAGATCTGGTTAATATTATTTAAAGGAGCCAAAGACAGTGCTTTACTGTTTGCTTTGGGGGAAGCAGCAGCCAATCTGATTGTGACAGCTTTTAGCATGGGTGAGTTGATTTATCTAAAGTTAACTGTTAAAAGTTAGCTGCCCTTATACAATGTAAAAGTAATGAAAATTCATCCGTTTCTCAAGAAAAGAGCACACACAGTGAAGTTTTTGTTGGCAATAAGAAAACAGTAGGCATATATATATATGTACACACACACACACACACACACACACACTCACACACTTTTTTTCCCCTGGGAATCCACGTTCTCCTCCTGGGTGAAGGAAAGGGTTGTGTTATGTGATTCGTTTTTCCTGCCCCAAGTGGCTGGCGGCACAGCCCCAGCGCGCCGGGCACTGAGGCCCTGCAACGCGGCGGCGTGAGAGGCCTGGCGCGCAGACACAGCTCAGGACCGGGCCGATCTCCCGCCAAAAGGAACAATGTTCCGGCCGGGTCGCGGGCCTGAGGTCTGCGGGAATCTTGCGGGCGTCCTACCGAGCAGGCAGAGGAGGAGCCCAGCGCCGAGGCCCAGGCGCGTCCCGCTCCCGCCCCGACCCCTCGCCGTGTCTCTCCCTCGCTGCCCGCCTCTCGAAGGCCGAGACCTGGACGCTGCCCGGTGGCCTCGGCGGGGCCCCTGTCCTTGGCCGCTGCCTCTGAATCCCAGGTGAGAAGAATAAAACCTGACGGTGTCCGGCTTCCGGTTCTTGGAGAGGGCGGGACGTCTCCGCCGAGAGAACTGTGCGGAATCTGGAAGTGCTGGTGCTTCTTCACTTTCTCGGGACTACGTTAAAGGAAATAAAGCCGGCTGCCTGCTTGAGTATTTTTGTCATAGTATTTTTATTTTGGGATTAGGGTATTGTGCTCAGGAACCTGAGTCCCAATGAAGGAGGCTTATAAGCCCGGAAAGCTATTATTTATTTATTTTTTTTTTGAGACGGAGTTTCGCTCTTGTTACCCAGGCTGGAGTGCAATGGCGCGATCTCGGCTCACCGCAACCTCCGCCTCCTGGGTTCAGGCAATTCTCCTGCCTCAGCCTCCTGAGTAGCTGGGATTACAGGCACGCGCCACCGTGCCCAGCTAATTTTTTGTAGTTTTAGTAGAGACGGGGTTTCACCATGTTGACCAGGATGGTCTCGATCTCTAGTGATCCACCCGCCTCGGCCTCCCAAAGTGCTGGGATTACAGGTTTGAGCCACCGCGCCCGGCCGGAAAGCTATTATTATTATTTTTTTTAAAGAATTGCTGAGTTTCCGGAATTTTACTTTCAAAAACTTTACCTAAACTTAGCGTGGCATGGGGTGGCAGAAACTGGTGTCTACACATTACAGAAGTGTACTGTTGACACCTGTTTGTGATGCACCCGTGGTGTTTTCCCCATGGACCACCTATTAAGCTTCCTGCTGGCGGGCACTTCCTGCTTTCCGGCCCACATCCTATTGTAAATCGGTGCTACTTGTGGGGTTTTGTTTGGGGATTGGGGATATTTAAGGAAAAATTTATTCAAACAACTGAAGACTTTGTTTCCTCCTTTGGGTTTTACTTTTTAAAATATATTAGGTTAGGAAAAAGTATTACTTTGCTAGTGGAGTTCAAATACAAATACCCAGACTGTAGTTTCTCCAAATGCCTTTCTCACCAGGGAGGGGGAGCTCCCAGGTGTAGCTCCCAGGTAAACTGGAATAGAGCTGACTTCGCCACCTCGTAGGTGGGGAAGGCCAAGATGTATAGTCTGGCCAGGTGTTCACAGGAGAGCCAGCTTCTGCTGGGGGTGGGGGATGAGAACCAGAGGCAGGTTCCAGTATCCTCTGGACTTGCTGGAAGAAAGGCATTCTGCCGATTGCTGTGTACTGCAGTGAGCTGAGTGAGGCTTCCCTTTCCTCCCTCATGTTTTCCTGCGTTTTCCCTTCTGTCCACTTGGTTTTCTCGTTCCTGAGCCACCTTGTGCACACTTTCCATTTGTCTCCCTGAGTGCCCAGCCTGAAACTGCACCCGAGTTAAAATCTCTTAAAATCTCACCATCTTGCAGAAAGAAATTGCTGCTGGTTTAAAGATCCCAGCTAAAGAGACAGTGGCATTTAGAGAGAGCCTCTTGTAGGGAGGCCTCACGTGGTCTTCACCTGGGCCCCAGCACCTGAGCCCTCGTTTTACAGAGAGCTTGCCCAAGATCATACTGCTTGTTAAAGGTAGTCTCAACCCCATCTGTCTTCTAAGCTTCCCACTACCCCATGCCTGAGAGCAGGAACCTCTCTTCAGAACTTGAAGACTCAATCAAGATGGAAGACTGTCAAGTTCGTCCTGCCAGATTCCATTAATGTAGTCCTAATGGGTTACACCAGCCTAAACAAGCTGTGTTGTATTCCTTTGAAGAAAACTAAGTCAGCCTCAGAAACGGGCAGACCGTATAATCTTCAGAGGTGTTATTAAAAAGCACGCCTGCCTCAAAGCCCCTTTTCACCTACCGGAGTATCGCAGAAGCCTCTGTATTAGGGGCGGCTTTACAGCACTCGGGGTTCCTTTTGCTCTTGGCCACGACTGACGCCAAAGGCTAGATGGTCCTTGCTTCCAGGTAGTGTATCACTGTTCACAGAAGTGGAAGCAAGTAATGAGACAACGCCCCCTCCCAGTATCTTTCCTGGGTATCTGGGGATAGACAGGTGATGGGGTGTCACTCTGGTCATTCTTGAGCGAACTGAAGACAATCCACATGGAAGGCTGACTTTATCATAACTCACTTTCCTCTCTCGATAGTAAATGTCTAATCGTTTCCTCCAACCCCTGTGGGCAAACATGCCCAGGCTTTCTGAGTTCCAGCTCCTGGTAAGTAGTTCTGAGTGTAGGATTGTCATGGTGGGAGGAGGCAGAGGTTTGGGGACCACACCGCCAAGGACCCTGGGGCCTAGACGTCCAGAGTGCCTGCCTCCTTTCTTCGCTGTGCTCCTTCCGCTTCCCCCACCCCCACGCCCCTTGTTTCTGGCGCGGAGCTGGGAGCGGGGGGATCTTCAAGTTGGGGAGACCGAGCACAGCCAAAGCTGTGGCTGTGCTCGGTCCACTCCCAGCCGAGGCCGTCAGGGACTTAGAGTTTGAGAAATACAGTTTGGAAGAGAAAACCTGGGCCTTTTCTTCCTTTATTCTCTGCCCTCCCCCGCCCCACACTTCTTAAAAATTTAGCCCAGGAGCTTCCTATCCCCAACGACGAGAAGGGCTTAGCGGTTTTAAGAGCGAAATCCTGGTAGAGTGCGCCCCTCGGGGCTGGCACGCACCCTTCGCAAGGGCACTACCCCAGCTTTCACCCTTGGGGTCAGGGAAATACGGTGTCCACAAAGGATTGTACCAAGTCATCCTCGGTGCACATCCGAAGGGCGCTCCCGGAGTGCCGGCAGGGAAGGCGGGCGCATGCGCGCAGTGCGGGGCCGGGCTTCCCAGCCCGGGGCGCCGCTCTAGCCTCGCAGCGTCTCGGTGGCCTGCCTCGTCCTCCGCCCGCCGTGCGGGGGCGCCGCTCTAGCCCCAAGCCGTCTCGGTGGCCGGCCGCCCATTCCGCGGCGTTCGGGGAAGTGGCTGCGGGACCCTAGAGGCCTGCGGTAAGTGGCGTCCCGTGCGCCGGGTAGAGGAGCTGGCCGCCGCTTGGGCCGCCCTCGGGAGCGGGGCGGGGCCGGCGTCGGAGCGCGGCCGGCGAGAGCCGCGGATTCCGCACGGGCCGCTCCCGCCGAGAAGATGGCGGCCGCGGAAGGGAGCGAGCGAGCGGGCGGGAGGGGCCGGGTCAGAGCCGGCGCGGGCCTCAGATGTCGGCCCCAGCGGGCACTCAGTGGTCGCGACTGGAACGGATTCGAGGGTGGGAGTCAAGGCGGCCGCCCGCGGGGAGGAGCGGAGAGGTAGCCTGCGCGAGTGCGGCCGGGGGCGGGGGGCTCCGGAGCTTTTAAACGCAGCTGGATTCTCTGGGCATCCTTGGGGGTCTCGGCACTTCCTCCCCGGCCTTGGGTGCGATCGGGGTGGCCGCTCGGCCTCTGGCGTGTCCTCTGGGTATTCCAGCACTGCGGGGCGGCTGGCGCTGCAGGAAGCGCGAAGAGCGAGGATTCGCTTCCTGAAGAGTGTGCCCTTCCTTCCCCGAGCTGGTCGTCAGGGTTTTGTGGAATCGTTTGTTGCGTTGGTGTGTACTGGCCGTATTTATGACACATTTTGCTCTCCAGTCATCTTGGAAGCCGAAAGGACCAGGTCTTGTGCCTGGCGTGCCTGTGCTGCCTTCGCTGCGGTTCGGGCCCCTCTTCGCCTCTCTGAGACAGTGGAGGTCAGGGCCGGGTTTTCTGCTCTAAATAAAGCACCTTAATATATAAGCTTAGAGTTTGGGCCATAGGCAGCAGTAGCCTACTGCGTTACCACTTACTGAAAATACTCTTAACTTGTGTCTGGGCCATTGATATCTGTGTTTTCTGTCTGCTGATGGAATGAGACTTGAGTCTAGTGTACTCAGGAACTTGAGGAAAAGGCAGATCGGAGCGTCTTCTCGGTGTATTCACATAACCTTATTGTACCCTGTGTTCCATGGTTTTCCTGGGCCACATATGACTTCGTTGAGATACACTTCTGAGAAAGGCACTTAGTACTAAACACAGTCTTTGTTTTTTTTTTTTTTTATGGACATTTATTGCATACCGTGTTAGCATGAGGGTACAGCAGTGACCAAGCTGGCCCCTGTCCTAGTCCTCCGGGAGACAAGTTCACTGGGGAGCTTGAGAGGTTATTCCAACTCCTTCCTTTAAATCAGGTGTTGCCAACCCATTTACCCTGGAACCCAGAGCTCTTTAGTGGCCTTTTGGGTTGCTGTTTGTATATGTATGTGTGTCTGACTATTGTACTATTTTCCCATTTTAAGCACAGCATAGACATTTCAGAAATGTAATCCCGGAAGACAGCCCTGTTGTGAAACTCCCTGCCTAATGCACACTTGTTTTCCTACTTGCTGTGTACATGGGGAGGAGATATTTGTTCTTGCAGACTTGTTTCAACAAGTTTCGTGAGTGAGATGCCTCTTATCTTGTTTTGGAAAAGCATGTATTTTGCGTTTTCTTTAGACTTTCCACCAAAGGCTGTCCTTTATGAGTATTTGATTGGATTCAGACTATGTCAAACAGCGAGTTGTGCTGTGATGAGAAGACAGGGCACAAAAGATAATTAGTGATTGACTGCCCAGCTGGTACCCATGGTTACCAGACAGCCCAGCCAGGCTGCATGTATATGTGTGAGCATCACAATGGCTTGTTCAGGGCACCTGATGTGTATCATCAGGTGGGCCTTAAAGGGTGGTGAGGTTCCTTCATGTAAGGGAGGGAGTGATTGGAATGGGCGTTGGCTCCCATTTTGTTTCACAGTGGTTTGCAGGTTCTGCTGTTGATACTGTGAGTTTTTCTACATCCTTAGGGTCATAATCCCCTTGAGGTCAGTTCTGTGGAGCCCAATGGAGTGCTGCTCTTCAGTGTTTATTTTTAAGCTGTGCCAAGTCTTCATTGTTTGGTATCTCTGTAAACAGGACACATTTTTCTTTTTTTGTATACCTCTACCATGATGCCAGGTGGCTTCTTTTTGGCTCTTGAAGAGCAAAGATTGAATGTGTTTAACAGGCAACTCCCTGCTATCCTGCTACCCGTGAGTCCCTGCAGTGTACACTTGCCTGAGGCCTTGTGTCTGATCTCTCTTGGGCGGGCCGGCTCAGAAGACAACCAGGAAGTTCTCTCTAAACAGTCTCCCACTCACGTTTCTTATTTAAGTGATGGGGCCTTTACAGTGGATATCTGAGCTCTGCCTCTTTATGGCTGGTGTCAAATGACTATGTTAATTGCATTACAAAGGTTATGTGATTAACAGTTAACGGAAATGTTCGGGAAGAGGAGGTCAAAGAACAAAGTCCGAATTGCTCATGTCATGTAAGTGTACACACTAGTCTGTGAGACAGTCTGTGCTGCCTAGGCCTCATTTTTTTCGAGTAGTAATTTTGAGGGTAAGTTGTTATATGAAGTTGAGTTGGTAATTGCGTGTTTTAAAAAGAGTTCTGTAACCATGAACATAAAACTTAATAGGTGGTACTTGATTGTATGTAAGTTGTAAAGCAGGCATTTCTCTCCTTGGGTGTCAAACTTAGATGGTGTGGTTTTGTTTTACATGTGCTAATGGAGACGTTTACATGATATTTAACATACTTTTTGTTTGTTTTATTGAAAGTTTGGTTGGGTTAATATACCTTTACAATAAGGTAAACCAACGTTTTTTTCCAAAATGAAGATACCTTAATGTGTTTGGTACAAAGGTAATACACATACAGAAAAGTTAAACATTATGTAAAAATAGAAAGTAAAAACACCAGAAAGGGCACTGTCCAGAAAAGCCCCACAGTACAGCTGTTTTGCACTAGAGAGTGCAAAATGGGTGTGTTGGAGGCTGTGGCCACTGCCCTGGCTGGCTTGTCCCTGGCTCTTCCACTCAGGCGTCACAGAGCTTTTCTCATGGCTGTGCATGGGTGATTCATTGATTGCCCTTCAATTTTGGCCTTAAAGAACTCCCAGCCTGGCACAGTGGCTCACGCCTGCAATCCCAACACTTTGAGAGATGGAGGTTGGTGGATTACTTGAGGTCAGGAGTTTGAGACCAGCCTGGCCAACAGGATGAAACCCCTCTCTAACCAAAAATAAAAAATTAGCTGGGTGTGATGGTGCATACCTGTAGTCCCAACTACTTGGGAGTCTGAGGCGGGAGAATCACTTGATCCACAGAGGTGGAGGTTACAGTTAGATTGGGCCACTGCACTCTAGCCTAGGCGACAGTGAGACCCTATCTCAAAAAAAAAAAAAAAGAATTCCCTTAGGCCAGGCATGCCAGTGTGCCCCTGTAGTCCTAGCAGTTTGGCAGGTGAGGCCAGAGGCCAGAGAGGATTCCTTGAAGCCAGGAGTTCCAGGCTATAGTGAACTGTGATTGTGCTATTGCTCTTTAGCCTGGGTGACAGACTAAGACTGGCTACCCCCATCCTTCCAAAAATGAGTTTCCCTATGTAGATGCTTCCTGATTTTTCAGACTAGTCTGTTAGTTTCTGTTCAGTTTGTCATCTTTGTGAGAAAAGAAACTCATAAATTTGTGTGTACTTGTAGTTACTTCATCGGGGTCACAGTGAAGCGCACTCTGCCCTCCTTGAGAACAGTATGTCACCTGCTCTCTTCCCTGTGCCAAGCCCATAAGGTGCTGTTAGCAAATATGTTGGAGAAATAGACTCACCTACAAGGACTTTTTTCGCCAAACCCCCGCCAGCACAGGCTGCGTCACTTTGCTGGACAGCACCTGCCATCTGTTGCACACTTGCCAGGCGCTGTGCCGATTTGACATGATGTCGCTTCAGAAAACCTTGTGGGAAGTTGTGAGACCGTTACTGTCCCCATTTCACAGACACAAAAGTGCATCCCTTAGACGGATGCACTGCCTGCTACACTGTGGCCCCCACCTGCTATTGATGTTTGCAGCTGTGTTCATAGACAGGTTCTTCCTTGAGCCCCCCAATTCCCTATCTGCTTAACTGAGGGCTTGTCCTGGTTGTAAATGTCTGAGTGGGGGTGGGCACTGCTGCCTGCAGCTGTCAGGGCTGGGAATCCTGAACCTTCACTGAGGGGGGTGGGCGGTGGAGATGCCAGGTAGACACTGGCCTGGCCTCTTGGGATTTGCTAGGCTGTAACTAAATGGTAATGCTTTTCCTTTCACGACATATTTGAGTAGTCAGATCCCCTTCTGTTCACTTCTCCCCACCCATGCAGCAGTGATGGAGTCCTGGGAAGTTTCTTCTCATACATGTTTGACTCTCAAATCCGGCTGCATGTGTAAAAACAGATGCAGAAAACCCTTTTATGTCAGAACTCCTTTGTCTTCAGCTTACCCCCTAAAACAAAACTAGACTTTGGCCTCTCAATCCCAGGGAAAGAAAGGAAGATTCCAGCTGAAATACAAAGTTAATTCTTGACTTAAGTTTACAAGTTCCCCAAGCAGTAATTTTGTCCCTTGGGCTGTGATTTTTATAAGTTGGAATTCCAGGATGGGTGTGAGGGCTGATGCCTGCAATCCTAGCACTTTGGGAGGCTGAGGCGTGATTGATAACTGGAGCCCAGGAGTTGGAGACCAAACCAGGCAACGTGGCAAAATGCTGTTTTTGCAACCAAACAAAAAAAATTAGCTGGGCGTGGTAGTTCATGCCTGTAGTCCCAGCTACGCAGGAGGCTGAAGTAGGAGGATAACCTGAGCCCAGGGAGATTGAGGCTGCAGTAAGCCATGATCAGTTGCTCCACTGAACTCACGCCTGGGCGTCAGAGAGAGACCCTGTCTGAAAAAAAAAAATTAGCTGCAGCTCCAATTTGAGAAGCAAATTTTTGCAAGGGAAGGGTTTTTAAAGAACCACCACCATTTTCTCCACCTGAACATAGGTGGCAGTCACTGCCTTGTCTGTAATCACATGAAGCTGAATGAGAATATACGGGGTGTCTGGAAGACAGGACGCTGAAGCAGTACCTGTCACTGCCTGTAGGGTCCCTGCTGAACCAGAATGGCCTTGGGGTTGCTCTTGCCAAGCTACTCCCTAAGGGGAAGGAGCTGCGCTCTGTCACCTGCTCCCAGACTGGCTGAACCCAGGACTGCTTTACGCTCCTAAAAAGTATGGAGGACCCCAAAGAGCTTTTGTTCTATCTATTGATAGTCACCATGTTTGACATTAAAAAATGAGTCATTTAAATGCTTAAGTGCCTTCTGTTTAAAATTGTAAACCAGCCGGCCACAGTGGCTTATGCATGTAATCCCAGCACTTTGGGAGGCTCAGGTGGGAGGATCACCTGAGGTCAGTAGTTCAAGACCAGTCTGACCAACATAGAGAAACCCCATCTCTACTAAAAACAAAAATTAGCTGGGTGTCACCACGCTTGTAATCCCAGCACTGGGAGGCTGAAGCAGGAGAATCCCTTGAACCCAGGAGGCAGAGGTTGCAATGAGCAGAGATAGCGCCACTCCACTCCAGCGTGGGTGACAGAGTGCAACTCTGTCTCAAAAAAAAGAAAGTAAAACAAGATTGTAAACCATTATATATTAACATAAATAACATTCTGTGGAACCTGTTATCAAAGACCAAAACAGTCTAATGAGAAAGATGTCATTGTTTTGTTTTTGCAAATCTCTTTGGCTTAACTGACAGCTGCTGGATTCACATATGTCCTTCGGAATTCAAACTTAGTATCATCATTCAGTGTCTGGAATGCTCTAGCATATACTCAGAGTGGCTGTGGAAACGGCACAGAATGTCAGTGTTGTGCAGACTGCTTTGATCCTGGGGGCCTCCCAGAAGGACCCCGGGACCACCCTTTGAGAACTGCTGCTCTAAGAGTTGTCAAATAGTTGGCTCTAAACACTTGGAGAAATCAATTGCTTTTAGGAAGATAAGCTGCGTCTTGGAAGTTTTTAGTGGCGCAGCCATGTGCTTGCCACTTGGGGAAAGTGTGGAACCGGTCTGATTTGCTGTCACCGGTAAAGCTGTTCCAGTGCACCCCTCTCTCAGAGTGCCCTGCACAGCCCTTTGCTGAGTACTTAGCAACTCTTGCTGCAGTGAAAATCAGGGATTGTGGGGGCGGAGGCGGGGGAGGCAAGAGTAGGCGGTGTTTGGGGCTGTGGAATTATACAGGTCTCTAAGGGTGTGGACCGAGGAGAACATAATCAGACAGTGATTGATGGAGGGGAAGTAGCCCCCACAGTACTGTGCAGGGGTGACCTGGCCTTTCCATGAAGGGCTGTCCTCCTGCAGCGCACCACACCTCTCATGGTCCCCAGGGAGCTCACATTGCCACATGTGGCAGGAGGTGGAATTCTTCATGGGGACAAGAACCTGTGCATCATGGTCCTCACCAAGACCCAAGTGGTAACCTGTTATATTAAGAGTAACGGGAATCCTGGTGTGTAGAATTGGGGCCACCTCTTAGTGTTTGAAACCATATTTTCTTTTTTTACTGAGAGACAAGAGGAGCCCATCAAAGGTAGCAGTTTAGGAGACTTATGTCCAACCATTAAATAGAGAACAATAAACACCTCACTTCTCCTGAGTAAATGAATGTATGTGACTGTTTCTGGTTCCTGGCTTCCATTTGGAGAGCTGAGATTTCCTGTCTGAGTTGCCCACCAAGGTCATAAGGCTATGATTTGCACTAGCAGTTGGATAGAGGGAAATGGCAGGACTATTGCAAGCTCACACCAGGGAGCTTGGCAGCCTGGCTATAGCCGGGAATGGCCAAGGCCTTAGTCCTCAGCAGGTTTTTCAGTAACAAGTTTTGTTTTTTGTCTCTGCGTACCTATAAAACACAAATACCTAAGAAACTTAAAACAGCAATAGGTTGTTTCTGGATTTTTCTATTTTTTTGCTTGTGAGAAACTTACTGTGTTGTGGTGCCCTCGATTCATCACAATAATTAATTAATGAATTAATTTTGGAGAGACAGAGTTTCTGCTCTTGTTGCCCAGGCTGGAGTGCAGTGGCACAATCTCAGCGTACTGCAATCTCTGCCTCATGGGTTTAAGTGAGTTTCTTGCCTCAGTCTCTCAAGTAGCTGGGATTACAGGCACCACCACCACACCTGGCTAATTTTTGTGTTTTTAGTAGAAATGGGGTTTCACCATGTTGGCCAGGCCTCACTGTGCCTCACGCCTGTGATCCCAGCATTTTGGGAGGCCAAGGCGGGCCGATCATGAGATTAGGAGATCAAAACCATCCTGGCCAAGATGGTGAGACTCTGTCTCTACTAAAAATACAAAAATGATCTGGGTGTGGTAGCACATGCTTGTAGTCCCAGCTGCTTGGGAGACTGAGGCAGGAAAATTGCTTGAGCCCAGGAGGTAGAGGTTGCAGTGAGCTGAGATCATGCACTCCACCCTGGCGACAGAGTGGGACTTTGTCTCAAAAAAAATAAAAAATAATGGCAGTGTTACTTGGTAAGCAGCAAAACTTTGAATTTGCCATCTGAAGGATTTAAATATAATCTATGCAATTGAGTTCGATTCTCTGCAGATACTAAAATAAATGAAAGTTGGGTATCTAGTTTGCTTGTGGGCCCCAACTCTCTGTCCCTGTTTGGAGCACAGTGCTTCCTGCTGCAAGCTGGTGGGCTTCTGAGTGGGCCCTCATGGGCTGTTGCTGGTGACTGGAGATTAGTTACTGAGAAATTAGTCTCCAGTTTTTGGAACTAAAAATCTTTAGGTGGGGGCTGGGCTGCTGCTGGTGGCTGGAGAATGGGTTGTATTTGGGGATGTCATCTGAAGTTTCTAGGCATATTCTCCTAGTGACATCCGTTAATGAAAGCTGAGCTATGAACGAGTTTTTGACTGAGTGATCTTTTCTTCGTTTATGGTAAAGAACTCTTAGCTAGCATCTTCTCAGTTCCTTTCACCTGCATAGCAGATTGATGAGCTAGAAGACCCTGAATAGGCAAAATATTAACAAATGTAAACTTTGGCCTACCCTGTCAGAATTAACAAAAATAGTGAAGTTTAAAATAGCAAGGCTTTTTGTAGCATTATAATTTCTGAAAGGCAGATTAAAATTGTTAGTTTTGAATATTGTTTCAGGGGAGTGGGAGGTTTGAAGAAACAGAATGTTTTGCCACCAGGAGAGGTGAAATATGCATTTATGTGTTATCTTTCTGCTCAGAAGTCAGAGCTCCTTTCCTGGAGGTGCCATGTTATGAAAATAGAAACTTAATTATGGTCATATGTCAAATTTTAAAGTGTCTTTGTTACTGAGAAATTAGTCTCCAGTTTTTGGAACTAAAAATCTCTAGGTGGGGGCTGGGCACCGTGACTCACACCTATGGTGTACCAGCTACTCGGGAGGCTGAGGCACAGAAGGATTGTTTGAACTTAAGAGGTGGAGGCTGCAGTGAGCCCTGATCATGCAACTGCACCCCACCCTGGAAGTGAGCACACTTGAGTTACTTACATCAAGCAGATTTTAGAGTAGTCAAAGTTGAGCATATAGATTTGCAGTGGTTGCAGACCCATGTGTTTATAATAGTTGTAGTTGGGCTTTTTAAAGTAACACGTAGCTAACCTTTTGAAAGGATATTTTATTTGTTTTTTAAGAAATTTCGCTTCTGACTGCTTACTGTTTTGATGAGTTCAGGATCTGAGGGAAGATTGACAGGTGGTTCTAGAATACTTCTGGAAGGAAGGAAATGTTGAGTCTCTCATGTCTGAAGCATAGGTCTGTATTATTGCTCTGCACATATCCTATGTACTCAGAAAACTGGTAGAAATGGCGAGTTGCCACAGTTCTCTGTTCCATAGATCCGTAGGGGGTGGTCCTTGAAGCCTTTTCTGGGGCTAAGCGGTAAAAACTGTTTCTACAGTAATAATAATCTAATAGTACAGGCCTTTTCTGTTGAGTTTGACATTTGTGCCAGTGGCACAGGGTAGATTGGAGCCGCCCCCGCACACCTCCCAGCACCATGCATGAGCACTGACTGTTTAGAAATGCTGATTTTTCCCAAAGAATGTCCCTGGTGACACAGTAAGTATTAATTTTATTTATTCTCAACCCCCAAACATACATCTTTACTATCCCTGTGATTAAATGTCAAGTTACATATAAAAAGCTTCTGCTGGCCAGGCATGGTGGATCACGAGGTCAAGAGATCGAGACCATCCTGGTCAACAAGGTGAAACCCCATCTCTACTAAAAATACAAAAATTAGCTGGACATGGTGGCACATGCCTGTAGTCCAAGCTACTTGGGAGGCTGAGGCAGGAGAATTGCTTGAACCCAGGAGGCGGAGGTTGCGGTGAGCCAAGATCGTGCCATTGTACTCCAGCCTGGGTAACAAGAGCGAAACTCTGTCAAAAAAAAAAAAAAGAAAGCTTCTGCTGTGTCCGCTTGTGGGTGCTGTCTCCACGTACAGCCCTAGGGGTTTGAGCTGGGAGCTGAGTGGTCTCCAGGAACGCTCACTGTCCCTGACAGAACAACAGACGGAAGACAGTTTTCAGACTCACCATGTGGCAGGCATTTGGTCCAAAGTGAATGATATCTCTGAGAAGGAACAGTATTTGTTGCTAAGGATAAAATTTGAGCTTTGGGGTGAAAATTGGAATTTTGGAAAACTTGTATCAGTGAGCCTTGATTGTGCCACTGCACTCCAGCCTGAGTAGCAGAAAAAAACAATGTGTTTGTTTGATGCTGTCTGATGAGATGTGTGGACATTGAGAATCTCTGTCTCAAACTTGGACTCATGTCATTCAGGTGACCAGCATGCACACAGGTTCAGAGTGCAGCACAGCAGTCGGTTTTAATGGAAGAAAGTGAGAAATGCATTGACAAAGGCTTCAAATTCTGTTTTCAGCTAACTTTTATGAAAACTGCTGCTTGGCGAGAATAGGTGTTGTGAGCATCCACAGTTATGTGAAGATGGTTACAGTATTCCCATTTTTAATGACCTGTCTGTGTGAGGCAGGATTTTTACGATATGTTTTAGCTGAAACACTCTGGGAGCAGGTTGAATGCAGAAGGAGACATGAATGGAGCTGTCTTCTATGTTAAGCTAGAGATTTGCAGAAATGTACAGCAGGGCCACTCTTTGTGTTCATTTTTGTTTGTTTTAGAAGTAACTTTTTTTCATTAAAGATACTATTAATGTATTAATTTATTTTTTTGTATTAATTTATTTTTAATACACATTTAGAATTTGAAAATAGCAAAATATTCCACATAAACAGAAGCTCTGGTTTTCTCAACTTGAGAGTAAGGGCGTCTTGAGATCTAAAGGTTAGAGAGCAGCTGTTGAAGAATTTGGAAGTGTGTGTGTCCCGGGCTCGAATCGTTGATTGCTCTTCAGCGCCTTCTAATTAATAGGAAGTGAAGCAGTCTTCGGCTGAGAAAAAGAAGATAATATTAAATTCACTGCATTCTGTTTTCACCCAGTTTCAAGGATACCTGCATTTTTCCCTCTGGGGAAAGGTTGTGACTGATACAATGTGGTTGCATTTTCATGAGCGCGTTCCCCCTGCCGTGCTGTGCCGTATGCAGAGTTACACCCTAATTCCACACACAAAAAAGTTGTGTAGAAACTTAAAACAGTTTTTTTGCTTGGGCCTTGATATGTATGTTTTTATTTTACAAGCTAACTAAAATGTTGTAGTACATTTTCTGTGTTGAAGACATCGTAAAGTCAGTTTTGTAAATATACAGTGCTCTGATCTTTCTGAAGGTGCGTCCTTCATTGTATTCTGCTTAACAGAAATAACTTCATTTTTCTGATTACTCAGAATTCAAGTAGCATGATTACTTTGCAGATGAACATAAATTGAATTTTTGAAAATCGGTTTTCATTCCTAAGAACATTTTAATTTCTTCATTTTATAAATGTTCGGTGTTGCTGGGCATAGTGGCTCGTGCCTGTAATCTCGGCAACTCTGGAGGGTAAGTCAGGAGGATTGCTTGAAGCTGAGAGTTCAAGACCAGCCTAGACAACATAGCAAGGCCCTGTCTCTAAAAGAAATGTTTTAAAAAATTAGCTGTGCATCGTGGCACATATCTGCAGTTGCAGTTGCTCATAAGGCTGAGTCAGGAGGATCACTTGAGCCCAGGAGTTTGAGATGTAGTGAGCCATGATTGGACCATTGCATTCCAGCCTGGGCAACAAAGCAAGACACCAACTCTTTGCAAAGGAAAATAAATTAAATGCTCGGTGTTGTGAAATATCAAAGTTTATTTCCAGTGTTTTCTGAGCAGTAGTTTTTGAACTCTTGAAGTAGTCATTTTGAGGCGAGGTTTACCACGTTGAAGAGATAGTGACTGTGAAGATGCCATTTGGCTTATCAGAGGGAATGCTGAAGTCTGAGTGATCACTATCTTATTTTTATTTCTTGCAGAGATAGGGTCTCACCATGTTGCCTGGGCTTATCCTCCCAAGCAGCTGGGATCACAGATGCAAAGCACTGCGCCCAGCTTCCACTGTCCCTTTAAAAGGAGGGGAGTTGGAATGCCTGTCCCTTTGTTCTGGAGTTGCCAGGGAAACCACAGAGGGAAGGCAGTCTTGAGGCTGAGGACTAGGTGAGAGCAGGAGCTCAGCTTGGGAAAGTGGGCTTTGGGGCAAAGGACCTAGCTAGAAACCAGACCTTTGAGTGTTCTGATGTGACTACTTGAAAGAGGATATGGAAGTGTTTTTTAAATACGGTAAACTGTGTCCTGTTGATTTTAGTAAGTCAAAAAGTCTTCTAAAATTTTTCTTGTGTTTTTAATTAAAATACTACGGCTACAGTATTAAGAATTTTTAATAATTATATTTTTATATAATTTTTGCTCAGCCTTTTCACTTTTTGTTCTTGTTTCTCTGTTTTGTATTGGGTTTTATTGAATGGGGTCCATCTGAGACATAAGCTCCAAATGAAGAGAAGCTAATGCCTGGCGACTCCTCTCTGCCCTGGTCTGGCTGTGCCACTGCCTGCCTCCCTGGGGCAAGCCTGGGACTCCACTCCTTCCTGCACTGCCCTGGCCCCTTTCTCTCAGAAGGTATTGGTGGCATCTGCTGTCCTGAGTAAAAGTCCTTAAGGATGTTTATTTTCAACTCCCAAGCTGTCTTTGTGGGTCCCACAGTGTAACTCAAGTAATAGGTTTCTTGGGAAGTTTGGTGCCTCCTTTAAGTTGTTATTGATACTTAATTTTCTTTAAAAAATGTAAGATGTTTTCTTATTTTCTTTTAGGAGCTTTCTCCATGGGAGCAGCCTCTAGGTAATCTGAATTGTTGAAAATACGAAGCCTGTTACTTGTGAACAGTGGCTGACGACTGGTGTTGTGAGCCTGGCTGTCTACTTGGACCAGGAGGTTTCATCTGCCAGGGTTTTTTTCTTGTATTTAGGATTTCAGGGAAGTGTCAAGCTTTCAGTGTTAGAAAAGGTAAGGTATCAATACTTTTAGACAGTAGCGACAAAATTTTAACTTAATAAGTCTGCAATTGCTGTTTCTAAAGTGGCATTTGTAAAAAAGAAACTGGTAGAATGTAGTATTTGTGTTTATTTAAAATACACTCAACCATTTGTATGACAGCAGATTCTGCATTTGTGGATTCAACCAGCTGCTGATCGAAATATTTGGGGGGCAAACAATAAATAATAATTGAACACTTAATAAAAATTGTATAAAACGTTATGGTACAGCAGCTATTTCTATGATGTAATCTAGAGGTGATTTAAGTACTTGAGAGGCTTTGCATAGGTCGTATGCAAATAGTCTACTCTCTCTTTAATGAGAACTCAGTTTTGTAAAGTAGAACTCTTCCCGTAGAAAGCTACCAGCATGGAGGCCCCAGCCCTTTTCAGCTGCGTTGGAGTTTCATGGGCCCCAGAGGCGGAAGGGACCCTATAACTTCATGCCCTTCTGGGAAAAGGATGGTGCCAGCCCCTCTAACTACATCTTTAGTAGAAACTCCCAAGTGTTGCATGAAAATGAGGGCTTGATGACCCTCTTGAGGTGACTGTCACATTTGCTGCATATATTTTGGCTTGCACAAGCAGAAAAACTTTCTAAATGTAAAATTTCCACTGAGAATGAATAAACAGTTTTAACTGATGTAGTTTAATAACAGTTCTAGCATATATATTTATAAGCAGCACTATCTGCTTTGCCCACAACTTTTGAGGTCAGCGTTGCCTCCTGGTTGAGGGCAGTTCCTTGTGTCCTGCCCGGGGTCACCTGGCTGGCGAAGGAAGCCCCCCTTTCCGTTTACCCCCATCTCCAGTGCCCATGTCACACAGCAGCCTCTAGAGTTCACACTCTGACTTGGAAGTCACTCCTGGCACCCTCATTAGGTTTGGTTGTTTCCTTTAACAATGGGGTCACCTCAGGTAACCAGAGAAGTGATGTGGCCCTTACCTCCAAGGCTTATGCATGGTGACATGGGAGTGTGTGGGCCACGTTCACAGAGCATGGAGGCCACGGCCAGGCAGCATCTTTAGCTGGACAGGAAAATGAGGAGTAGTGACAGTATTTAGAGGGAAGCAGAAAGAACAACACAGGTTGCAAGTAATTTTCCATTTTGTATACTTTGTAAAACCAGTCCCTCCCCCAGGACAGAGCATGACACAGAATCAGTGATCATTAGCATTCAAATGTAACTAAAGCTTGGACAGCTTGGAAGAGAATTCTCAAAGTATATACTATCTTTTTCAGATTATGTCATTTCAACAAAAATAAGTTTCACATATAAAATTAATTTTTGTTTTCTTTGAGACAGAGGCTCGCTCTGTCACCAGGCTGGAGTGCAGTGGAGCGATCTTGGGTCACTGCAACCTTCTGACTCCCTGATTCAAGCCATTCTCCTGCCTCAGCCTCCCAAGTAGCTGGGATTACAGGCACGTACCACCACGCCCAGCTAGTTTTTTGTATTTTTAGTAGAGACAGGGTTTCACCATGTTGGCCAGGCTGGGCTCAAACTCCTGAGCTGGTGATCACCCTCCTCAGCCTCCCAAAGTGCTGGGATTACAGGTGTGAGCCACCACACCCGGCCCACAAATAAGATTCTTTAGGTAATGTATTAGAATGAAAGTGAAAAGGAATACAGAAAAGAAATATACCTTAAAGTGATCACCTTGACCATATTTTCTAACAATATCTCCAAAGCTCAGTGGACTAAAACGAGGTTTATTTCCCATCACACAATCTGTGGGTCTCTCCCTTGTGCCCATGAGGGTCATTCACTTGGCAGCAGTGCTGGTGTGGAGGGTCCCAGATAGTTAAGAGTCCCTTTCCTGTCCCTAGCCCATGGTTGGGGAGCTGAAAGTCAGGGCTCAACTTCTCCATATCCTCTTTTCAGCATGGTAGTGGGCAGCCCATTCTTACAAAGTCCAGAACAGACTTGGGTCCTCTTGCAGGCCACGCCCATCCTGGCACAGTGACTTGTTCACTGAGCTTGTGGTCAGAGCAGCCCATCTGCCTGCGGGAGTGCTGGGGAGCTTGTGCCGCCCCTGAGCTGGGATGTCCTTAACACCTCTTCACCACTGTGCTGTTCATTATTTCAGATTTGTCGCTACTGCCTTGTGAAGCCTTGGCCTAAGCAGTTAAATGAAGAAATTGTACATTTGATTCGCTCGCTGTATTTTTGTCTAAACATTAGTTATTGAACTATATTAAAATGATATCTGAAATCATCTCACGTAGCACACATGAGGAAACGTGGTCAGAAGGGCTTGCTCTGTGTGGAGGTCCACTGTCCATAGGAAGCATGTTGTTTATAAAGGGGCATTTTGGGAGGTGGCCTGTGCTGTGCGTGACTGGTGGCTGTGTCGGTCAGTTGGTTACCATGTGTTTACGCTTTACTGCTAGGTATGGATGACAAAGGTGACCCGAGCAATGAGGAGGCCCCTAAGGCCATTAAGCCCACTAGCAAGGAGTTCAGGAAAACATGGGGCTTTCGAAGGACCACTATTGCCAAGCGAGAGGGAGCAGGGGACGTGGAGGCTGACCCACTGGAGCTGCCACCCCCGCAGCAGCAGCTGGGCCTGTCCCTGCGCCGCAGTGGGAGGCAGCCGAAGCGCACCGAGCGTGTGGAGCAGTTCCTGACGATTGCGCGGCGCCGCGGCAGGAGGAGCACACCTGTCTCCCTGGAGGATTCTGGTGAGCCCACGTCCTGCCCTGCCACAGATGCTGAAACTGCCTCTGAGGGCAGCGTGGAAAGTGCTTCTGAGAGCAGAAGCGGCTCCCAGTCAGCTTCCACAGCTGTGACAGACAAGGCCTCTTCCGAAAAGGCGAAAGGAGGGGATGACACCTCTGATAGTGACAGTGATGGCCTGACCTTGAAAGAACTTCAGAATCGCCTTCGCAGGAAGCGGGAACAGGAGCCCACCGAGAGACCCCTGAAAGGGATCCAGAGTCGCCTGCGGAAGAAGCGCCGGGAAGAGGGCCCTGCTGCGACTGTGGGCTCTGAGGCCAGTGATGCTGTAGAGGGCGTCCTGCCCAGTAAGCAGGAGCCCGAGAATGATGAGGGGGTTGCGTCCCAGGCTGGGAAAGTCGACAGAGAGACTAAGTTGGAGGGAAAGGCGGCTCAGGGCATCAAAGATGAGGAGCCTGCAGACACGGGCAGACCAAAGCCTGAATGTGAGGGCTATGACCCCAACGCCCTGTATTGCATTTGCCGCCAGCCTCACAACAACAGGTGGGTCATGTGTGGGCACTCTGCCCCAGCGGCCACAGAAATCCCAGGGATAAAAATTTTCCATTTGTTTTCATTTTAAAGGGTTACAAAGCTGGGCTGGATGAATAATTTGTCAAGTGGGAAAAGATGAACAAGTCATTGTCAAAAAACACGTAGAGTGACTAAGGACTGCCTAGAGCCACCTCTCCACTCTGGTAGCCACCAGCCACCATGACTGTTTCCAGTCAGGTGAGGAGAGAATAGCTCCCCACCCCGGTCACATGAGCCACATCCAGCCAGTGGCTCTGTGTAGACAGCACAGAGGAGAATGGGTCTGTCACTCGGGGGTCTGTCTTTCTGAGACTCCGTCTTTAGATTGCTCATTGGGAGACTTGGCAGAGGGCCCTGTGCGGACTGCAGCTGGCCTAGTACAGATGTTGGGGCAGCTCAGCCTCTGCCAGGACTGGGCATCAGGTGGTGCAAGGCAGCCTGTTGGCTTTGCTGCCGGGATAAAGGCATCATAATCAAGTCATGCTGAAGTATCTGTGGTGGAAGGCCTTACAGTTCACTCCTAAAATGCCCCTTCCTTTAAAAAAGGTGAAGCAAGTTTGGTTGAATGTTAAAATCAAGGGAAAGGCATGTGGACATTCTTATTCTCTACTTTTCTGTATAGTTGCATTTCTTCGTAATGTTAAACCCAGTCGACTTACTAATGTGTTGAAAAGTCAGTGCTTGTCACTCACTTCTCATTGCTAATACCATTATTTTATAATTTCAGATTTATGATTTGCTGTGACCGATGTGAAGAATGGTTTCATGGCGATTGTGTAGGCATTTCTGAGACTCGAGGGAGGCTTTTGGAAAGGAATGGGGAAGACTACATCTGCCCAAATTGCACCATTCTGCAAGTACAGGATGAGACAAATTCAGAAACCACAGACCAGCAGGAAACCAAATTCAGACCTGGAGATGCTGATGGCACAGACTGTACAAGTATAGGAACAATCGAGCAAAAGTGTAGCGAAGACCAGGGGATAAAGGGTAGAATTGAGAAAGCTGCAAATCCGAGCGGCAAGAAGAAACTCAAGATCTTCCAGCCTGTAAGTGTCTGTCCACTGAGACAAGCATTCAGGGGTCGGCCTCACGGGTTTTAGTCTTGCTCTTGATAGGAATTCCTCCCAGGACGGCGCTGTGCCCTTTCGGGGCTGTGCCTCTCCCAGGTTCCTGCCTTGCTCCACCTGGGTGAGGCCTTTCTATGTTTATGCGTACCCTGCCTGCCTCCTCTACTATTCGTGACTTAATTTGGGAAATAAGCCCATCTTTGAGGATTTGGACGTTGCTCACATGTTCTGTGCGCAGCAGTGGAATTCTTTGAGCACTGGGAGTGGCGGTGCTCCTGTGCCACCTGCAGTCTTCAGCTGCCTCGTGGTTCTGCTGCTGGTTCCTTGGGGTGCTTGTGCTTCTGTCTTGCAGCTGCGTTGACTTAATTGTCCTCTCCCCCTGGTTTTTATCACATTTCCCACACACTGTTGGCTGCTGCTGCTGTCTCCTGTTTGGAGTCTCCATTCCAGTCCCCACAGGGCATGTGTGACTTGGTATGTTTTCACTCTGCACCTTCCTGGGTCCCAGGCCTGCCCTCACCCTGTGTCTAGAAGCTGCCTGCCCTCCGGCAGGTGTTGGAGATTGCCGTGTCTAGAAGCATCTCTGCCTTGCACTCTTGCACTGTTTTGCACTGTGTTAGCTGCAGCGTGAGGATGTCTGACAGGTGGGCTGTTCACTTCGGGACGTGCCCTGGAGGCATTGAGAGGGGCTACAGGCACATGGTCCATGGTCAGGACCACGTTTAGGCATTCAGAGATTAATGGAAATGTGAATTAATGAGAATAGTCATCGATTTTATGTCTTTATTTTTTAAATTCATTTACTTTTTTTTTTTTTTTTTTTTTTTTTGCAGTTGGGGCTTTGCTCTGTTGCCCAGGCTGGAGTTCAGTGGCTCAGTCTTGGCTCACCACAGCCTCCATCTCCTGGGCTTGAGTGATCCTCCCAGGTAGCTGAGACTGCAAGCATGAACCACCACACCTGGCATTTTTTTTTTTTTTTAATTGTCAATGTGCTTGACATAACCCTACACAAACCTAAATTGTATTCTAAGTAAAACTTAAATTCTGGGGAGGAAAACCGATTAAGTATTTAATTTGAGAAATGAAGTTTTGCTTAATTATGTGTGAGGTAAGTGTTTGCATGTGCCGGTCTGATTGTTGAGACAGACTTCATCAACAGCAGCCGCTCTGCTTGCTGCACATGAGTTTCCTCTGGCTGCACAATGAGTTACCACAGTCCTGCTTGAAGGAGCACACGTTTGTGCCTCCATTTCCGTGGGAAGCCTCGGCCTGCTGCTCAGGCCTTGCAAGACTAGAGTCATGGTGCAGCAGGGGCTGTGATCTCAAGAGAGGCTTGGCAGGGGTTCCCTTCCAGAAGCCCTCACACTTTTTTTTACTGTATAAGTGTGTCTGGCTGGGTGCTGTGGCTCACACCTGTAATCCCAGCACTTTGAGAAGGCAAGGCAGAAGGATCATTTGAGGCCAAGAGTTCGAGACCAGCCCAGGCAACATAATGAAACCCCTATCTCTACAAAAAGTAATTAGCTAGGTGTGATGGTACGTGCCTGTAGTCCCAGTTACTAGGGAGGCTGAGGTGGGAGGATCATGAACCCAGGACATCAAGGCTGCAGTAAGCTATGCTTGTGCCACAGCCCTCCGACCTGGGCGGCAGAGCGAGACCTGTCTCAGACAAAAAAAAAGGTGTGTCTCATGCAATTTGGGGGGCATACTTATGTGAAGAAAGTGTTCGTCATTTATCAGACGTTCACATCGCGTTGGCACCCTGGGTTTTACTTGGCAGCCTTGCCCTCGGATCCTAGCTGCAGGAAGCCCTCTCAGAACAGGGCAGCTTACTTCAAGACCACCTATGAAGTCTTCTCTCTTCACCAAGACCCATTCCTTCTTTTAAGGGTTTTTATCTGATTTAAGTTGGACCCATTTGACTTGCAGTCATCCCAGTTAGGGCCTTAATTACATCTGCAAAATGCATGTGTGTCCTCTAATGGGGCCTCATTGTGGATGTGAGGTCCCATGGATCCTGCCTGCTCTTGTGAGGGTGCACAGAGCGTGGGGCAGTGGCCGCAGGGCATGAAGGGCAGTGACGACGTGAATGCCTTACCTGGTGCAAGGGGATTCTCATAGCTGGAATACACAAAATAAATGTTTGTTCATATTAAAAATACTGTTAGTATCTTATTTGAAAACGGTGACCATGCTACTATAAATGGTGATTTTACAAAACACTTAACTGCTAAAAATTGGCAAGTACATTATTTGAAGTCATCTGTTCTTTTCTGCAGGTGATAGAGGCACCTGGTGCCTCGAAATGTATCGGCCCCGGGTGCTGTCACGTGGCGCAGCCAGACTCTGTGTACTGCAGTAATGACTGTATCCTCAAACACGCCGCGGCCACAATGAAGTTCCTTAGCTCAGGTAAAGATCAGAAGCCGAAACCTAAAGAAAAGATGAAGATGAAGGCAGAAAAGCCCAGTCTCCCGAAATGTATCGTTCAGGTGAGTTGACCAAGACCAGCCATCCAAGCAGTGGACACACACAGGCGTGCAAGAGGGTTTGTCTCAGACCCCTGGTTTCTAGAACGTGGGGGTGGCAGGTGTGGGTGGAGCACAAGTGGCGTCGCCTTGACCTCTGTATTCCACCTTCCTGTCAGTTTTCGCTTCTCTGCCCATTAGCTGAGGGGCTTATTAATGTAAGTGCAGTAAAGCAAATGCTGACAGGGGCACTGCACGGGGTGTAAGACTTGAGGACACACCCTGCTGTCTTGTGAGAAGAGTTCGTAACCACCTGATGGAGTTTGTAAAACGTAGACTTAGGCCGGCAGGAGTGGGAGGTGGGTTCTGGGCAGGGCTGTGTGCTTCATTGAAGACCCAGCTCAGAATTATCTCATGTTTGCACTCCATGGGACTTGGAAAGAATCCAGGGTGCTTAGAAATCATCACCTCTTGTCTTAGACTTGCAGGCCCCTTCTGGGTCTCAGGTGGCCGTGGCTTGTCACTGCCCCTGTTATGTTTGTGACCAGCAAAGGATAAGTAGCACTGTTTGGGGAGTTGTCTTGATTGTTTTCAAATGATTAGCCTTTGGATGACTTAATTTTTAAGGCTGGTCCTCTTGAACCCTTGGCATTGGGCACAACCCGCACACAGGCCTTTCCTCTGGTTTGCCGCCCTCCAGTGGCTGATGCTCCTGTCATCTTAGCAACCTGGCACTTCATCAGGGTCGCAGGTGACTCTGTGCCAGGTGCCCCTCATGTAGCTCAGGTGGTTGAAGTCCTCAGTTTTGCAGGGGTCACTGTGGGCCCCCGGATCCATCCGCAAGTGTGTTGAGCTGCTGCCAGGCAGGCGCAGGGTAGGTGCAGGGGCTTGATGGCCCCAAGAAGACGCTGGGTCCCTACCTTCATCACTCAGTGAAATGAAGTGCAAGTGTCATATCTTACCTTCTTAATGATTTGGGGTTTTAATGATTATCCAGGCAGGCATTAAAATCTCTTCTGTGCACAAGAGACCAGCTCCAGAAAAAAAAGAGACCACCGTGAAGAAGGCAATGGTGGCCCCTGCTCGGAGCGAAGCACTCGGGAAAGAAGCGGCTTGTGAAAGCAGCACACCGTCGTGGGCGAGCGATCACAATTACAATGCAGTCAAGCCAGAAAAGACTGCTGCTCCCTCGCCATCACTGTTGTATAAATGTATGTATCACCTAGGGGTTGGCCTCCTGGACCCCTCCCGTTCTTTCTGGATAGCCACCCCCTGGGCCTGCCCAGGCCTGGGAGTTGCAGCTATGTGTTAAGCTGATCACAGACACTGGCTGCACCGTCAGCAGGAAGCAGAGCCCAGGTCCACGATACCTCCTGCTGCCCCGTGTCCACCCTGGTCTGTTGAGACTTCCTGTCACTGTTTTCCAAAGCTGTACAAACCTCATTGGTGAATGTTTCACCTTAATGATTGATTATTTAATCTCTGTTTTCACTGTCAGGCTCTGGTAAGTATTTGTATTGTCTTCATCCAAGTCTGATTGCATAGCCACAGCCACACTGCCCGGCACTCAACGTTCATCCTGTCCCCACATCGTGGTTTGATGACAGCCCTGTTTACACTGCGATTTTTCCACAGTATCCACGTTCAGCACATGAAAGCATTACTTCTTTATGTTGTGGGAATCTGCAAGTTAGTGTCGCGTCTGATGCTCAACTTACCTATGATTTTCAGATGTTACATTTATTTTTGACTAGGCAGATGGGGGATTTTGTTTTTTTAATATCCAATTCACATGCTACACACCCGCATAAACACACATTCAAACTCTGAAGGTCACGCGCTCCTGCTTCATAGTCCTTACGGTAAGTGAGTTCACACCTAGAACACAGTCCTGACCTCAGGACGAGTGGCTTGGACTTGGTATTCTACATGTGACTGGCTTTCTTACCTTCCTCTCTTGAATGTTTAGACTGTTAAGATCATACCCTGCTCCAAATTTCAAATTAATGAAATGAAGATATTTGAAACAGATCTTTGAAACCTCAGATTCTGTGGTGCAACGAGAATGTTTTCTTGTTTCTCAGTTTTCTGCTATAAAACGGTTTTCAATTTAGTCTTTAATACCTTCGAAGTGCATTATATAAGTCTATAGTGCATTTTGTGCTTTTTTCAAAAAGTAACAAAAGGTTAAATAGCCATCAATTCAAAGATGATCAAGGTGTGCTGCATTTTCCTTGTAATCAGACCTGTAGCGAATTCCCTAATCTGTCTGCAGGCAGACAGATCTATGCTATGCTAGATCTGGTGTGGTTTAAAAAATACGTGATTTTTTTTTTTTTTTTTTTTTTTTTGAGACAGTCTTGCTTTGTTGCCTAGGCTGGAGCACAGTGGCATGATCTCGGCTCACTGCACCCTCCACCTCCAGGTTCAAACGATTCTCCTGCCCCAGCCTCCCAAGTAGCTGGGATTACAGGCCCCTTGCCACCATGCCTGGCTAATTTTTATATTTCTAGTGGAGACAGGGTTTCACCATGTTGGCCAGGCTGGTCTCAAACTCCTGGCCTCATGTGATCCACCCGCCTTGGCCTCCCAAAGTGCTGGAATTGCAGACGTGAACCACTGTGCTTGCCCAAAAATACGCAATTCTTGAGTATGAATAGTGTAGTAAAAGAAGAAAATTATGTCATTCATTTTGATCATATAAACAGCCTATACCTAAAAATTGAGCTGCAGATAAGTTAAACCTTGTAATTATTATGAATCTTGAGACACCTTACGTTGTTTTGAGCTGAGAATTTTATGCTTAGCAAGTAATGTCCCCAGTGTTCATCAGATTCTAGTACCTCTCCAATAGAGCAATTCTACAGAGCTAATGGACTTAAAGTGTCACCCACCTTGTGAATGCAGAGGGAGGAGTTTTTAATGCTGTGCTAAAATTTAGCCCTATGTTGGTTATAGGCACATAACAGTAAAGAAAAGAAAAACTGGGGTTATAACCTCAGTTCACATAAGTGGGTGATAATTTCAGTTTGGTTAATTTCCGTCTGTGTCAACCAAAATTGAAAAGCTGCTGGGGAGACTCCGCACATCGAGTTGCAGAAGTCCATGTACATTGCTGTACATTTTGGGGAGGGAGTATTGGTGGAAAGATGGGGAAATGGGGGGCTCTTAGCCCTGGATTATTGCTTCCTGCCTGCCTCCTTCACGTGAGCAGGGAGAGTTCGACAAGGAGGCTGTTGCTTTGCCCATAGCTGGGTCCTCTGACCTCTCCCTCTTCCCTTCTTTGCTACACATCAGTTACTCTGGGAAGCTGATTTGCCCCAGGGGCAGGAAGTGGGGGAAGTTAATGCCTGTTAGCCTTCCCAGCACATCATCTCAAGTTAAAATTGGTAGGTTTCCAGAATTTATACAGCACGTGAATGGGGGGCGCACTTTTGAGCTGGTAGCTTCTGTTTTTTTTATCCCGAAAAGGTCATCTTCCCAAAAGGTGATAGGTAGGAGCAGAGTTAAGGGGCATCGGTAAGAGCAGCTACCATGTCTCTGCCTCTCCCCTAAACACCTCTACACTTTTGCGGACTCAACAGCCTGTCACTGCTGTATGTCTTTGAGGCCCCCACTCTGCCTCCCTGGCTGGCCACAGAGCTCTCCTTCCCTGTAGGGAGGGCAGATTGGAAGTGAGGCTGGTGTGGGTCTGTCCTGTGAGTTGCTCCACACTTGCCTCACCACACCTGCCGTCAGAAGACCCACGGGGTGGAGCTGCCACTGCTGCTCCCCAGGGTGCACCTGGCCCCTTCCTGTCCTTGCCATGGCACTCGGTTGCCCTGGGGGGTCTTGTGCACAGATGCTCTGCCACTGCCAGGAGGAGGCTGCTCCCTGCTGAGGAGGTATCAGTAGGTGCTTTGAAGCCTCACTTGTTCCTCCCATTTGTTTTTAAAAATTATTTCTTATGTATACGGTTTCTTTAGCTTATGGGAAACATTTGGCACATACTTCTCTTGAGGATCATGTTGTTTGTGTTTTTATAAATTGTTCTTCCATTTTTTTCTCCTTATTCCCACTATTAGTTCACCTCCCATTATTGTCCAGGCATGAAGTCAGTTGGAAACTTGTTTCTTAAGTATACCTGACTGACTAGACTTTTGCAGTGGAATTCTGGCATTTATAGGTGCAGTTCCTAGTGTTTTGGACTCATAAAATGACTTAAAACACTGAGGATCTGAACAGATTTTGACTGAAAAGCAGATTCTACAGTTCATCTAGCCGTTGGAATTAAACTGGAAAACCTTGCCAGTTTGTAAACCCAAATCCAGACGCTGTGTTAAGCATGGCGCCAGGTGGAAGCACTGCCTCTTGTTCCCACGTGCTGCCACAGAGAAGGCCCTGGTGGTGTGAGAGGGACGGAGAACACCCTTCACAAGGAGAACTCATGGTGTGGGCTCCAGAAGCACGTTTCACTGAAATCCTCAGAGGATCCAGTTTCAGTTTTCAATAATAAAAAATACATGGGCGTGGGGGGGCGGCGATAGAACCTAAGAGTGTTTTGTGGGAATTTAAACCCGGGAGAGGAGGGGTGGCTTCTTTCACTGGTCACTTGAGCTCTTTCAATGTGTCTCCTCCAGAGTTGTCAGCAGTAATAAAATGAGGCTGGGAGTCGTCAGACTCCGCATCTCCACTGATCTCTTCCATTTAGAGGGAAAGTCAAAATTTGTACTGAGAAAGGGTATAGCTTGATAGCTGCTTTTATGTTATCCGCATAACTGCAAGTTTCTTGGTTGTCAATAATGACATTCTTTTGGCATTTTTAAGGGTTTTACTTTTTATAAACTTAAAAAAAGCAGCCTGCCATTGAAAAAGTGACATGAGGGAAAGGTTTCACATGTCCATAACCCTGAGCCTGCACGGTGAAGCCCCGAGCCAGCTCCTTCCTGTGGTGCCCTCCATTCGTCCCTCGACTGCCCACTTTGTGCTATGCTTCAGCCACTTTTGGGGAGGCAGGGCACAGGGATGGAAGTTTCCAGCAGGATCAGTCCCACTGAATTCACCACCTCTTCAGTGACCTTCATAGAACCTTTTGAAGCTATGGATCTGCTGTAATAGTTAAAGATTAATTAATACTCAGGAAAGCCCCTCTAGCATTATCGGTGTCACAAGTGCAGAGGTCACCTCTGCAGACCCTGCTACAATTCCTCCAGTGTGGTACACAGGTCTAAGGTAGATTTGTATAAACTTGTAAAATAATCCTGAGGGTTTTTTTCTTGTTAATGCATCAACGTACACATAGTTATGTTCTTAGCTTCTAAAAGTTAGAGAAGTAACTTAGAAGATGGACAAGAATTTTTGCTACTTATTTAAATGAAGGTTGTGGCAACTTTGATTTGCCGCCAACCTTGAAGAGTTCGGCAAGAAGAGCGTCAGGTAACTCTTCAGCTGCGACCCTCTGCTGTCAGCAGGGGACTTGTGCTGAATGTGGCCCTTTGGGACTGGAGGGATTTCAACGGAGGGTTGTGGACTAATTTAACGTGCCTCTACCATGTTGGTTTCAGTAGTACACAGTTTAGATGATCAAGGTTAAATTACTGGTGTGGGAGATCTCAGAAGAGCAGCGACTCTGCTCCCAAATGGGTTTCGCTGCCAGGCACACCAGGCGCAGCTGGGCATAACTGAAATTGCAGCTGAGTGGAACGTCCATCTCCACGTGGCCCTAAGCATGTTTTATTGTGGTTCTCGTTGAAGTCGGCCAGTTCTTTGTATATTCTCATCCCAACATGAATCAGGTTTTAATTGTTAAAATGCTATGTGAGGCCAGTAAACCAAGGAAGGGTAATTTGCCTCCAGGTGTAGGCAAATTACTTTTTTTCAAGTTTCTTAAGGAGAATCACACACCTCTCCAGTAAGATGGAAGGCACTCATATAGTAGATACTAGTAAGAAAACTAAGGAAAGCTGAGTATTCCAAAACATGGCAGCCTAGCTGTGGACCCTGTGAGGACGTCCTGGCTGAAGTGATGGTCTCCTCTGAGGAGCACCTGGGAGGTAATCTACCTGCTTATTTGGGAATTAACCATCGTTTCCCCCAACATGGAAGCAAACCAGTAACCTGGTACTGACTAAGGCTAATTTATTTGAACACATTTCAGCATGTTGAGAGGAGCAAAGGCAGGACATTGTCTGCCGTCACCTTGATCATTCACACAAGGGGAAATCTTGATGGTGAAGAAACGGGTAAAATGGGAAACTGCATTGTACACATGCCTCACTGAGGGCTGGATATATGTCACAGTGAACAGAATTTACTTCCACAGATCCTTCACTGTGTCTCTTGAGTCTGTTTCCAGGTGCACAGCATAGAAACGGCCCTTAGAGCTGTAGCTGGCAGTGACAGGCAGGACTCAGGACACAGTGGAGGTCTGCTGCTGCAGCTCTCCTGAACCAGCCAGCTGTGCCAGGACAGGGCAGGCCAGTTGTCAGTGCCTATGCAAGGGCAAGTGGTGGTGGTTTTTTAAAATTGTTCTTATAACCAATTCCTTTCCCTGTGAGGAGCCGTCCAGCAAATAAGGCCCCTAGACGTGGGCCTCTGGACAGGCCAGAACTATGCAGACTTGGTCTCTTTCCCCACATTTTAATCCCCATCCTGCTAAAACTTCAACTGGGGCAATTGCACGGGTTCTCCACAGAGGGAGTGGAGGAGCACCATCCTCCAGTGGGGGCCTGATTTTCTCTTCCTGGTCTCTGCTCATGTCCTGGTGCCACCCAGTGGCCAGCGGCGCTGTAGCACCTAAGCCTGCCTTACTCCTGCTTTGGGGAAAATTGGCCAATTAGAATGTGCCGCTGATCCATGTGCACAACGACGACCTGCTTCGTTCTACAGTTGGCTGGAACCCACGCCCGGCAGCAACAGCTTCGTCTGGGGCAGTGGCCCGGGCAGGCGCCCAGAATGTGGAAGCTAAAGGAGACCGCTGCGGCCAAGGTGCAGAGAGGTGTCGGGAGAGGCAGGGAAGCCCTGGAGCTCAGGCATCAGTGCTGGTGTGAAGTGACCAGGTCACCACCACTGCTGCCCCCAGAGAACCCAGCAGCATGTAGGGGTGGCTTGTGCCCTGACAGGCAGTGTTTCCTGCAGTGGGTTTTTTCCCGGGTGGGTTAGAGTTACTGCTTGCCCTTCTCTAAAGTCATACACGACAATAGTTCAAAGTGACTGGATGAACTTGCAAATTCAATTTTAACTACTAAAAAGTGAGTCTCTGCCGCCATTTCAGCAGCAGCTGACCCGAGTTGAGCACCTGCCATGCCGTCCACCTGGAGTGGAATGGGTGTGTGCCGGTCCCCGGAGCAGTTGCTGGACAGAGCATTTCCCTTCAGAGCAGGAACGGCTGCCATTCACTCTCCCGTCACTGCTCAGTTTCCTGCTCTTTGAAGCGCAGATGGGTGACAAAGGTTGCCTTCAGAAACTAGAAAGCAGTTAATTTTTTAAAATAAATTACGTTCACCTGCTGTCCCACTCCTGGGTAATGGGTGGTTTTAGTTCCATGTATTGGGATGCCCTAAAAATTACCTCTCAGCTTGGGTTCTTCCTAAGTGTGGGAGGCAAGACTCCAGGTACATGAGCAGAAATCCTGAGAGTGGCCCTGGCTGTCTCATTCTCACACTTAGATCTGGAGACATGGAGTTGGTGTTTTTGAAGTTAGCATGCAACCCCAACTCTAAACAAGATCAGTGTACACATCGCTAAAGATCTCTTTCAGGTCACAGCACGCAGGTGTCTTGTGTGGTACTTCCAAGGCATTTTATTAAGGTTTCTGGAAATGCCTTAAGCCAGCTTCTTAGAGTTCTTTAAATGTGAAATTAAAACACTCCACAGTTTCTGTTGCACCCACTGAACTGGTTTGAAGTTTCAGTTTGAATCATAGTTGGCTTCCTGGCAGGTGTCTGTTTGCCGCCTCTAGAGACCATAGTTTGGTTCCTGGTGACTGCTTGGTGTCAGCGTCCTCCCTGTGTGCCCTGATGTGCCTATTCATTCCATTCCCACCCCCTTGTTGCTTACCCCAAGAAAAGGGGCCTCCACTATTGGACCTGACTAACCTATAGCAGCTCTGTGGGTTAGATGCTGCAGACCTTGTTGGCTAAGTCTGACAAGTTAAACTGAGTCGTTAAAAATAGATTTTCAATCTCTAAGGTAGTGACTCGTTGGGCTTATAAACAATCTGAGAAAACAGTACATGCAGAATTAAAAGCAGAGTTTCCTAGACATGAAAACTATCTGACACCTTTGTTCCTATCCTGTTAAACTTATTGCCATTGCTTTAATGTGCATTTTAAGATCCACCGCCCACAGGAATGAGTGTTTTGGGGTGCAGTTGTGGGTGAGCGAGGCGGGGCCTGGCAGTGTTGCCAAGCAACCTGGTTCACATCTGGCAAGGGTTAGGCAGGGGCTGTGAGGCTGGAAGGGTTCTAAGGTGAAAATACAGGTTCTAAGGTGAAAATACCTAATTAATTACCATTAAAACGGTTAGGAAAGAACATGAAAATCAAAGTTGGGATGAGTGTCTGTTAACAGCAACAGCTTTTTAGATCCATGTAGTACTGGTGCAAGTTTTGTAAAATTTAAAGAATTGTACTTATCTTGGAAGCTGGGAAGACTTGCAGCCCTGAGGCTGCTGGGGAGGGCTGGCACCCTCTGCCAATGTGACCAAGGCTGGCAGTGCCAGCGGGGCCAAGCTGGGGCAGGCTGTTGAATCAGGCCTTATTTGTAGAGTCTGGGCTCTTTCCTCAGCTGTCAGACTTACCTCATTTGTTGAAAGCATCAATAAGGTGATGGCAAAGGAGCTCTTTTATTTTTAATCCCTGAGTTAAACAGCGCTTCTGGTAGCATCTGTCACATTGCCCTGTTTAGGCCTCTGGGAGCTTCGGACGCTTGCTGCTGCAGGGATCACTGGGAAAGCCTTTCCCCCCAGGGAGGCATCTCAGGTGCCTTGTTTACTTGATCACCCAAGGTAGCTCCCAAGCACTTGCCCATGGAGCTGAGATAGCCTGCTGTCCTGGGGCCCTTACAGGGCCCCCTATTCCCCAGGCGTTTCATTCCTTTGTCCCACTAGTTGGATTCCTGCCCCATCATGTGGTGCACCCTGTCAAGCCCTGTCCACCGGCAGGCTGTCTGCTCCCCTGCTTGAGGGCCTTTGGACTCCAATGAGTTGACAGGGTTATCACGGGATTGGTCTCTACTGGCATAGAAAGCTTTTTGTGCAAGTAGAGGGGTTTTGATGTCTGAGCTATTCTAATCCTTGTTTGGATTAATACTTCACCACTGAATGGAATTAGAGCATGAGGGTTATAAAGGGAAACCTTGCTGTAACAGTATGGCTGTGTTCTCAGCATCTCACTCTTCATGTAACGGTGTGGCTGGTCTTCCCGTGACGCAGGTGTATGCCAGCTTTCTGTGTTTTCATTAATGGCGTCGCCTCCACTGAACTCTGGTCTGGAAGGGTAATGAAGTGAGATGTGTAAACCCCACCCACCGGGCTAAGAGAACTTGTTTTCCCTTCGAAAAGATCTTTTTTAAGTTTATAAAAGTTTGCACTTGGATTAATAGTGACAACACTTCTAAGTCTGGCCTTTGTTAAAGAATAATGTGAAAGTTCTCCTTTCAGATTTGGAGTTTCACTAGTGATCAAGTCAAGCCTTTGCTAACTAGGGTTTGTTGGTTGAAGGTAAAAGATTAATGTAATAAAGCATTTTTCTTTCTGAAATAAAATATAGTCGCCATCGTAAATGCTGCTGGCGGCCCTCCCTAACACTCCTCTGAACGTTAAGATTTTGCAAATCCTTTTCTCTATGTGTATTCTATTCAGGAATGCCAGGTGGGCATTTACAGGTTTAAAGGCAGGTGACAGCACCCTGTGGTGTCCTCTCACTCAGCGCCTATGTTCTCCTTTATAGCCACCAAGGAAGACAGGAGGTCCGAGGAGAGAGCGGCAGCCACAGCAACCTCCAAGAAAACAGCCCCTCCGGGCTCCGCGCCGGGCAAGCAGCCTGCGCCTAGAAATCCCGTGCCAAAGAAGCCTTCTTTTGCTAATGTGGCAGCGGCCAAACCAGCCATTAAAAAGTCACCCTCAGGCTTCAAAGGCACCATCCCCAAGAGGTCATGGCTGTCAACTGCCCCATCAAGTGGTGTTTCCGCTGCCAGGCAGGCAGGACCGGCACCTGCAGTGGCGACGGCAGCCTCCAAAAAGTTCCCCGGCTCTGCTGCTCCAGTGGGAGCCGCAAGGAAGCTGGTGGCACCTTCTGTTCCCACCGCCTCGCCAGCCCCAGGACGCCTTGGGGCCATCGGCGCTGCACCGTCGCAGCCAAATTCACAAATTCGGCAGAATATCAGACGCTCCTTAAAAGAGATTTTGTGGAAAAGGTGGGCTGTTCTGCTTGATTTGTTACCCACTGAAATGGAGGGGCTTTTATTAGCATGTGGCTGCAGGATTGCCTCACATCTGAAAAGGTGGGATATGCGCAAGTGGCTTATGTAGTTCCTTTTTCTGTTCTATTCAGAGTCAATGACAGCGATGACTTAATCATGACAGAAAACGAAGTAGGGAAAATTGCTCTCCATATCGAGAAGGAGATGTTCAACCTGTTTCATGTCACGGACAGTCGCTACAAGAGTAAATACCGAAGCATCATGTTCAACTTGAAGGACCCTAAAAACCAGGTGTGTGCCTGACGACGGTACGTTTCCTGTTCTGTTCGCTGGACACGAAAGGGACAAACCAAACAGTATTGAATCGTTTGTGTCCTTTCCAGGAAAACTGAGAAGTCTCTCCTCTGTGACCCTTATGCCAGCCTGAGTTGGGTTGTATTGGCATTGAGGGTCTTGGAAGCCCCTTCCCTTCCCTGCCTTAGCAGGGGTCCTGTCTGCTCACTAGCTTCCCTCAAGTCCATTTTTTATCACTAGATTGGTCTCCTCTAAACATTGCTGTAAAATTACAAGCCAGTCATTGCGCTGGTTCCAAAATCAAGTCCAAATTCTTTTTCCCAGTATATGAGGGTGTCCATATTCTGGCTTCAGACAGCCTTTTCCACTCATTTCCTCATATTCCTCATCAGCAGAGTGAGCCTGAGGGTTTGGACTGCTTTTGAGCGTTCTCAACACTTGGAGCAGGGGCTGCTCACACTCAGGGTGGGTCACTCCGTCCTCACTGCAGTGTGGGGGGGGGCAGTGCTCATCCCACACAACGAGGACAGAAACTCCAGCTGGGAGAGACAGGCGCCTGCCTGGCGGGGGCGAGGACAGAAAACTCCAACACCTGCCTGATGGGCTTCTCTTGCCGCAGGCCTTGCAGCTTTCTGGTATTCTCCATGGCCTCCAGACTCTTCCTGTTTAGAATTTTAGGATATTGAAATCCTCCGACTTTGCATCTCACCACGGAACAGCCCCCAAGCAGAACTGGTTACTTCCTTCCTTCATTCCTGACACTGTCTTTTTGACCTGTGTCCACGTTGTATACAGGATTGTTTTTCCTGAGGTGTTGTGTGTGTGTGTGTGTTTTTTTTTTTTAGCAGAACCAATACAGCCCAGGCGGTGAAAACTGCCGTTTAACTTTTTAGCACCTGTGCTCTGGGACTGCATTTGCTCACAGCAGGAAAGGCCCGGGGCACACTCTCACAAGGTCATTTGGGGAGTTAAAGAGGTCACACCCTGCAGAGCTCTGTCCAGTGCCACAGCAAGTGGGCCCTGGGGGCCTTTGTGCTGTGCCCTCTGAACTTCTGGGCAGCTCTGTTTTCCATAAGCTCTCCATACTGACAGATAAACGAATATTATTTGAGTCAATGAAAAATACTTGTTTACAGGGACTTTTCCATCGTGTTCTGCGGGAGGAAATCTCTTTGGCGAAACTTGTGAGAATGAAGCCTGAAGAGCTTGTATCTAAAGAGCTTTCCACGTGGAAAGAGAAGCCAACGAGATCTGTGAGTGCTGAGCAGGCTGCGAAGGCGCCCAGGAATCGAGTTTAACAGAAATCAGTTTGCAGACAGTTTGCATGAGCGATGCTTTCCTCCTAGAAAACAAGGCTTGAGCTCGGTTTTGTCTATCTAATTTCAGGTGATGGAGCCCAGGACTAAAGTGCACAGTGAAAGTAAGAAGGCGGCCGCCAGGCAGGAGGTCATCCCTGACATGGAGGACTCTCCGCCAGTGTCGGATTCTGAGGTGAGCACTTGGGAATTTCTGTGTTCAGGTACCTGAATGCTTGGGCAGGACACTGAGCTGACAGCAGGTGTATGCCATTATGGTAATGCCATTGTATTTCTCAGGCCTTGTATTCTTCCGCCGTGAGACGATTTTCTTGTGTGTATGTGTTTTTTTTTTTTTTTTTAAGACTGAGTCTCGCTCTGTCACCAGGCGCCAGGCTGGAGTGCAGTGGTGCGATCTTGGCTCACTGCAACCTCCGCCTTCCGGCTTCAAGCAATTCTCTTGCCTCAGCCTCCCGAGTAGCTGGGACTACAGGCGTGCTCCACCACACCCAGCTAAATTTTGTAGTTTTTAGTAGCGACCAGGTTTCACCCATGTTGGCCAGGATGGTCTTGATCTCTTGACCTCGAGATCTGCCCATCTTAGCCTCCCAAAGTGCTGGGATTACAGGCGTGAGCCACCACGCCCGGCCTTCTTGTACGTTGTTAATTTGGAGCTGAGTTTGGAAAATAGATGACCTCATTTTTTTCCTTTTCCTTTTAGGAACAGCAGGAGTCAGCACGTGCTGTCCCTGAGAAGAGCGCAGTGCCCCTCCTCGATGTCTTCAGCAGCATGTTGAAAGACACCACCAGTCAGCACCGTGCACACCTCTTCGATCTCAACTGCAAAATCTGTACAGGTGAGCACAATTTGGGGGATGGAGCCTTGGAGCTGAGCCTACACTTGATTTGTTAAAAATCACTGCATCCTTCTCAAAGCAACTGCACCTAAGCCAAGCTTAGACACACAGAAAGGCCGGAACAATTCCCTGCCCTGCCTTCAGTGTTGCTTTCGACTTTTTGTGAGAAACACTCGTGGGCCGGCTGGCTTTCTCACGGAGCCTTTCCTCGTCTTCAGGCCAGGTTTCCTCCGCAGAAGATGAGCCAGCTACAAAAAAACCAAAATTGTCAGCTCCTGTTAAGAAAGAAGACTTAAAACCCAAGCATGAGAGCTCTGCACCTGACCCTGCTCCTGATTCAGCTGATGAGGTGATACCCGAGGTGCTGCCTGAAGTTGCCCCTGAGCCAGGCCTGGAAAGTGCTTCTCATCCAAACGTGGACAGAACCTATTTCCCTGGGCCTCCAGCAGATAGCCATCCTGAGCCCTCCCCACCGGAAGACCTGTCCCCCTGCCCAGCCTTCTGTGGGAGCGGGGTGGTCACCACTGTCACAGTGTCCGGCCGGGATCCCAGGACTGCTCCAAGTAGTTCCTGCACAACCGTGACCTCTGCAGCAAGCCGCCCAGACAGCACCCACGTGGTGGAAAGCAGACAAGATGTGGCGAAGCCTGCCTTGGCCTCCGTGATGCTGCCCAAGTCCATACTGGCTAAGCCGTCTCCATCCCCTGACCCAAGGTACTTGTCAGTTCCTCCATCACCAAATACCAGGTACGTGCTTCGGGTGTGGTCTCAACAAGCCAAACGTGTTTTTAGATGAACAGAAGGGAAGAATGGTGATTTAATAGTTGAACTCTGAAATTTCACCCGAAATACTTTTACTCGTTCGTCTTTTAGAAAGCCCCAGTTTTAGGGTGCTCTCTTGTCATTTTGGAAGTAAAGATCTTAGAAATTTATATTTAAATTTATGCTCATCCAGTTTCTTGCCTATTCATTTTATTTTTCTTTAATCAAGATGTCTCTATTATTATAATTAAAGTAATTAATCAGCAAAAGTAAGCTGCCAAAATGTAAAACTTGAAAGCGTTCACTTTTGATTTTAAACATAAAGTCTTTGTACTCTTGAGGCTGGGCACAGTGGCTCACACCTGTAATCCCATACTTTGAGGGGCAGAGGTGGGAGATTTGCCTGAGCCCAGGAGTTTGAAACCAGCTTGAGCAACATGGCGAAAAATACAAAAATTTAGCCAGGCGTGGTAGTGCGCGCCTATAGTCCCAGCTACTTAAAAGGCTGAGGTGGGAGGATCACCGGAGCCCAGGAAGTGGAGACTGCAGCCAGCCATGTCGCACCATTGCACTCCAGCCTCTGTGACAGAATGAGGTTCTGTCTCAAACAAAAGCCTTTATGCTGGCTGGGCTCAGTGGCTCACGCCTATAATCCCAGCACTTTGGGAGGCCGAGGCGGGTGGATCACGAGGTCAAGAGATCGAGACCATCCTGGTCAACATGGTGAAACCCCATCTCTACTAAAAATACAAAAATTAGCTGGGCATGGTGGCGCATGCCTGTAGTCCCAGCTACTCAGGAGGCTGAGGCAGTAGAATTGCCTGAACCCAGGAGGCGGAGGTTGCGGTGAGCCGAGATCGCGCCATTGCACTCCAGCCTGGGTAACAAGAGTGAATCTCCGTCTCAAAAAAAAAAAAAAAAAAAAGCCTTTATGCTTTTGAAACTTTTATTGCACAGAGAGACATTGACTTTTATTTTTATGGTTTTGTTTTACAGCGCATCAGAATCACGGTCCCCTCCAGAGGGAGACACGACCCTCTTTTTGTCTCGACTCAGCACCATCTGGAAAGGATTTATTAACATGCAGAGTGTGGCAAAATTTGTCACTAAGGCGTATCCCGTCTCTGGGTGTTTTGACTACCTCAGTGAGGTTAGAAACAAAAAAGTGTGTGTGTGTGTGTGTGTGTGTGTGTGTGTGTTTACACGTGTCTTTCATAGGAGTTTCTATGTTATGTAACTTTCTCTCTTAATTCACGGGGTAGGAAAGAAAGAAAAATGTGTGACACCCTTGCAACTGACTGTCTGAATATAGAAGCACCTCTAAATGCAAAGTGGCGATTGCCATGATGAGTCAGCAGTTGGGACAGGGTCAGAAACTCGAGCCTGCAGTCTGGCATCTCAGTGATGGGTTTCACAAGGGTACTGACCAGGTGCTGTGCCCACAGCCCCAGCATAGCCAGGTGTTCAGAGCCTGCTTTACATAGACCTGGCCACATGTAGGGTGGCACATACGACCCTATGGCAGGCCTTTTAGTTGTCAAAATTAGCCAAAAACCAGCACTAGCATTTATGACCTTCATGTAGGGAGTCACCCTGGCTCATGTACGAATCGCTACTCTTTATGTATGTACAGAAAAGATAACATAGAAGTGTTGCCCAGCCATTTCTAAACATAACCTTGTTTGGCAGAAGGTTGGCATCATACTCCCCTCAGATTTGGTAACTTGTGACCCTGGATTTAATACAGCATTTAGTTCAAGTATGACTGTAATCCTTGCAATTGTGGTGGTCTTCTGGAACCTTGGATAGGACAGTGCCTTAAAGTGACTCCATTGATCTTTTTGTGACTACTACAGTTTCACCAGTTATTTACTCAAAGTCCTTTTTGTTTAGGATTTGCCTGACACAATTCACATTGGTGGGAGGATCGCACCGAAGACAGTTTGGGATTATGTTGGCAAGCTCAAGTCTTCTGTGTCTAAGGTATCGCTTGCAGTATGCATTCTGTAACCATGGAAGATAGTGTTTAAACACGTCTTTTTTTAACCTCTCATTTTGATGGGTTAACACTTAAAATGTTAGCCTATAACTTATTAGATATTTCCAGGTGAATGTTAAAAATTAAGTTTTGCAGTAAGCTGAGATCACACCACTGCACTCCAGCCTGGGAGACAGAGCAAGACTGTCTCAAAAAAAAAAATTAAGTTTATATAGTTGTATTACTGTGTGAAGGTGTTTGAGTAATACAGTGGTAGAAGGTTGTTTCTGATTTATAATAATGTATGTGCAGTTAAAGTTTAGTAAGAAATGTAATACTTACCTGGCAGGGGAGATACCATGATCACGAAGGTGGTTTTCTCAGGGCGAGGCTTATCCATTGCACTCCGGATGTGCTCACCCCTGCGATTTCCCCAAATGCGAGAAACTCGACTGTATAATTTGTGGTAGTGAGGGACTACGTTCGCGCTTTCCCCTGAATTATTTTTTAAGAAAAGAAATATGTAAGTTTTATTTTCTTATTGTTTTATGATTGAAGGAGCAGAAGGTATCTTTTGCGGGGGTGGTCAGGCTCAGGGCACTCAATGTGGGCTCCTGAACGGTCTTGGTTTTCTGGGACCCCCTGAGATTTAGCTACAGCTGTGCATGTCTGTATGTGGTTTTCTTTGGGGAGACTCTGGTTTTCGTCTTGTTTACGAAAGGGCTAGACCCTATCGTCTAGTTTAACCCTCTGGAGAGGTCAACAGACAGCCATTGCACATCGCACAGCTGGTTCCTCATGACCGGGCCATCATGCACGTAGTAAAAGCTGGCTCTGCTCCAGACTCCACTGGACTCACAAGTCACACGAATTGCCTCACTGATACAGGAACTCTGTGAGATCGTGGCTGTGAGTAGGAGAGATTTGAAAAGGTTGTGAATCGGGCAAGTGATACCTGTGTCTTCTTTATGAGTGCTTCCCACTCTCTGTTCCACTGCAGGAGCTCTGTCTGATTCGCTTCCACCCCGCGACAGAGGAAGAGGAAGTCGCCTATATCTCTCTCTACTCCTATTTTAGCAGCCGTGGCCGCTTTGGCGTTGTAGCTAATAACAACAGGCACGTCAAGGACCTCTATCTGATCCCGCTGAGCGCCCAGGACCCTGTTCCATCCAAACTCTTGCCCTTTGAGGGACCAGGTAAGCGCCGGCTTTCTGGGTGGAGGTGAGGCCTACTTGGCACCTGCACCCCTCCTCCCACTGACATGCCCTGCTGAGTCTTGACCAGCCCAGGGCTCTGCAGGAGCAGCAGTTAGGAGCATAGACACAGCCATTAGCAATAGAATTCATCTTTTAGGGCATAGGACTGTGGCACGAAAAGAACCCCCTGTTTGTAGCATAAATTATCTTAGAACTGAGATTTTTAGAGAGGGAAAAACTCACAGCTTGCAGCCAGCTCATCCTGGCCTCAGATCAGAGAAGACTCAGTGCCCAAGGGTCCACTGGAAAGGGAGGTGACATCCCAGCGGTCCTGTTCTTCCCTCTAGATGGACTCGGGAGCCAGTACACAGCAGGAAGTGGCTCCATCACAGGCCACTTCTCTAACAGGGATGGATTTCCAGGAGATCTAAAAATAGTGACATAGAAAACTATTTCTAGAAAGAATTACTTTCAATCTGCGGCTCAAATTCTAATAGGTTCGTTCATCTTTGATAGGCTGCTTTGTTCGCACATTCCTTGGAAAGTACTATATTTAACCGATTATTTACGAATAGCACAAAATACATCTTACTTGTCAAGGGTTGAGGGTGATTCCAGGGGCCACATGCTCTGGTAGTGACCAGCTCTCATAGCTCCTTCGAAGAGGCTGATGTGACTTCAGTTAGGGGATTCATGTCAGAGGCCGACTCAAGTGTCTCTGTGGCCGTGCAGTTCTCAGAGGATTGGTGTTACCTAAACGTGGGTGTGTGGATCAGCGTCCTTCCTCTAAAGTGCTTTGTCACAAAGGCAGGTGCTATCTAGACCCTGGGCTTCAGTGCCCTCTGTCCGTCACCAGGCTTCGGCCGGTGTTCCTGCCACAGTGTGCAGGGTGCTCCCACCCTCAGCCCTTGTGAGGTGGGGTACTGTAGGGGCCACTCCACATCCTGGGCGGGACTTCTCTCGCACGAGGCACAGTCCACGTTCCTACTGGAGTCCATTCTTCACACAGCGTGGCCTCGGCTTATGCCTGTGTTGTGGAATTGTATGTCCATAAAGGTATTGGTTGGTATCAATAATTTTAGGGTTAAATATTTGCTGGCATGGCACATTAAATTATTTTAGTGCTAGATACATTTTTAAAAGCAAAGTGCTTTAGTGTGTCCCCTCAAATCCTCCTTGGGGTAGAGATGCCATCTAACGGGTGGCAGAAAAGACCCTGGTAGAGGCTCTTGGTGACGCTTGTGAAGAGCTCTGGCCAGCTCCCACATGATCAGGGAGAGGAAAAACCCAGCTCTCCTGGAGGTGAAGACCGAGAAGCTGACCTCCAGCACCTGTGAAGACCCACTGGTCAGTCGCAAGTGCGACGGCGTGCGTGTGGAGTCAGTGTGAGTGCGGGAGCCTTGCGCTGCAGATAATGCAGCGCCTCAGCACCTCTCTCCCGGGGTGGAAAGAGCACTTGTTATTCATAGATACCAAGCCTCCCCTTTTTAAAATAATTGAAGTGGTATTTCATCCTTTTTTGAGCATCTCTCCCTGCTCCATCCCCAAACCTGGAGCTGTCAGGTGAGCACAGGCAGTAGGGGTGTTGAGTGAGCCCCAGCGCATGCTGGGCACAGGTGCAGCAGGGCCTCAGAGGGGATGCCCACTGTGAGCATTGGCGGGGCCCAGGGAGGCCACCCGAGGAGTGGCGCCCCATTTTCCCCAGAGCAAGGGCTGGCTGTGCAGGTGCAGCGCTGGGCAGTGGGAGAGGACTGGTCTCCTGGCACCTCCCAGATGGCACTGGGACAATGAGGGCTGGGCTGGGGCACTCACCTTGTCTGCTGAGTGCAATGGCGCCAGTCACCCACACTATCAGCGACCAGCTGTGGGGGACGTGACACTTGCCCACCAAGGCACTCACTGAGGCCATGACACTGCCTCACAGGGACACGTGAAGGCCCTGGGGACTGTGACCCACGATAAAGAGCAGCGACGTCTGGGAAAAGTCACACAGGGTGAGGGGTTCTAGAAAAGAAGCAGTGGATGAAACTCTTCCATACACTGCAGGAATGTTTTAACTTAAGACTTCAGTATAATTGTAAATTCTCCTAACGCCCCTGTTGACATGAATATGCGTACGTGAAATCTCACACACTTCCATGGCCACTAAGCAGCCTTGACCCTGGGCCAGGCCATCAGCTACTTGGGCTGCTTCACGCATTGATGACTTGAGTTGGTGTTTTCTAGATATAAATATATACATGTGTGTCCTGGCTTTGTGGTGTGTGTGTGTGTGTGTGTGTGTGTGTGTGTGTGTACGCGCATACACGCAGTGTGTGTGTATAAGGTTAAGTCCTGGCACGTTCCCTCTGTCTAAGCGGACCCTGTCCTCACAGAGTTAGTCTCTGCCCAGAAGCCTTTGGACAGCACAGGCCACACCTAAGGGTGCTGGTGGTGACTCCACAGAGCCATGGTCAGGGGTGAGCTGTGCTGCAGGGCCTGGAGTCACGCTCCGGAAGTGGTGGGTGAGGGCCTGGGGGCCCAGCTCCATTCCAGACCTTGCTCTCCTTGCCAGGGCCGTCAGCCTCGATTCTCTGCCGCATGCGGTGCATGCAGTGCAGGTCTGAAGGAGACCTGGCACTCCAGCCTTGAGCTCCATGTCCGAATCGGGGCACTGACATGGGAGTGGACAGAGTCCATCCCCTGGGGGTGTTAAGGAGAAACTCCGATTGGGTGTAAAGATTCATGCAGAAGTCTGACCAACTTATCTATGTCCCTCAGTTTATACCACGCAATTGCAGGTGTCCCTGCCTCCCAAACATGGGGGTCCAGTGGGTTTTAACAGCAGTGTCCAGTCCCAGCCCCTCAATGCTTCCTGTTCACACTGAAACAAGTGAAGACCTCAAGGTGCCCAGCTGTGCCCTCGGGGAAACCAAGTCACCCACTTGATCAGCAGTTGGCCCCTGTCAGGCAGGCAGTGAGAGTGGAGCTGCCCCGAAGCATCCTCAGGAGCCATGCAGTTCACAGCAGGAGCTGGATCTCCCTGAGGACATTTGTCCTTGCATGTCTTCACGATTTGCCCCTAAAACACTGGGTTGTCCTACTTTGCCCCACAGTGGTACCCTCCATAAGTCAGCATCCCTGGGGGGGCAGCTGGGAGGTCTGGGTGTGCTGGTCCAGGTGGCCTTCTCCACCGAGATGTTCACCTTACTCTACCAACAGGGCCCCCCATGGGGACTGGGGTCACAGTCTCGGCCTGTCTTGGGGCCTTCTTCATGGAAAGGAGATGAGTTGGGTTGGAAGCTCATCACGTAGTGTTCTGTGTGAGGCCCTCACAGGACTGGACCACAGCCAGGATGCCTGCCTGTTGACCATGCCCAACCCCCATCATTTCCACGTGAAGCCACAGGCCTCGGAGCCTTGGTCTGAAACGCCTGTTGAGTAACCTTGGTCCATAAACACAGGTGCACAGTCTGCATCCTCCTAAGTCCAGGGCAGAAGGAAACGCCACCCTCTGTAGCTGCTCTAGTGGGAAGGGCTGTTTTCTCTGAGGTTTTTATACACTAGAAAGCTCTTCTGGGAAGAATGTTTGAATCCATAGTGTCTTTCTGTATTCACTTTTAACTGCTTTTTAAACTAGCTGAGAAATTCTGACTTGAAATATTGTCAGGTAAGCATTTCTTCAGTTTTTGTGTGTGTATGTAATAGTAGCTTTCATGGAAATTGTAATCAGTCAAATACAGTATTGAATCAAATGTACTGCCTTCTCCTCCTAAATCAATAAAAAGATTTCATGGAAACTGGTCCTTGTTTGTTTGAATTGGAACCATTTGGTGGCTCTTGGTCACCTATCCTAGGCCCCCCCTTTGCTTTCCGTAAGCCAGCGCAGCACACTCTGGTGTGTCCCCAGCCCTGCAGCCCACCCGCAGTTGCTGGAGCTGACGCAGCGCAGGCTGATGCTGCCCTGGGGCCCTTCTCGGCACCTGCGCGCCTGGAAGAAGATGGACCTCGCTCTCCCCTTCCCTGAAACGTGCTGGACCCAGTGGCTTTGTGCAGGCCTTAGGGATTCCCAGTTGGAAGAGGGGGGCTCTGTGTGTGTGTGAGTGGGTGTGTGTGGTGGGTTGGGGGAAGTAGGCGTCTTCCCACCTGATTTGCCGAGTCTTTCTACCCAAGTCATACTTCACAACCCTTGTTGATTAACTTCAGTTTCTGTTCCAGCAGGTGCGAACATTTGGTTTTGACAGATGCAGACCAGTAAGAGAGTTTTCATTTTAAATACCTGATAGTAGGATGTGCTACCGGCCTCATTGTGATAGCTTTGGGGTTGGGAGGAGTCAGATTTCGGGTGGTCCATTTAGTAAGAGGGAATATCTTCCTGCAGCCTCAGGTTCAGTAGTGAGGGGCAGCCTCCTACACCCTGAGAAGCAGGTGGTCCCCTTCGCAGCTGCCTTGTCTCCCAGGCCCTGTTGCCGACACGCCTGGACACAGCTCCTGGCTGTCTTGGCGCACTCAGCTCTGCAGGTGCCCCCTTCCTCAGTTTCTAGAGCTCTTTTCCTGTGCGTGTGGTCGGGTTCTGACCACCGGGTCTGTCCAGACCCCTCCATCATGAATGCGCAAAGGACACAGACATGGCGCTGCAAAGGCCTGTTTGCTTGCCCCTGAAGAAAACCATCCGCCCTCTGGCCTTTGAGAGGGTGTTGGGGGGACGTCCACACCCCTGTTCCAAGCCTGCTCAGCACCCTTCAGTGGAAGTGCAGGGGCACGTTTAGCCACAGCTGGCGTCTCCGGGTCCTGGCCCCTGGTTGCTCATGGCTGCCTGCTTTATGAACTGAGAACCCTCAGCAGCCCTCAGGAGGGAGGTGGGTAAGTAAGCCTGCTGTGCTCTGTGCTGCCCGCCGCCTGGCTGGTGCCAGCTTCATGCAGGCCTCAGTCTCTGTACCTTCCCAGGGTGCACTCCCTCCCAGGGCTCACACATACCACAGGGCTGCTGCTGAGGGGCAAGCCTGGGCACAGCCTCTGGGCAGCCTCTACTGCCCCTCCCCAGGCAGGGGCTCTGAGACCTTTTGACCTTCCTGTCCTAGACGGGCCAGGCACTGTTGTGCACAGCCTCTCCTCCCAGGGAAGATGGCTCCCAAGGTCCAGGCCAGGCGAACAGCACTGCACCTTTCACGAAGAGTTATTTCCAAGGTGCCCGTCACATTTTACATATCCCTGCAACCATAATAACAAACATGAGTTGGGTGACAAGATTTGACTTTCACAGTGGGTGTGCATTTGGGGACAGCCCAATTTAAATTTTAAGTCTTGGGGAGATTCAGAACGCACACCCATCTGACTCTGCAGCTTTATCCAGTTGCCAGTGTCTGCAGATGACAGCACCTAGAGCTGGAGTGTCTACACGTGCCAGCCACACACTGGCTGCTGGTCTCCAGAGGACTGCTGTGTCCAAGACTAAAGAATCTTGCCAGTACTGGGATATACTAAATTTTTTTTTTTCATTAACAAGCAAATTAGCACACCATGAGACAGAGGCACATAACACAGTGACTTTGCACAGCACACCACCACCCTGACCGCGCTTTAGAAGCTGAGCATCTCCCTTGGGTGGCCTGGCCCCTCTGTGTCAACAAGCCAGCACTGGGCTCCCCAGGCAACTTCCCCACACCGAGGCCCCACAAGCCCCATTGTCCAGTGCCCCTCCTGAGGCCTAGCCCACGGCTGTGTCTTCTAGTGTCCAGTTCTGTAAGAAAGGGCCTGGCTTACAGGGCCCGGCTTACAGGAGCTCAGCCTGAGCCTCAGGGCCCCTCCCGCCAGGGCATCGTGGGCTCTGCAGACATGTGGTCCAGGAAAGCCATAATAGCCAATTTCACAACTGACCATACCCAAAAAGGAGATTTCAGTAAGTGATGTAATAGCTTATTCAGTAAATAAATTGCTGTTGTGATGAGAGCAGCACTATTTTAAGCTAACCTGTGTTGAACTTGTGTTCATCAGAAATGAACTTGACAGTCTGGCCTTCACATTTGCTGAGCAGCAGAGCCCAGGTACACCCCTCGGTGTGGCCTGCCTGGCTTTCCTGCTTCCCTCCTGTGCCCACCCATCCCTTTCACTGGCACCCTGCTACCACCTGGGGGACAGAGAAGAGGTGGAGTTGAGGTGCTGGGATACCTCACCCTTCCTGGCAGCCTGTGAAGGCACAGGCCCTTCGGCCCTCTTTCCAGGAGGGAGGGAGCAACACGCTGTCAGCCCCCATGGAGCAGGCTGGTGTTCCTCCCTTAAGGGCGAGGCGGACACCCACCCACCCTCCGTGCTCAGCCTGTCCACCACCTCCTTGGTGGAATTTGGGGAGATCAGCAACAAAGGTATTTAGAGCTTCATCATGGCGCCTGTCCACACGGCTACCTGAAGCCACCTGTGCTGATCTGTGACATCACTGGAAGCATGGGGAGAAAAGGCTGTTGTGTGAGCACCTTTTGTGTACCACAGTAAGGTTAGATTGTCTGTACACTGAGTTTCTGCAGTTCAGTTTCACAGACATTGATGCTGCTGAGACCTTCCCCAAGCGCATCGCTTTCCCTGAGCTCCCATGGGTTTCTTCTTTGTTCCCCTTTGGCACTCCTGATTTATTATGAGTATGGGGAGGGTCGTGACTGGAATGTTCGTGCTCCTGATTCAAGCTCCCACAACTTGGAATGTTTGGAATTGTCCTCTTTTAAGAATTTTTTTAAACGAATACTGCGCCCTAACACCCTAGTGTGCGTCGTCTGCCTGATCTGCTCTTCGCCGAGTGTCTTGGTGCTTTCCATGATCACAGTGTCCTGTGTTTACAGAGGCGTGAACCTTAGGCAGTCTTTGATAAGTTCATGCTCACTGAATTTCTTTATAATCATAAAACATTTATTTATTTTTAGTTATTATTTTTCCCCCTAGGCAGTCTTGTCCGGGCTGGAATGGAGTGGTGCAATCTCGGCTCACTGAAACCTCCACCTCCTGGGTTCAAGCAATTCTGCCTCGGCAGAATTTACAGGCACATACTAACACATCTGGATAATTTTTGTATTTTTAGTAGAGACAGGGTTTCACTATGTTGGCCTGGTCTCAAACTCTTGACCTCGTGATCCACCCACTTCAGCCTCCCAAAGTGCTGGGATTACAGGTGTGAGCCACCACGCCTGGCCCAAAACATTTATTTTAGCCATTTCATTCAACATTCTTTTTTCTGTCTAGCTGTAATTATGCCACCAGAGACTAATGGATGACCTCATGGCTTGTGCTTTATTGATCATTATGACTTTATTGATAACTCTGAATTGAGTTGAATTGGTACCTAATCAAACATTTAATATTACTATATTTAGTGTACTTATGTGTTGCAGCTCTGAAGTTAAAGACAAAAAAGGGGGCTGGGCGCAGTGGCTCACGCCTATAATCCTAGCACTTTGGGAGGCTGAGGGGAGTGGATCACCTGAGGTCAGCAGTTCAAGACCAGCCTGGCCAACATGGTGAAAACCTGTCTCTACTAAAAATACAAAAAATAGCCAGGCGTGGTGGTATGTGCCTGTAATCCCAGCTACTCAGGAGGCTGAGACAGGAGAATCCCAGAGGACCCAGGAGGCTGAGGATACAGGAAGCTGAGGTCGCACCACTGCAGTCCAGCCTGGGTGACAGAGCAAGACTCCATCTCAAAACACTCACATGCAAAGGGCTGTTACCTTCCTGGTAGTAGCCAGAGGGGAAGAGCATAGCTGAGGGCACCTGGGACAGTGCCCTCTCCATCCCTGCAGGCGTACCCCATGGCTTCCCTCCCCTCCACACTACTGCTCTAGCATTACAGAGAATTTCTTTAAAAGATGTAACAAATTCCAACGACTGGGATGAACTTCCCCGTGGATCGGGTCTTCGGTTCCGTGGTTGGTGACGGGTCAGTCGCTCCCTTCACATGGCTCCTGGGAGGACTGGGTCGGGGCATTCTCGGGCAGAACGATCCAGGCTTTTGCAGTTGTCTTGACATTTGATTTTATTTTGCCACGAATGGCTTATTTCTACCTAAACAGTCCCCATGAAAGCCCTTAAGAAAATTCACCTCTGAAGGATGAAAGCTGGATTTAGATTCTAAAATCTGCACAAATATTTTGTTTTTCAGGTCTTGAGTCACCACGTCCGAATATAATTCTTGGGTTAGTAATCTGCCAGAAGATAAAATGCCCTACAGGCACTGGAGAGTTAGACAAGATGGAGGAAAAGCGGACCCGACTTCAGCAAGAAGAAGCGGACGTTCCGGCCTATCCGAAAGCAACCGTGGCCCCGCAGTCAGACAGAAAGCCCTCCAAGTATCCGCTGTACGCTGCAGACGTGGCTGTCAGCACCACACCCCCCGGATCACCTCCGCCGCCGCCCCCACTTCCAGAACCTCCGGTGCTAAAAGTGCTGTCATCCCTCAAGCCTGCAGCCACCAGCCCAGCCACAGCCGTCACGACATCAGCAGCAGCTACCACGGCAGCTTCCTCCGCCAATTCGTCTGCTTCAAAAACAGCATCTCCACTGGAGCACATCCTGCAGACTCTCTTTGGAAAAAAGAAGTCATTTGACCCCTCTGCCAGAGAGCCTGCTGGGTCCACTGCAGGCCTCCACCAGGACCCCAAAACCACAGCAGAGGATGGGGTGCCCGCGCCTCCCCTGTTAGATCCGATCGTCCAGCAGTTCGGTCAGTTCTCAAAAGATAAGGCTCCAGAGGAAGAGGAGGACGACAGGCCCTACGACCCTGAGGAGGAGTACGACCCGGAGAGAGCCTTTGACACTCAGCCTGTGGAGCGAGGGCGGCGCCCCGAGGTGGAGAGGGCTCCTGAAGCCACTGCAGCCGAGCGGGAAGAGGTGGCCTACGACCCTGAGGATGAGACCATCTTAGAAGAAGCGAAAGTGACTGTCGATGACTTGCCCAACAGGATGTGTGCGGACGTGAGAAGGAACTCTACGGAGAGGCCTGCTGAGCAGGTGGCCGGGGCTGCCACGCCCTCCTTGGTGGAGCAACAGAAGATGCTAGAAGAGCTGAACAAACAGATTGAGGAGCAGAAGAGACAGCTGGAGGAGCAGGAAGAAGCTCTGAGACAGCAGAGGGCCGCTGTCGGGGTCTCCATGGCCCACTTCTCGGTGTCGGACGCCTTGATGTCACCACCACCAAAGTCGTCCTTGCCCAAGGCGGAGCTGTTCCAGCAAGAGCAGCAGCCCGCAGACAAGCCCGCCTCGCTGCCCGCTGCCAACCAGGCGGCGAACCAGAGAGATCCCCGGCAGGCAAGGCGCCTGGCCACCGAGAGTGGTGAGGGGGAGGGGGACCCTCTCTCCAGGCTCTCGGCATGGGGCGCCCAGGGCACCCTGCCCACGAGAGATGCTTCCAGGGGCACCGTTGTGGGCCAGACACTCACGCCGGTCCCAGAGGAAAAGGAGCTGGCCTCTTCCCCCTGGGCTTCGGGCGAAAAGCTCCCAGCAGGGCCTGAGCAGGACAGCTGGAAGGCAGAGCCTGGGGAAGGTGCCCGCCCTGTCATGGCTGGAGACGGCTCTGCCCGGCCTGCCCGGAGGGTCCTGCTACCCACACCGCCCTGCGGCGCCCTGCAGCCTGGCTTCCCCTTGCAGCATGATGGTGAGAGGGACCCTTTCTCCAGCCCGGGATTCGTGGCACAGGACAAGGCTCTCGGCTCCACCCAGTATGAGGACCCAAGAAATCTCCATTCTGCTGGAAGGAGCAGTAGCCCTGCAGGTGAAGCAGAGGGGGATAGAGAGCCACAGGCCAGACCAGGCGAGGGCACCACCCCGCTCCCCCTGCCAGGACAGAATGTGGGGTGCTCTCAGCCCCAGTTTCAGGGTCAGCGTGAACCTGGACCTCACGCTTTGGGGATGTCAGGGCTTCATGGCCCCAATTTCCCAGGACCAAGGGGGCCAGCCCCTCCATTTCCAGAAGAGAACATTGCTTCTAACGATGGGCCACGAGGGCCTCCGCCAGCCAGATTTGGAGCCCAGAAGGGACCCATCCCTTCCTTATTCTTGGGGCAACACGGGCCACCTCCTTACGGGGACGGCAGAGGCCCCTCACCCTCTTACATTGGTGGACCACGGGGAGTGGCACCATCCCAGTTTGAAGAACGCAAGGATCCCCACGGGGAGAAGAGGGAGTTCCAGGACACCCCGTATAACGAGGTGACTGGAACCCCCGCCCAGTTTGAAGGGACAGAGCAAGCCCCGTTCCTGGGGAGCAGAGGTGGCCCGCCTTTCCAGTTTGGAGGCCAGAGAAGGCCGCTGCTGTCTCAGCTGAAAGGGCCCCGGGGCGGCCCCCCTCCCTCTCAGTTTGGAGGTCAGAGAGGACCACCCCCTGGCCATTTTGTGGGCCCAAGAGGGCCGCATCCTAGTCAGTTTGAAACTGCCCGGGGCCCTCATCCCAGCCAGTTTGAAGGACCCAGAGGCCAAGCGCCCAACTTGATGCCAGGCCCCAGGGGCATCCAGCCTCAGCAGTTTGAAGATCAGAGGGTCCATTCCCCACCAAGATTCACAAACCAGAGGGCGCCGGCACCTATGCAGTTTGGTGGACCACGGGGGTCTGCACCCTTTCCTGAGAAGAACGAGCAGACCCCTTCGCGATTTCACTTCCCGGGCCAGGCCCCGCAGGTGCAGGTGATGAAGCCGGGGCCCAGGCCCCTGCTGGAGCTTCCCAGTCACCCCCCGCAGCACCGTAAGGACCGGTGGGAGGAGGCCGGTGCGCCCCCCGCCCTCTCTTCCAGTGCGCCCGGACAGGGCCCCGAGGCCGACGGACAGTGGGCACCGCCCGACTTCCGAGAAGGCAAAGGCCACGAGTACAGAAACCAGACTTTTGAAGGGAGACAGAGAGAGCGATTTGACACAGGGCCCAAAGAGAAGCCGCTGGAGGACCTCGACGGCCAGGGCCGGGCCGGCGAGGACAGGCGGAGAGAGCGCGAGCGCAGCCGAAACTGGAGCCGAGAGCGGGACTGGGACCGGGCCCGGGACTGGGACAGACACCGGGACAAAGACTCCGGTCGGGACTGGGACAGAAACAGGGAGCGGAGCGCCAACCGCGACCGAGAGCGCGAGGCCGACCGGGGAAAGGAGTGGGACCGCAGCCGGGAGCGCAGCAGGAACCGAGAGCGCGAGCGCGAACGGAGGCGCGACCGGGACCGGTCCCGGAGCCGAGAGCGAGAGCGGGACCGAGACAGAGACCGGGCTCGGGACCGGGAGCGCGGCCGAGATCGCAAGGACCGGAGCAAGAGCAAGGAGAGCGCGCGGGACGCGAAGCCCGAGGCCTCGAGGGCCTCGGACGCGGGCACAGCCTCGCAGACCTAGAGGCTATGAGACCGGCCAGACCCTTTTTAAAACCAGTCTCATAAAATGCGTTGAACAAATAGCTTTTGAAATAGCCACGATCTTAGATTCAGGATAGAATACCCTGGACTTGAAAATTACTGTAATTTTGTGTAAATGGTTTCTTACAAGATTTCACATCTTTACAATTCTGATGCTTTTAAAAAAAAAAAAACAAAACAAACAAAAAAAAAACTTTGATATTTCCATTCAAAATTAAAGAAATGGGAAATTGTCTACAAAAGCATATTGCTTTTTCAGATCAGAGGTGATCTTTTCCAGTAACTTAACTACTGTAAATTTTAGGGGGATTTCACTGGACCCTAGAGCCATACCTTTACAACACCTTATCTGTCTGTTTCCAAAAGCCGTTTTACAGGTCTTTAGCCTCTGTCCCGGCATCCGGTTTGGGTGGGAGCTGCAGGCGTCAGGAGACGTTACTTGCCTGTATCTGGAGCGTTGAGAAACACAAACCTTACAAATGCATCTTTCTTTTGTCATAAAATTTGAATTACAATTTTCAACTGGGAAACGAAAACACATTTCTTAGTGTGCTCAGCTTTTATATATCACCTTATCCATTTTTCAAAACATGATTTAAAGCGACATCTGTCCTGGTATAAATTGTTGCATTTTAAATAACAATTTATTGAAAAATGTTTAAGTTTTACCAGCCTAAAAAAAAAGGTAACAAACCAATTAAATGTACTTTGGGGGCGGGGAGGAGTCCTTGATTTGAATAATCAGGAACGTTTTGTGCATCCAGTTTCACCTGAGCAGTTCTTCCTGTATCCTGGGAAAAGTACACTCAGCTCCAAACTGGTTATTTATCAGACGATACATTTAAAATTTGTCCATGAAAGCGGAACAATACTTCTATAAAGTCTGATGGGAAATAGTGATTATTAGTTCAAGAACTGCCAATGAGATAGGAAGCTGTTCATTGTGAAACAGTCTCTTGCTTGTCAAGTATTTTTCGAGTACTTCTGAAGTGTGAAGTAGAAAACATCTGGCTAACTTATTTGTACAAATACACTTTGATAGTTTTTATATTTTCATAAACTTCCTTTTACAGATATGAAATTAAAGAACCTCACTGTGCTTTGGAGTCTGTTATTCCATTGTACGTCACTACAGATTTTTCACTATAGTGCAGATTTTTTAAGTTAAGAAAACATGGAGAATGTATCAGCTTGAGATGTTTGGTGTTAAAAGCCAAGTGTCCGTAGGTTAAATTATATTAAAGTAGATGTCAGGTTCCAACATCTAGCATGATGTGAAGGGGTTTTTTTTGTTTGTTTAACATATGAAGCAAATTTTTCTAATTTAAACACACAAATGTAAAAATCAAGTGTTTCTTTAGGTTTACTCGATAGAGATTTCTGTAAATTGTATTTTATATTGCAGAGGCTGATATCACTGTACATGAGAACATGCAGCTTCACAGGTTTTGTTACTTGCAGTAGAATAAACAGCCACAGGAAGTTTCTGTCTCGGGTCTTCATCAGCCTTTTTCTAACACAGAGAAGTCTGGGGTCGTGCATGGATGCCTTGGCCACCCAGCTTTTTGCTGCTGGTTTGCCTGGGCTGGGCAGGAGTGCCCTTTGGACCCTTCCCTGACCTCAGGCTGAGCCCCAGATGAGACTGGCCGTGTGCGGGTCCCCACATCCTTCCGTCATGGGGCAGATGTCTTGCCACCTGTTGGGACCTAGCGCCATCCAGCTCTGGAGACGGGGCAGGAGGGGCAGGAGGAGGGACTCGCCACCTGTTGGGACCCAGCGCCATCCAGCTCTGGAGACGGGGGGCAGGAGGGGCAGGAGGAGGGACTCACCCCCCTTCAGACCCACTTCTGGTGCAGTCAGAGCAGAAGCCCAAAACCACCGTGGGAGCCTCAACTGCAGCGAAGGGGTCTCGTGGTGGGGGAGTGAGCCCCGAAGCCCCAGACCATCCGGGCTGCAGCAGAATGTGCACCCACTGACTGCCGGGCGTGGGCTGCTGGTGCGCTGGTGAGGACGCCAGTGGGCACGTGGGGTTTGCAGCCCAGAGCCAGCAGTGCCAGTGCACAGGCAACAGGATTGGGTGCCTGGCCTGCAAACTTCCTCTGGTCACCCAGAGACCTAGAGCTTGGCTTCTGAACAAGCATGTGGGTCCACAGCCCAGCCATGAGCAGACGCCAATGGGATGTTCCCACGCAGACCTGGGCCAGCGCAGGCCCCTTGGCTGAGATCCGGTGAGACAGCAGCAGCTCTGACCGGCCTCCTCCAACAGCTGCAGACCATGACCTGTGCAGCCTGAAAAACGTGGCAAGGAAGACCCAGCTCCAGCCTGCTCCTGAGCTGGACCACAGCCTGGCCAGCCACACAAAGCAGGGAAAGGCCCAGGCCCCGGAGCCCTGGCACCCACAGGGCACCTCAGGGTCACTGAGCTGAAGCTCCCGGTTCTATAACAGCTGCCGAGGCAGCTGTAGGGGAAAGTAGGAAGAGCCATCTCACTTGAAAACTTGGCACAGGGGCCTCCAACAAGGGGTAACATCCAAAGCAGCAAGCACCCTCCCTCCCCACCCCACACCAGGCATCAGTGAGTCCAGGGAGGGCATGGTGGGGAGACCGTGGCTGTGGCTGAGCTCCGGGGCCCTGGCCAGGGGAGAAAAGGAAAGGTCACATGAGGCGTACCCAGACAGACGGTGACCTCAGCCCTCAGTAACCGGGCAGGGCCAGCAAACAGGCTGAGACAGCTCAAGACGGTGGGGTGCAGGCCCCCACACGTGGTGTCCATCTTCCTGTGGGACACCCAGCAGAAGAGAAGAGACCCAAACTCTCCCCAACATCACACCCAGCAGTCACTGCTGTCGCTATTTTGGTATTTCCTTAACCTTTTTTTCTCTCTCTCTGCATCTAAATTTTGAGAGGATCGGGGTCCCTCCCAGAGCACGCTGTTGCCTGAGGTTTGCTCCTCCTTGGGCTGCTTTGCTGCTTTCAGCTGACCTCATTCCAGGGCTCAGGGGACGCACGCGGGGACCCTGCCATTGGCTGAGTCTGTTCCACAGGAGGCTGGGGAGGCCTGCTGGGCCTACTTGGAGGAAAACCTGAACCAACTCCATCATCCGCCTCCGTAAGCCACAGCTCTGCCTGGCATCTGGGCCTCCTCAAGTGAATGTCCTTTCAGATCCAGGGTCTAGACATTCCTAAAAGGCCTGACTAGTTACCATCCCCGCTGCACAGACTCCTGATAAACAAAGGGACATCCCTTTGGGAAGGGGCGGTGGGAAGATTAGCTGCACATTTTTGTCATTTAGCAGGGCCCTCCCTCTGGGAGACCGAGTCTCTCCTTCATTCCAGGGGCCTGGGTCTGTCCAGAGTCTAGAACTTGGCCAAGGGCATGGGACTCTGTGTTGAAGCTTTCAGTCAGAACACAGGACACAGGACTCCTGCTCTCGGACCTACAGCCTTTCTGCTAGCACAAGTCGGGGATGCCTTTGGCAGGATGTCCATGTTTTTCAGTTCTAGGGGAGCTTTGCCCCTCAGGCAACTCGGGAACTGTGTGGATCAGATGACTGCGGTCATCGCTTCCCTGCAGCCGCAGGCAGCCCTCACAGCTGTGCTGAGAACCTCGTACAGCCGCGTGGCTCCCACCAGTCCCAAGCGCGACCATTCCCACTGCATTGAGGGAGCCCAGCTATACATGGCAGCAGTTCTTGGCCCATGGGAAAGAATAATCACGGAGCTCTTCCCGAGTGCCGGGCCCCTGATGAATCCACTTCTAAATTCACAGTCCTAGTGAGGGGGTGACCTCCAGGCCCCAAAGACATGAAGCTGGTCTTATGTGATAAAACCACCCTAGCATTCTGCTGTCCTCTCCAGTATGCCAGGAAAGTTCTGGATTTCACTTAATTTAGGGAGGCCACCTGTGGGTCAACAGTTTCAGTGGCTGATCAAGAAAATGGAGGGGGTACTCCCAGCTGTTCACTCCAACACATCAAATCTGGAATCTCACATCTGGGTCTCTGCCTCACTCATCCAGTCTTATCCCACACTCTCAACATCCATTTCCACACATTCTCCCAGGTTTGGGTAGGAAACGGATTTGTGGGCCCTGCTTCACAGCTTCTCTTTTGGGGCCTGCTGGAACTCCAGTCTGGTTCTAGATCTAGAAGCAAAACAGAGGTGGTGGTGGTCCCAGGCAGGGTGGCGGTGCCTTGCAGGACAGCTCCTTAGGGAAGGCACTGAGGGTCTTCAGACAAAGGGGTTTCAGCTCCCTGGGCAGTGGTGGAAGAGCCACATGTGCCTTGGCAGGACATGTGGGGAGTTTATGGGCAGACCCCAATGGACTTGCGGGCCTGTGGGTCTCAACTTCACTGGGATCCTCCTATATGTCCCCATTCCAACTTCAGGCTCCCACTCATTCCCAGCTCCCCTTGACTTTAAGCAAAGCAGCACTGCAAGTTTATGCTGCCATTCAGTCACTGAGGAGACCAGGCTTCAGGTTTGCTTGGCAGAAATCTCAGCCCCATGGCTACAGGCAATAAGGACTTGTATTAAGGCAGTCGTAGAGGCTTTCAGGCTCCTTCTTCACACCCCGAGCCAGGAATTTAAAGCACTGAGAGCCAGAGCTGCTGCAGCAGGTCCTTGTCCTGCCAACTCCTGTCTACAGCTTCACCAGCATGTGGGCAGGGAGACGTCCCTGCCTCCCTCTTTCCTCCTCAGCTTGTTCTCTTCTCCCTTGCTCACTTTGCCTGGAAGCATGAAAGAAGAAAGTACAGGGATGCCCCAAGCCCCTCTGCTTCTGCCCATGGTCCTCACCACCTCCTCTTCCTTCTCCTGCCTCTTCAGCAGGAAGCAGATGCATATTTGGATGGTCTGATCGGATGCTGCCTACAAGACCCTTCTGTATAAGCTAAAGTGAGCAGAGCCACTCACCACCGTTCCTGCCGTTGGCTTTGACATGGAAACTGTAGAAAATAAGGACACTTGTTTCACAGTGTGGGATGCTGGTTGTCTGGAAGCATTACTTCCAGCACTCAGGGTCTTCTCTCCTGGTTAATAGCAGTGACTGTGGGAAAATTCAGGAAGTGGCAGACGAGCTGCAGAGAAGGTTTCTGGAAGATGAGTGTGGAGATGCAGCACTGCTGCTCTCTGCAGACAAACAGGGTTCACCAATGCATCGGCCATCAGTGGGACAACAGGTCTTCAGTCTCTTCCTAACAGGACATGGTACGTTCAAGCCCCTCGTGCAACATGGAGCTAGTCTGCAGGGTACAGCCCCGCAGGGTCTAGTGGGTGTTCTTTTGTGTGCAGAGACGATAGATAGATAGAAAAGAAAAAGACAAGGACACAGAGATAAGAGAAGAATTTAGCTGGGCTGAGAGGACCACTGCTACCAGGGGCCGGAGTCCAGCAGTGGCCCCAATGCCTGGATGCACTGATATTTATTGCATTCAAGGCAGGGGGGCAGGGTCAGGAGAGTGACTCATCTGACATGATTGGTAGGTGTCAAGCAAATCACGTTCTTACAATATGGAGGGCCACGTGGGTAGGGTACAGGGTCACATGGGCAGAGTACAGAGGGCCCCTCCCTCTCAGGCAGCCGCTGCAAGGCAGGGAGGCACATACGTCTGTATCTTTCTATGCACTTATCAGAAAGATCAAAGGCTTTTAGGATTCCTCTATTCTTCTCACAGCTTCTAAGAATTTACAAGGGAGCGTCAGGTGGGATAGTGGAACATGAAGGTGGACAAGGATGGTGACCATAGGAGCACAGCTCCACGGAGAGATTTTAAGCCCCTGGATGTCTGTGGGCTGGCCTGGCCAGTGTCAGACATGTCAGACTTTCCTTAAGAGCCAGCAGGGCAGAGTTTTCTCTGAACTCCCCAGTGAGGGGAAACTCCCGCTCATAGCCTGCAAAGCAACAGGCGCCTCCCCAGACACAGGCGCTACCGTGAGGTGTTTACTCTCACCTCCTGGTCACCTCTCACAGTGTCCCTTCAGTTCTGAATTATATTTCACCCAATTATTCTTATTTCTTTTTTTTTGAGACGGAGTTTCGCTCTTGTTACCCAGGCTGGAGTGCAATGGCGCGATCTCGGCTCACCGCAACCTCCGCCTCCTGGGTTCAGGCAATTCTCCTGCCTCAGCCTCCCAAGTAGCTGGACTACAGGCGTGCACCACTGCGCCCAGCTAATTTTTGTATTTTTAGTAGAGATGGGGTTTCACCATGTTGGCCAGGCTGGTCTTGATCTCTTGACCTCATGATCTACCTGCCTCGGCCTCCCAAAGTGCTGGGACTACAGGCGTGAGCCACCGCACCCAGCCTGATTATATAATTGATTGTGTGATTGAATCTAATATCTATTTGGTGTCAATTTTATAAGTAATCAGTAAATATATCATCGCTATAACTAAGTAATCAGTTATTTATCATACTGGGACAGATTGTGCCTTCAGTCTCTTGTCGTGGCATCTGGGCAACTTTATTCCCACACTGGTCTGGATGAGGGACTTGACTGGCTGTCAAATGAGTTTTCAAAATGTTAAATGAAACTAGACATCTAACCAAAGGCCTGTTTGATAAAATTGGGCTAGACTTTCTGCAGCGAAATTCATTTGTGTCTTCATTGTGAAACGGTGTTAGGATTGGCTCGGGCAGAACTGTAAACTTGTTGTTGCTGCTGATTATTGCTTACCAAGCATACATTGTTTGTTGGCAATGTGCTTGGTTCTACAGGCTTTCTTCCAGCAGGCTCGGTGGCTCATGCCTGTAGTCCCAGCACTTTGGGAGGCCAAGGTGAGCAGATCACAAGGGCAGAAGCTCAAGACAAGCCTGGCCAACATGATGAAATCCCATCTGTACTAAAGACACAAAAAAATTAGCCAGATGTGGTGGTGGACACCAGTAATCCCAGCTACTTGGGAGGCTGAGGCAGGAGAACCGCTTGAACCTGGGAGGCGGAGGTTGCAGTGAGCCAAGATTACGCTATTGCACTCCAGCCTGGGGGACGGGATGAGACTCCATCTCAAAAAAAAAAAGGAAATTATTTTTGGGAAAAAAGTGTCCTCATTTACTTCTCATAAGCCTAAATGCCTGGCCACAGCTACTGTAAAACGTTTAAATAAATCCACCTTGGAAGTTAAAATAAATAAGGTGGGGCATGGTGGCTCATGCCTGTGGCAGCCTGTGGGAGACAGAGGAAGTGGATCCCCTGAGCTCGTTGGAGACCAGCCTGGGCAACATGGTGAATCTCAGCTCCATTAAGAAAAAAAAAATTTTTTTAGACTGGGCGAAGTGACTCACGCCTGTAATCCCAGCACTTTGGGAGGCCAAGGCAGGTGGATCACTTGAGGTCAGGATTTGAGACCAGGCTAGCTAACATGGTAAAAACCCATCTTCACACACACACAAAAAAAAAGCTGGGCATCGTGGCATGTGCCTGTAGTCTCAGCTGCTCAGGAGGCTGAGGTAGGAGAATTGCTTGCACCCAGGAGGCAGAGGTTGCAGTGAGCTGAGATCGTACCACTGCACTACAGCCTGGGTGACACAGTCAGACTCTGCCTCAAAAAAAAAAAAAATTGAAAGTAAAAGTAAACAAAGCACCGACTTACCATTTTCTTTTCCCAGAATATTCAGGGCACTTGGGCAAAAGCATCCGTCCCCCAATTTTACTGAAATGTTCAGTGGCCTTGCGTTTCATAGGCACTTGGTTGTACTGCCCATTGGAGATCATTTGCTGGATTATCAGCACCTCCTTCCCATGGGAAACAGGGTCATGAATGCTTTTAAAACAGACAATCAAAGATCCAGCTCCAGAAAACCCAGAGCCAGCTTTGATTACTCATCCTTAGGAGCCTTTCTCTCTGGACCCACATTTTCAGCGTGGAATTCTGATCAGTCAGGATTCAATCAGAGAAGCAGAACTACCAGATTTCACATACAGATGTAGGAATATTCATTTCCTATAGGATGTAATCTCACACAGCCTCTATATGACTTATCTTCACATAGGATGCTGGAGCTTGAAGTCCATAGGAGGGGCAGAGGGAACAGATGATGGACAGGAATTGGGGTGGAGCAGGGACAAGAGGGAACCCATGAGCTGCACCCTGTCGGTTCTCTCTGCCTCCATCCTAGATGCTGTGGTGTGGGGGTCTTGCAGGAGAAGCTGGGGCTCCACATCATGGAACAGAGACATCAACTGGCCCAGGGCCCAAGAAGCTACAGGAGGATCAGAGGAATGTGGAGCAGTTGCAGGTCTGCCTGGTGACCCTGCCCTGTTCAGCCTTCCTGCTTGCTATGGTCTGAGTTTGTATCCCACCATGACTCATATTGAAACCCAGTCTCCATTGTGGTGGCATTAAGAAGAGAGGTCTTGGGCCGGGCGCGTTGGCTCACACCTGTAATCCTAGCACTTTGGGAGGCCGAGGTGGGTGGATCACCTGAGGTCAGGAGTTCAAGACCAGCCTGGCCATCACGGTGAAACACCATCTTAAAAAAAAAAAAAAGAAAGGCCGGGCACAGTGGCTCAAGCCTCTTATCCCAGCACTTTGGGAGGCCAAGGCAGGTGGATCATGAGGGCAAGAGATCGAAACCATCCTGGTCAACATGGTGAAACCCTGTCTCTACTAAAAATACAAAAAATTAGCTGGGCATGGTGGTACGTGCCTATAATCCCAGCTACTCAGGATGCTGAGGCAGGAGAATTGCCTGAACCCAGGAGGCGGAGGTTGCGGTGAGCCGAGATCGCACGATTGCACTCCAGCCTGGGTGACAAGAGCGAAACTCTGTCTCAAAAAAAAAAAAAAAAAAAAAGAGGGGTCTTTAGGAGGTGATTAGGTCATGAGGGAGAGCCATCATGAATGGGGTTAGTGCCCTTTTACAAGAGGCTTAAGGGAGCTGATTTTCTCTCTCTGCCATGTGAGGATGCAGCAAGAAGGCGCAGTCAATGAGGCACAGGCCCTCACCAGACACCACATATGCTGGTGCCTTGATCTTGGGCTTTCCAGCTTCCGGAACTATGAGCAATACATTTCTGTTGTTTATAAGTTACCCAGTCTAAGGTGTTTTGTTATGACAGCACAAATGGACTAAGACACTGCTGGATTTTCATCAGAACTGGACACATCAGTTTTGGGAAGAACAGACCACTGCTGAACCTTCTAATCCATGAACATAGTATATCTCTGTATTTGTCCATCTTTGTAATTTATTTCAATAGTACTTTGTAGTTCTCAGTATACAGGTCTTTTACTTCTTTTGTCATATTTATTTCTAAGGTTTTTTCTTTTTTTGAGATGGAGTCTCTCTTTGTCACCCAGGCTGGAGCGTAACAGTGCAATCTCAGCTCACTGCAACCTCTGCCTCCTGGCAAGCAAATCTCCTGCCTCAGCCTCTCAAGTAGTTGGGATTACAGGTGCCTGTCACCATCCCTGGCTACTTTTTTTTTTTTTTTTTGAAGCAGAGTCTTGCTCTGTCACCAGCCTGGAGTGCAGTGCCATGATCTTGGCTCACTGCAACCTCTGCCTCCTGGGTTCAAGTGTCTCTACTGCTTCAGCCTCCCAAGTAGCTGGGACTGCAGGCACACACCCAGCTAATTTTCGTGTTTTTTTAAGTAGAGACAGGATTTCACCATGTTGGTCAGGATGGTCTTGATCTCTTGGCTTTGTGATCTGCCCGCCTTGGCCTCCCAAAGTGCTGGGATTACCGGTGTGAGCCACCGCGCCCGGCCTAATTTTTGTATTTTTTTTTTGAGATGGAGTCTCGCTCTGTCGTCCAGATTGGAGTGCAGTGGCATGATTACGGCTCACTGCAACCTCCGCCTCCCAGGTTAAGGTGATCCTCCTGACTTAACCTCACAAGTAGCTAGGATTACAGGTGCACACCACCATGCCTGGCTATAATTTTTTTTTTTTTTACTTTTCTTTTAAAGAGTTTATTTTAAACCTATTATACCACACAGTATGTTTTATACACTGACATAGAACTCCCTAATAAGATAAAGCAAAGACTAAAATGTTTATCTTATTAGAAACATACACCATATCACGTATTGTCTTCAAACATTATTGCACTTTAACTTTCTTAATTTGACAAAGCATTCATGAAACAATCAGCAGACTAATTTTAACAAAGAACACCTGTAAGCAGACATGACTGTCCTAAATTGTTTATTAGGCATGAATTTTACAAACTTTACTTATATTAGCGGTAATGGTGGAGCTGGAGAGTATTACACCTTCTCCAAGCTGCCCGGCGAGAACCACCAATAGTGTGGTGGAACTTATGGCCCTTTCCAAGGCCACGGCTCTTTCAGCCTGCAGATGTCAGCCCACGCATCTCCCTGTGCTTGTGGACTGGTTTGGTGATCCATTGGGTGTCAGGATTTCTTCTGATAGCTTTATGGAATGGATCAATGAGAATAACCTCAAAAAATTTGTATGTGGAATCTTCTCCAACCCAGTAAGAATTCAGGACTCTTAGAGCCCCACAGTGGCGCCCAGCTCGCTCCTCTGCAACAGACTGAAGGCTTTGAGCAAACTTCAGCTGGTTAACACCATGATGGACAGGCTTGCCGTAAGTTGCACCCTTAGGAACTGGGCGTTTTCGGCCACCACGGGGAACACGAATCCTATATATAACGTAACCTTGCTTGGCCTTGTAGCCCAGTCGGCGCGCTTTATCAGGCCGGGTGGGGCGGGGAGCCCTGTGGAGAGCAGAGAGCTGGTGGTACTGCCAGCAGCGGACCCTCAGAAGAAAGCGCATGACATCAGACTGCTTCTTTCTCCATAGCTCCTGGATATACTTGTATGCACCCATCTTGGCTTACCTGATGGCTGCCACCAGACGAAAAGGGCGCCTGGCTATAATTTTTATATTTTTAGTAGAGATGGGGTTTCGCCATGTTGGACGGGCTGGCCTCAAACTCCTGACCTCAAGTGATCCGCCTGTCTCTGTCTCCCAAAGTGCTGGGATTACAAACGTGAGCCACCATGCCCAACCCTATTTCTAAGTGTTTTCATATTTTTTTATACCATGGTAAATGGTATCTCTTAAACATTCAATTTCTGATTATTGCTATTTTATAAAAATATAATTGAAGGCCGGGCGCGGTGGCTCAACCTGTAATCCCAGCACTTTGGGAGGGCGAGGCGGGTGGATCACGAGGTCAAGAGATCGAGACCATCCTGGTCAACATGGTGAAACCCCATCTTTACTAAAAATACAAAAAGTTAGCTGGGCATGGTGGCACCTGCCTGTAATCCCAGCTACTCAGGATGCTGAGGCAGGAGAATTGCCTGAACCCAGGAGGCGGAGGTTGCAGTGAGCCGAGATCGCGCCATTGCACTCCAGCCTGGGTAACAAGAGCGAATCTCTGTCTCAAACAAACGAAAAGAAAAAATACAGTTGAATTTTAAAATTTTAAATTTGAGGCCAGGCGTGGTGGATCATGCTTGTGAGGCCAAGGTGGACGAGCTAAGAGATCGAGACCATCCTGGCCAACACAGTGAAATCCCGTCTCTACTAAAAATGCAAAAAAAATTTTTTTTTTTTTTATGCCTGTGATCCTGCCTCCCTTTGTGGCCCACCCATCAGGGACCAGCTGCTCCCATCTGGACAGAAGAGCCTGTGGGTGGGGAGCAGTGTGGGTGGGAAGGAAGGCTTCCTAAGGGATATTACTTTCTCTTTTTTTTTTTTGAGAAAGAAAAAGAGGGAAAAAGAGAAAATAAAGAGGAAAAAAGAGAAAAAAAAGAGGGAAAAAGAGAAAAAGAGGGAAAAAGAAATATTACTTCATTCCTAAAATGGGTATCAATAATGGCCGATCAATATTTTGTGTGTTTAAAGTGGATAATGTATATTTTGTGTGTTTAAAATGGAGAGCTCTATTGAGTTTATTTGTTCTGGATCTGAGTTCAAGTCCTGGATATAGTTATCAATTTTCTGTCTCGTTGAATCTAAATCTCATTATGGGTCTTATGTATCTGGGTGTTAAGATCTCTTATTATTACATTAATCCTTTTACCCTTGTATCCTTGTAGCTTTGAAATCTATTTTATTAATTGTGAGAATTGCAACTCCTGCTTTTTATTTATTTATTTTTGCTCTCCGTTTAATTGGTAAGTTTTTTTCCAATCCTTTATTTTGAGTCTTTGTATATCTTTAGATATACCGTTAGATTTTGTCTGTATCTTTTGATTGGGGGATTTAGTCGATTTAAATTTAGGATTACTGCCATTTGATATTAACTGGCTATTTTATCCTTTCGTTGATGTAAATTCTTCTTTATGTTAATGCTCTTTACTTTTTGGTGTATTTTTAGAAAGGCTCATACTGGTTGTTCCTTTATATGTATAATGCTTCTTTTAGAAGTTCTTGTAAAGCAGGCCTGGTGGTAATAAAATCTCTGAGTACTTGCTTGTTCCTAAAAGATTTTATTTTTCCTTCAATTGTAAAGCTTAAATCGGCAGGATATGAAATTCTGGGCTGAAAGTTCTGTTCTTTAAGTATATTGAATATTGGCCCCCACTCTCTTCTAGTTTGTAGGGTTTCCATTGAGAGATCTGCTGTAAGCCTAATAGGCTTCCCTTTATGGGTAACCTGATCTTTCCTTCTGGCTGCCCTTAATATTTTCTCCTTCGTTTCGATCCTGGTGAATCTAACGATTATGTGCCTTGGGGTTGGTCTTCTTGAGGAATATCTTTGTGGTGTTCTCTGTATTGCCTGGGGTTGAATAGTGTCCTGCTTTGCTAAATTAGGAAAATTTTCCTGGATAATATCCTGAAGAATATTTTCCAGCTTGAATTCATTCTCTCCATCACATTCAGGTACACCAATCAAACGTATATTAGGTCTTTTCACATAGTCCCATATTTCTTGGAGACTTTGCTCATTCCTTTTTATCCTTTTTTCTCTATTCTTGTCTTGTCGTTTTATTTCATTGAGTTGGTCTTCGACCTCTGATATCCTTTCTTCTGCTTGATCCATTCGGCTGTTTAAGCTTGTACATATTTCACTAAGTTCTCGTGTTGTATTTTTCAACTCCATAAGTTCATTTGTATTCCTCTCTATATTGTCTATTCTTTTCAACATTTCATCTAACCTTTTTTCAAAGTTCTTAGTTTCTTTACATTGGGTTAGAACAAGTTCCTTTAACTCCCAGAAGTTTCTCATCATCCACCTTTTAAAGCCTATTTCAGATAATGGAACACAGTCTTTTTCCATCAGGACTTGTTCTGCTGCTGATGAGTCCTTTTCCATCAGGGCTTGTTCTGTTGCTGATGAGTCCTTTTCCAACAGGGCTTGTTCCGTTGCTGATGGGTTCTGATTTTGAGTATACTCGGCCTTCTTAGGCTGTTTTTTTCCCTTCATTATAGATAAACCGCCTTTCTAATTAGGTTTCTGAGTCGACGTCCGATTTATTGATTCCCAGTGCTGGGATCCGAGCAACCCACTGTGGCGGCCTAAATAGCAGCGATAAAACTGATGGTGCTCTTCTGCCCTGGAATCTCTGGTCTGGCTTCTCTCTTGAGTCCGCAACAAGCGGCTCTGACTTCCCGGAGCTCCAAACTCCGGTCAGTAGGGGTAGCAGTCCCGTTTGCTCTGCATGAAGAGCTGCGGCGCCGGCAAAACCGCTGCGGCGGCCACAAGAGTTGTGCTGGCGACCCTTGGGGCTCCTCCACTGGGAATCGGCTGATCCGTGAGTGACGAAAATTCATCTAAAAGTGTGGTGTTGTCTCGTTCTCTGAGCTTTCACTGGGAGCTACAATCCTGAGCTGTTAGTGATCGGCCATCTTGGATCGGTCTCCAAACTGCAAAAATTAACTGGGCCTGGTGGCACACAACTGTAGTCCCAGCTACTTGGAAGGCTGAGGTGGAAGAACTGCTTGAACCCGAGAGGCGAAGGTTGCAGTGAGCTGAGATTGCGCCACTGTACTCCAGCCTGGCGATAGAGCAAGACTCCATCTCATTAAATTTTTTTTTTAATTTGAAATAATTATAGATTCACAGGAAGTTACAAAAACAGTACCGAGGGGTCCCATGAAACTCTCACTCAGTGTCTCCCAGTGGTTACAGTTTACATAACTATAGCACAACATCAAAACTGGGGGCCAGGCGCGGTGGCTCACGCTGTAATCCCAGAACTTTTAGAGGCTAAGGCGGGTGGATCACCTGAGATCAGGAGTTGGGAGACCAGCCTGGCCAACATGGTGAAACTCTACCTCTACTAAAAATACAAAAGTTACCTGGGCCTGGTGGCAGGTGCCTGTAATCCCAGCTACTCGGCAGCTGAAGCAACAGGATCACTTGAACCTGGGAGACAGAGGTTGCAGTGAGCCAAGGTGGTACCACTGCCCTCCAGCCTGGGTGACAGGGTGAGACTTCATCTCCAGAAAGAGAATAACACAAAACAACCCTGGGAACAGACAGACAGACATGGGCGCTGCATGTGTCCAGTTCTACAGCATGTCCAGGTTCAAGCAGCCACAGCCAAGACAGCTCTCCTCATTACAAAGACTCCTTCATGCTACTCCTTAGGGCCCACCCATGTTTCTACATCCCATTCCTTCCCCTTAGCAACCATACATTTGTTATCAACTTCTATAATTTTATTATGTCGGTACCATGATTCCTGGGGCTGCCATAACAAACTACCACACACAGGGGTGTCTTTAAAAGAAGAAATTCGGCAGGCGCGGTGGCTCACGCCTGTAATCCCAACACTCTGGAAGGCCGAGGTGGGTGGATCACTTGAGGCCAGGAGTTTGAGACCAGCCTGGCCAACATGCTGAAACCCCATGGTGAAACTGATACAAAAATTAGCTGGGCGTGGTGGCGCACGCCTGAAGTCCCAGCTACTTGGGAGGTTGAGGCAGGAGAATTGCATGAACCTGGGAGGCAGATGTTGCAGTGAGCAGAGATCATGCTAATGCACTCCAGCCTGGGCAACAGAGCCAGACTCTGCCTCAAAAATATTTACATTTTTTTTGGAGATGGAGTCTCACTCTTGTCGCCCAGGCTGGAATGCAGTGGCACAATCTCCACTTACTGCAACCTCTGTCTCCTGGGTTTAAGCGATTCACCTGCCTCAGGCTCCCAAGTAGCTGGGACTACAGATGTGCACTATTACACCTGGCTAATTTTTGTACTTTTAGTAGAGATGGAGTTTCTGCATGTTGGGCAGGCTGGTCTCAAACTCCTCACCTCAAGTGATCTGCCTGCCTCAGCCTCCCAAAGTGCTGGGATTACGGGTGTGAGCCACTGGGCCTGGCTGAAGAAAAAAACCTTTTTTTAATTTAAAAAAAAAAATGAGAAATATATTTTCTGAAGGCTGGAAGTGCAAGATCTAAGTGCTGGCAGAGCTGGCTTTCCCGAGGCCTCCCTCTTTGCTCGCAGATGGCTGCCTTTCCACTGTGTCCTCATATGGCTTTTTCAGGAATCCCTGTGTCTCTTCTTATAAGGACACCAGTCATGTCAGATTAGCTCTCACCCTCACATCCTCATCTTAACTTAATCTCCTCTTTGAAGGCTCTGTCTCTAAATACAGCCACATTCTGGGGTCCTGCGGACTGGGGCATCAATGTATGAATGGGGGGTGGGGGGTGCCCACCATTCAGCCGATGACATCTACTGTATGTGACCTTTTGAGACTGTGTGTTTTTTCATGCAGCACAGTGCCCTTGAGACCCCTCCAAGTGCTGCGTATCTAGGTTCAGGCCTTGCCGAGTACATTTCCATGGTAAAGATGAGCTAGTTTGTTTGACTGTTCGCCTACTGGTTGTTCCAAGTTCTTGGCTATTACAAATCAAGCTGCTGTGAACATTCGTGGGTAGATGTGCGAGTAGATGTATATTTTCTTTCTCTAGGATGAAT